CTCCCCAGTCTACTCGGGATGGTGGCTCCTTCCTTAAGTGGGGGAGGATCTACGACTGCAACACAGCAGCCGCAGAATGCCGCTGACACTAGCACAGTGTCAGCCGCGACTACGCGCAAGAAGACCAAGAAGCACGCGTCTGTGCAGGACACAGACGCCGACAAGAGCAAAAAAAAGAAGAAGAACGGGTCTGTGCAGGGCACAGACACCGCGAAGACGAACGCAGAGGCCGGATCTACTGCTAGAAACGAGCTGAACGAGTTCAGCTCGGACGCAATCAACTTCGTGCAGCGCAGACAAGCCGTCATTCGGTTTGTCCAAGACGCTATTGCAGCTTCTGTTGATCGACAGAAGCTGAACGCAGACAATGTTGGCAGGGGCAACACAAATGAATTCAAGAAGGGTTCATTAGTCTTGTTAGCTACTCAAAACTTGCCTAAACATGCCGTTTCCGACTTCGGGGCAAGCAAGCTTGCTCCGCGCTTCATCGGGCCGTTCACTGTGCTGGCACGGCACGGCAACGCCTACACACTGGACATACCGTCTAGTATGCGCCTCCATCCGACGTTCTACGTCGGACGGCTGAAGCCATACCTGCAGTACGAGCTACCTAGCTCGGCTGAACTGAAGCAGAAGACTCGGCGGAAGCCGTCATCCTCTCCAGCGCGAAGTCGCGCTGGAGCAGCGGGTCGAGCTAATGGTCCAGCTCGGCCGGAACGATCGAGGCGGTCTGGGAGGCTGCCGCAACCTGAGGATACTTCAAAGCGCCGAACCCAGCGCTCTGGAACTACTCCACGACCGGAACTCGGTCGTGGGGAGACGCGAGATCAGGGTCAACACCAAGTTGACCACACACGGGGCGTGTTTCCACCACCGCCGCCGCCGATTCGTGATGCACACGGCTCAACTCGATGGATTGTTGAGCGGATTGTTGATCACAGTATCCCGAGAGCGAACAGGCAACCAGTTCGTTTTCGTATCCGTTGGAGAGGATTCCCTCCCAACCAAGATACATGGGAGCCGCGGAACGTCTTGCTCGAAGACGTCCCGGACATGGTGAGGGCGTACGAAGTCCACCATGCACTGCACACTGGAACGTAATGCGAGCGCTGCTGTTAACAGCAGCGCCCGAAGCCACTTCGAGGGCAGACATAGGTACCTGCCCCCGCGGCAGCGACGCGCTTCGCACGTTGCCGCGCATGCTACTCAGCAGCAGAGAGTTCTCCGCTGCTGCGCCAGCGGTCTTCAGCTTCGACGCGCTCGTTCCATTACGAGCGCGCTCTCTTCAACGTCACGCATTGACTACAGTCACTTGTTACTCTAACAGATGCGATGTCTGAAAGAGGTTTGAACACTTCCTCGACCTTGGTGTAAGGTACACCAATGACTACATACATTTACGACCACCACGACGGGTGGTCCATACACATTTAGGAATCCTATTGGCTGAAAGCAGCATCTTTTAGCCAATGAGTGACTTGCATGTTAGTAGAATTCTGCCAACCAGCCCTTGCCAGATTCCTAGTTTAGAATATTACATTTAGAGGAAGTCAGAAACATAAAACAAAAATAGCAGTTCTCATTTTAACCCAAAAACAATATTTGGATCGTTTATTTAGATTTATCTATACTCGGAGGCCCGAGTATAATTAACTCTAATTTAAACTAAGATACGCTTCCTCACATACACACGCACACGTGTAAGCTAAAGTAGTGAGCCAAAGTAGGTCCACTACAGTATCTGACAACGGCGATCCTAGCTAACCCTATATATGCTTCCCATCCCAGATTAGGGGGCATTTAATGACATTTTGAAGTAAAAACACCCACAGTGAAGGAGTTTAAAAAGGCTACACCCATATTCGCAAATGTTCTTAAAGTCATACCCAAGAGAGACACCACGGCCGATCGCAGGTCCCACATCCTCTGTTTAGCGACCGACCCTACCCCATTTCACTAACACAGAAAGAAAGAGGCCCGAAATCTCCGAGGTCCTTCAGAGCAAATACAAGTAACGCCAGGGGCGCCGAAAACGCTGCAATCAAGCTCGCCATAAAAGGGCTTCGCCAAAAATCCAGATAGATTACGGATAGAATACCCGGCGGATGTTCCAATACTCAAGCCCAGTGGAACAACGCGACCCTTCGTTGTTCCACTGGAAAATATTTTTGGACCAAGTCATTTTTGTTCCTAAACCTCGACTGAGTCCAGGAACTAAAGTTATCTAGTCTCTTCACTCGTCCCTTAAAGATTTTCGAGTCGAAGTCGGCGTTGGTCAAAGCATCCCGCGCTTCATCTGTAAGTTGCTCCCACGTGATGAGGTCCTGGAACTCCCCCCTCTTCTCCGTGAAGCGAAGTTTCGGTCTGGGGAAGGCCAACCCCAGGAACGAGTCGAGCATCACGCTGTCGCCGTCCATGTATTTCTCCTCCACCGGAGTTTGCGGCTTGAGGCGCCGGTTGTAATTCAACGACACGCCCAGCATGGTCGAGTTCTTGAGTGCTGGATCATCGATCCAGACGACAGCAACCTCCCAGAAGTGGCGGCGCTGGAACCTGCTGAATCGTCCTTTGGGCAGATACTACGCGTACATGATGACCCACTTGTCGTTGTACCAGTCTGAGCGCGCGTACACTTGCGAGCCCAAGCTGGAGCCCTCGCACTCGCCGTCCGAAAACCCGCTCCCTTTCAGACCCGCACTCAGAGCCGTTAGCTTGAACCGCAGGGTACGGGTGGCATCCGAAGGAAACGTGGAGTTGAGGCTTGTACTTGACTGCAGCTCGCTCAGACGCGGTCTTCGGCTTGGTTGAGGGAATGGCTCGACTTGGTTTATTTGTTTAATAACGGAGTGCTTTGTTTTTAGGTGGCTGGACTCTTGTGGACTTTGGCACGTACACCATCCACTACGAGAAGAAGCGCTACTCCAAGACCTTTGTGCCATGGGCGTACATGTTCGTACGCACCGATCATCACGTAGCATACGCTACGATGTTTAAGGTGGTAAGGTCGTTTGCATCTCGCTTTTTCGAGATTAACCTCGTGTTGTCGTTTGGCAGCCAAGATCGCAGTCAGTATATCGCTAGTGCATATCGAGAAGTCTGGCCCTCCATTCGGCTGTTAAACTGCTATCCCCATTTGGCTCGAAAGTGCGGTGCGGCCGATAAACTTCGTCTGTTAGCTGAAAAGGATTTCTACGAGGCCAGTGTGGCGATCAGTATCAAGCACATGAGTAAGGCTCGCTCGGAACACCAGTTCTTGGCGTTGGCAAAGCTTTTCCTGGCGCATTGGCGTGAGCACGGGGAGAAGGAATACGCGAGCTGGTTCAAGGACACGTAATTAGGCCCCACTTGGATGTTTTGGTACTACCAGGCAGCAATTCCCGGCGTTACTCCGTCTCAGAATGCACTCGAGTCCCACCACAAGACCATCAAGACCACGTGTGTGGCCTCACTGCGCTCCAGCACGGCTGTTTTTTTGAACGAAGGTATTCCAAGCATATTGTTTCACGAAGCCTCCCAGCCACTTCGACGAGATCTGTTCCACTTTAGTGAGGGTTTGCCATTCATTGCAATATTTGCTAACTGTCATTGGATACTAACATATTTGCAACTGATAACGCTTACAGGTCCTTTGTGCAGCGAGGCTGTCGCTAATGCTAAGCGATTACTGGACAACAAGAAGAACTACTACCTGCACAAAGCCCCTCGCTCTCGTGTTTTGTTTGGTGTGCTGTTCAACGCGACTAAGTTCGTCATCTCCAGCACGAATATCAACAGTGCAAGTATGAACAGAAGCCGAGCGCAGCGGTGAGTGGAGCAATTCACCGTCCTGGTGATATCAGACATACAGGTACCTGGACACGCTGACCGGCAAGCTACCCAAAGACATTTCCGTTCGAAATGTGGAGCTTTACTGCCTCTCTATCCACCACATGAAGCTACTGCACCAGGAGACTATCACGAACTTTGTCCCATCAGCGCGTGTTTCGGTTGAAGAGGTGCGAATTTGCTCGAATGATGACATGCCAACTCGTTCAACTGACGTTTTGATGCAGATTCAGGCTGTCCGACGCGCGCGATTGTGCGATGTTTGCCCAGACGGGGTGGCAGTGCTCTCATGCTCTCGCGGTTATGGTTCTGCAAAAGGAAATCAACGTGAGCAGACTTCTCACTGCGCTACCAACGCGAAAAACAAGTGGAGGTCAAAGGAAGCTGCCTTGCTAAAGGCAATGACGAGCACCAGTTCTCCGTCGATGTATTGATCAAGCGGTACTTAAGCAGCCCATGTACCCACTTCATTGGCACGTCATGCGGGATTTCGACATCAGGACCAAGGCTGGAGTGTCCAAACGCGAGAGCTTCTGTGGAACAGTTGTGTCGTGGGGGTGATAACGACGGTGTCTACTACTGGGCAGTCCAGTTCCCGAAACTCAAGAAAACTCTGAGACTTGAGTGCCAAGAGCTTGCTGAATGCACCCACGAAGCATACAAGCACGGTGTAGATGTAACTGGGCTCTCATCGGCCGAAGCTGCCGTTTAAATTTCAACGGTCCAAGTTTATACGTATCAATCGTATTAGTACCTGCCCAACTTGGCTTTACGCTCCAGTGCTTTTTCACCTTGCTGAACCGCCTCTCTGCTTTTTTCTGCGTCCTTGACGAACCACCAAAAAAACTTGATAATAAGCCCGTCCCCTCTTGAACCGCGGGGTACGGGTGACATCCGAAGGAAACGTGGCGTTGGGCCCTGGATTTGGCCGTGGCTTGCTTAGACGCCGTCCTTGGAAGGAGCGGTTCAACGGCCGTGGTTGAGGTAACATCACAGACTGGACAGCCACAAGTGACTCATGGGAAATCGCCGCTGGAAGGTTAGGTTTGTCCCTACGGGTGACTTACTAAATCACCACAATATGAAGTTGACGGGTAGGCAGGTTTTGCTCCCCTTCCTCAGCGTTTAAAAAGGAAATCCTGCTCGTGTGAGTACGTCATAGAGTACACGCTGGGTTAAGACACCCAAGCCTTCTCGAGGTTCACCGTGAACTCGCCGTCAATAAAGGGGACATCCAAGTCGTTACGCTCCTGCCAGTGGTCATCGAAGTCGGCTTCGGTCAGGGTTATGCGAGCCTCTTCCGTCATTTGTTCCCACGTGACCAGGTCCTGGAACTCGCCCTTGTCCTTCGTCAGTTGCAGCCCCGTCTTGCGATGCCACGTGCGCTTGTAGTAGTCGAGCTTCAAGCTCGAGCCGTCGAGGAACTTCGCGTCAGGAGGAACCCGTTGCTCGTTCCCACCCTCAGTACGCACACAGACTCCGAGGATCGCGGGGTTGATAGCCTCGGGGTTGTCGATCCAGATCACCATATAGAGCCAGCCACAAGTGGCGATGGCTGAAACTTGCTCTCTTCTCTCATACTTTAGGGAAGTACCAGGCGTACATGATCGCTCTCTTACCCTCGTACCAGGCCGAGCCGAGTACACTTGCGAGCCCAAACCGGAGCCCTGATACTTCCCGTCAGGCTTACCACCCCACTTCAGACCATCACTGACTGCTCCGTCGGCTTGAACGGCGGGGTAAGGATGGCAACCGTAGGAGATCTGCAGCTGCGGCTTGAACTTGATCGCGGCCTTCTCAGAAGCGTTGGCGGCCTCGACCTGAGCGAACGGGTGGACTTGGTCGTGGTTGATCCAGTTGACCTTGGCTTGGGCGGTGGTGAAGCAAGCCACAGCAGCGAGGAGGAGGGCACGGAACTGCATCGCTTCGACCGAGACTCTCGGTCCGAGAGGAAGGTGACTTGTGTTTCTGCATATTGCAAACATCTTCAGCATAACCTGGCGCAGACAAGAATATGGAAAGCGATACAAAAAGATCTACTACGCTGGTCAACCAGCAGTGTGAAGAAAAACCGTCTACCTACAGCGATATGGTGGAGCTACTCAATGAGTGGATGGTCAACTTATGCTACAGAATCTACTTGTAAGTTAACCCCACCAGTATAATGAAGAAATATAAGTGCGTAATATTTTGCTGCACAAAGCAAAATAGATTCCTTTCATCTGGAAGCTCATGCGGGTAGGGCGCACAATGCGGCCGCACGAGCGATCTCAACCGATGCGGCCGCATCGGTTGAGACTGAAAATGCGGCCGCATTTGCGCCCTACCCGCCTTTGTTACCGGCCACTTCAAACTCAGAACAATACATGTACCAAGAGCAGCAGCGCGAAGTATGGTTTTATGTAAAGTTGGTGTGATCTCTTTTTTCATTTTGTGCATACCGTTGGTCGCCGAGTCAGATTCAGGCGGAGACTCCAGCGAAACTTCTTCCTCGGCTTGAGTACTTCTCGAACTACGAGTACTTCTCCATCTACGAGTTTTTCTCCAGCTTTGGCCCCTCCTCGGGCTCCTCCAACGTCGTAGACTTTCGTGGCACCAAGGACGCCCCTGAGCGTCAGTATCCTACGCGCGCTAGCTTGCCGACAACCCGCCAGAGCCGCCCTCGGCCTAGCAGGCCAGCAAGAAGCTCGCTTCACGGCGTTCGACACAGGCAAGGCCAGCTCGCTGCCCTCGCGGGGCAAGATTCCCGCAGTAGCGCAGCTACGGGTACAACTCGTCCATGCCGCTTGTGCAACACAAGATCCACGGCTGTCCGCTCATGACGGCCGACAGCAGCAGCGGCGGCGTGGCCATGGACTCCATCGAAGCCATCGACGTGGGCCCCGAGCGCCCGCTGACGCCCAAGACCCTGGCCGCGAGGACGCCGACAGCAGCAGCAGCGGCGTGGACGTCGACTCCAGCGAAGCCAGCGACGTGGCCTCCGAGCGCTCCGCGTGGTTTGCCTGAGCTCGCGGCCGCCACGGCCCCGACCCGGAGCGACAACTACGGCTACTACACGCCCAGCTGCACGTCCATCTTGATCCCCATGCACAGTTGCGACGGAAGTTGCAGCTTCATAAGGTGTCTCAGTCCTGCAGCATCACATACAAGCTCACGATCTCGCGCTATTAGTAAATTTCAATCGAATCGACTTCTTTGCCTAGAACAAGACCGAACAATAGTTAAATGAATCAATGCAACATTATGTAGTTTAGGTTTCGTCACCCTCAGTGTGTCTCTGCATCATCCTCGACGTCGAAATGGTTCTGGGCTTGTGAAGTGCCAAACTGTTGAAAGGCTGATAGCCACGTTAGTATCACACACACTAATTCAGTGTTCGACTTGACGTACCTGGAGCATCGGATGCATCTGAAAGCTCTGCCAAAGAAGTTTTCTGGCCGCGCAAACCTGGTACATGTAGTGTTTTCTCCTGCGGAAAGCGCATGTCGTTGTAATTTGGAAATGGACGTCGATATGGTGTCAGCATTGGACGCAATTGCTAGTAAAAGTGCTCGTTTTGTGTCGACGTAGTGCACGTTTTGGCACCTATGCACACGAATCTGCGCCAAAACCCAGCTACGACCAGGTTGTTGTGGTTGTCCACGTTTTTCACCTGGTTTTATCGCGGTTTTTGTAAAACCATTAAAAACCAAAAACCAAGAACCAGCCAACACTGCTAAGGACCGTAGGGGCAAATGAGTGATCGGCTACGCGTTCATACTTCCGGTTTCCCTGGGAAACCCCCGAAGAAATGCAAGATTTGCCCAATTCAAACATTAGTACTAAGCGAGTGTACTGTTTCATGCCTTAAGCCAGCTGGGAACGTAGTACGTTCAACGTACTAAGGCTTTGGATTCGCATGAATACTGTTGACAAGGTGTGACGGACCCTGCACATTGTCAACGAACCCACAAACCCGTGGAGCCAGCAGAACGAGCATGGACGACTCATGGTAGAAGGTCGAGACTTATAATACAGACATCTTAGCACTGCTAAGTACGTGTAGCTCGATATGTTAGGTGTTCTGAGCCATGACGTCTATTATAGAGTTATTATAGAACTTCTGACCCTCATCGTCATTGATCATGAAGTATTCTATTGTTTTCGGAACTCAACACTATGATACCGATGGCGCTAATGCTCCGCAACGGGGGGCCCTGCTACTGTACATTATATTACGGCGACCTCTAAGGACCACCGTGGCAACCTGCACTGAACTAGGTTTAAGTGGATGCACAGGTCGCTTGGCTGTTGGAGTACTGGTACGAATAATTTCATCGCGGCAATTCTGATAAGATGAAAACTTATTTTCTTTATACATGTAATGCATGTACCATTGCTGTACTTGAAGTGAGGTCAACCCGACGAATAGGTTGAATACACAACATACAGTGAAAGCGCCAGAAACTCTGTAATTCATACATCAGTTTATTAACCAAGTCGCGTGTTTGAAGATTATTTAGCCCACTTTATTACATTAGTTTGCCAAGTGGACCCGCGCCTGGAGCGAGCGAGCCCTTGCTGCAAATACAGTGCGATTCCTGCAACGTGTAGTACGTACCTTAAAAAGTGTTGATAGTGTTTGTCCGAGTCATCCTCATCCTCTTTCACTTGCAGTTACACTACATGTACGAAACGTAGAGGTTGCCGTAGTCGCCCTTTGAGCCTGCTGTGATGTATTAAAATGTAACCCCCCGCCCCATCCGCGCCATCCACACACCCTCCGTAAGCAAATGAAATGTAGTAAGCGAATGGGGTTTTAGCGGACGTCGGCAGACATGAAGGACAAGCGCTCAGTGGTCGACAAGAACCCGATGATGGACGAGCTCTCGCTGACGGACAACTTGCTGACGGACGAGCACTCGTTGGTGAACAACTACGCGCTGGTGGGCAACTACCCGATGGTGGTCAACTACCCGCTGTCGGACAGCTAGTCGTTGATGGACGAGTACTGACCGGTGGACAAGAACTCACCGGTGGACAAGCACTCGTCGGTGGACAAGGTGAACAAGTACTTGGTGGCGGCGGACCAGTACACGGTGACGGACTACGAGGACGGTAACTTCAACTACGCGTACACCAACTACACACAACTGGATCCAGCGGATCTGGATCCAGGCGACTGCTCAGTCTTGGATTTACTCGGTGTTGCTCTCGGACGAAGGCCGGAAGCAGAACAAGGACGCGGTGACGAAGCAGCAGACTCAGCCAATGTCCAAGTAGAAGCAATCGCTAATAAAAGTTGGGGCTGCGCGAGTGGCTCCGGCGCAGGGACGTCAGTTGAGTCCCTGTTGCCAGTGGTTGTTGACCTCTTTGTGCGTATGTATAGAGGACGACGCCTGTTGCTATACGACCATGAACGAGTACCGAAGCAAGTACTGCGCACGAAACAAGCAGCCGCTTTCTATGTAAACATGTACAGGCGTCCCCGGGCTAGTCCCGGCTGTATATTTTAATGTATCTCGCACAGGAAGTACAACAAGCTCTCAAGATTTGCGCGCTACGTCTGCAAACTTATTGATTTAGATTAGTGTACAGCGATACCTACTGCGACAAGTGGCACGTTGCGGGAATACCTCCACCGTATTCTTGAGCTAAGCTTGTAGTAAGTCAGTACATACTCATTTATGTTCAGACCGCGTGAATCTTGTTGATTCGCAAACATCAAAAGTACCACTGTGGCGAATAGGCCGGGGACGCCTGTACATGTACAGTAGGGGTACATACTGTATGTACAGTACATGTATCATCTCACTTTGTCTGTTGATTCAGAGTGTTCATGTGATTCCAAAGCTTTGGAGCGTTCCCAGCTGGCTAGGGACAAGATAGGATACTAAAGTTTGTATTAAAGCAAATCTTGCCTTTCTTCGGGCATTTCCCATGGAAACTGGAACTAATCACGAACCCCTGACCAATAACTACTACTAAGTACATGTATACCCGCACTTAATAAGCCTGACTCGTAGGTAGCCACCGCCAATCAAGCGCTCACTCTTCAATCTTCCGCGTTGGGCTCAAGACAACTACCTCTCGGTCGAAGCGATGCAGTTCCGTGCCCTCTTCCTCGCCGCGGTTGGCTGTTTCGCTGCGGTTCAAGCCGAAGTCAACTGGATCAACCACGATCAAGTCCACCCGTTCGCTCAGGTTGAGCCTGTCAACGCCTCCGATAAGGCTGCGATCAAGTTCAAGCCGAAGCTGCAGATCTCCTACGGCTGTCATCCTTACCCCGCAGTCCAAGCCGACGGAGCTGTCAGTGATGGTCTGAAGTGGGCCGGCAAGGCCGACGGGAAGTGTAAGGGCTCTGGCCTGGGCTCGCAGGTGTACTCGCGTTCGGCTTGGTTCGAGGGCAAGTTTGCCATCATGTACGCCTGGTACTTTCCCAAAGGTTTCGAGCAGAGGGGAAAAATCAACTACAGCCACCGTCACCTGTGGCTCTATTTGGTCCTGTGGATCGACAACCCTGAGAACGAGAACCCAGCGATCCTTGGCGTGTGGCTACGCACAGCTGGCGGAAACGAGCGCCGCACTCCTCCGGACGCGAAGTTCCTCGACGGTTCGAGCCTGAAGGTCGACTACTACAAGAGCTCGTGGCATGGCAAGACGGGGATCCAGCTAACGGAGAACCCGGGCGAGTTCCAGGACCTCATCACTTGGGAACAAATGACGGAGGAGGCTCGCATAGCCCTGACCGAAGCCGACTTTGATGGTCACTGGCAGGAGCGGAAGGACTTGGACGTCCCGTTCATCGACGGTGAGTTCACGGTGAACCTCAAGAAGGCCTGGGTGTTTTAGTCTAGCGGACGGTACCCATAGGCTCTTACACTAGTAGGAATTTCCTAGTAAACGAGGTAATAATGCACCTTGCAGGACTCGCACTATTCGTAGTAGGACTTATTTATCTGTAGGCGTGTTCTTTTTGGCTAAAATGATGTGATAAATGTTGGCGATAACTTCTGTCGGATGCATTTGTTGTACCGTACATGCATCGGACAGAAGTTTTCGATAGTTGGGTACATATACCCATAATCTGGTACATGGTACCACATTATTGGGACCCAATTATCAATCGTGCGTTTGCAGTCCGGGGGAGGCGATGGATCTCATATTGCACCCGAGCACTTGCTTGGAGACGCCACGAGCTCGACCAGCCTTGATATATAATATACTAAGTAATAATAAAATGGCGTTTTTTACAGTTCGTTGTCAACGATTCTAGCCAAGCCATTTATTTTACCTGAAAAGTACGCAATACGTGTCAGGCTAACGAAAAGGGAAAGCTGCATTTTTACCAGAATCGCCGTTGACATTCTTGGTGCCACCCCTGCAATATCCTTATTCGAACGGCCAAGCGTCCTTGAGTCGAGCATAGAAGACATCGTCCTTCAAGGGCATTCGCTTCACTCGTCCCTCAAAGATTTTCGAGTCGAAGTCGGCGTTGGTCAAAGCATCCCGCGCTTCATCTGTAAGTTGCTCCCACGTGATGAGGTCCTGGAACTCCCCCCTCTTCTCCGTGAAGCGAAGTTTCGGTCTGTGGAAGGCCAACCCCAGGAACGAGTCGAGCATCACGCTGTCGCCGTCCATGTATTTCTCCTCCACCGGGTTGCGGCTTGAGGTGCCGGTTGTAATTCAACGACACGCCCAGCATGATCGAGTTCTTGAGTGCTGGATCATCGATCCAGACGACAGCAACCTCCCAGAAGTGGCGACGCTGGAACCTGCTGAACCGCCCCTTGGGTAGGTACCACGCGTACATGATGGCCCACTTGTCGTTGTACCAGTCCGAGCGCGCGTACACTTGCGAGCCCAAGCTGGAGCCCTTGCACTCGCCGTCCGAAAACCCGCTCCCTTTCAGACCCGCACTCACAGAGCCGTTAGCTTGAACCGCAGGGTACGGGTGGCATCCGAAGGAAACGTGGAGTTGAGGCTTGTACTTGACTGCAGCTCGCTCAGACGCGGTCTTCGGCTTGGTTGAGGGAATGGCTCGACTTGGTCGTGGTTGATGTAGCTCCTCTGAGCCTGGACAGCAACCAATGAAGCGAGAGCGACTAGAACGAAGGCTTTCAAGTTCATCGTTACGACTGGTTGCATTGGGCTCAAAGAGGAAGATTGAAGAGTGAGAGCTTGGCGGCTATTCTATGGCTGGGAAGTTTACAGATTCAAGTTTTATTCAGCGTTAGCGATCAACTTTGCGTGATGAGTTCCGGTTTACTTCATGAGAAACCGCTGCGGAAAGGCAAGATTTGCCATGACACCTGTCGATGCGTTACGAGTGCTGTAGCCGCAATATGAAGGTGATGCATAAGGTTACTGTACAGTACCTGGTATCGACTTCGTTGGTTTGATGCACTCGATCCATGGATAACAATAACTACGGTACTGCTCGTCGGTTTTTGTTGTGTTGACACCTTACTTTGACAGTTTATATTCCGTCTTCGTCGTATTGGTGGGGGGCCTAGCTTGTATTCCTTTTGTAAGTACCTTAGGAACGATTCCAACCTACATTCTTTAGACACGCTGGATTAAAAGATCCAGGCCTTCTCAAGGTTCACCGTGAACTCACCGTCGATGAACGGGACGTCCAAGTCCTTCCGCTCCTGCCAGTGGCCATCAAAGTTAGCTTCGGTCAGGGCAATGCGAGCCTCCTCCGTCATTTGTTCCCAAGTGACCAGGTCCTGGAACTCGCCCGGGTTCTCCGTTAGCTGGATCCCCGTCTTGCCATGCCACGAGCTCTTGTAGTATTCGACTTTCAGGCTCGAACCGTCGATGAACTTCGCGTCCGGGGGAACCCGCTGCTCATTTCCACCCGCGGTACGCAGCCACACTCCGAGAATGGCTGGGTTCGCGGCCTCAGGGTTGTCGATCCACAGCACCAAATAAAGCCACAGGTGACGGTGGCTGTAAGACGTAAAAAACCTTTGGGAAAGTACCAGGCGTACATGATGGCCCACTTACCCTGGTACCAGTCCGAGCGAGAGTACACCTGCGAGCCCAAACCGGAACCTTTACATTTTCCATCGGGCTTGCCGCCCCACTTCAGGCCGTCACTGACAGCTCCGTCGGCTTGGACTGCGGGGTAAGGATGACAGCCGTAGGAGATCTGCAGCTTCGGCTTGAACTTGATCGCAGCCTTATCGGAGGCGTTGACAGGCTCAACCTGAGCGAACGGGTGGACTTGATCGTGGTTGATCCAGTTGACTTCGGCTTGAACCGCAGCGAAACAGCCAACCGCGGCGAGGAAGAGAGCACGGAACTGCATCGTTTCGACCGAGAGGAGGTTGACTTGAGCCCAACGCGGAAGATTGAGTGAGCTCTTTTACTGGCTGTGGCAAAGGAGTACGCATACGTACAGACACCGACGGAGAAACCAGGGCCTAAGAGCATCTCCAACGGTAGTGCAATATACACAAAAATGACCGAAAATGCGCAAGTGCAAAAAAATCGATCTCCAATGGTGTAGTGATAGGGGCACAGAAATACAGTGGAGTAACATTTGAAAAGTGATTGTGCACTAGGGAAGCCTCGTAGGGAATAAAGCCCGGTTTCCCCCTACGAATCGGCCCGTAATGCACACGTAGTGCACAACGAAAATGGGTAATTCCCAAAATACGGAGTGCTGGGGAAACTTTTGACATTTTCAACCTTTTGCGACCAAACACGGAGTTGTGGGAAAACTTATTCCCAAGGTATCCTAGCAGTGGAGATACGACGCAGAGCGTTGGCAGGGCGAAGCGAAAAATGACCTGCACCAAGTGTAACCGGCAAGGACACAACAAGCGCACATGCGGTAAGTAGGCGTAGGCCGTCCGAGGAATGCAAACAAATCGAGTTCTCGGATAATACATTGCATATCAATTAGCCGTCATAATGCATCTCGTATTACACCCAACTACTCATGTGCAGTGGCGACTCGGCCGTGCCATCGATGTACCACAGCTCGGCCACGGGCGTCCCGCGCTTCACGCGCTTGATGTACAGCAGCTTGACCGTGCCCTTGGTCTTCGGTAGCTCGTCCACGGGGGCCATGGTCTTCGGGTCCAGCAGCTCGGCCACGGTCGTCGGGTCCTACACGCCCTTGGTATTCGGCAGCTCGTCCATGGTCTTCGGGTCCAGCACGTCCTTGGTCTCCAGCAGCTCGCCTTCGGTGTCCAGCGTGCCTATAATGGCCACGGAAGTCGTCTTCACCACGCCCTTTGTCTCCTGCAGCCACCAGCGTCTTGGTGGCCAGCAGCTCGCCCAGGGAGGCCACGGTCGGCGAGTCCAGCGAGATCAGCAGCTCGCCCACGGTCGTCGGGCGCTGGTGGCCAGCAGCGAGCCATTGGTGGCCAGTAGCTCGCCCAGGGAGGCCACGGTTGGCGAGTCCAGCGAGTCCCTGGTGTCAGTGTCAGGGCCGAGGTTCGAGCGCACCACGCCCTCCTACTGCATCAGCACGGTCGTGAACAGCAAGGCACCGGAGGGTGTGCCGTCCATGATGGCGGCGACTGCCAGCGTCTTCTCCAGCGGCGCGTCCGGAGCGGCGTGCACCCTCTGGTGTTTTCTGCAGTGAAGGCTACCTCTACGATTCTATAGGCTGGTCTTGGGAATAAGTTTTCCCACAACTCCGTGTTTGGTCGCAAAAGGTTGAAAAGGTCATAAGTTCCCCCAGCACTCCGTATTTTGGGAATTACCCCAACGAAAATATTCTCGTGCGAGCGCCTACTGCGTCGACGGATGCTGGAAACAGGTACACATGCTCCTACAGAACGTATATAGGATCTGGTAAGGTATACAGCGGAATTTCTTCCTTGGTAAGGCGCTTGCAACACTCTCACGGTTGCTATAGTCTCAAGACAAAGTGGCAGTGTACTCCAAACCCATATTTGCAAACAGGGGGAGGTCTCATCGTCGTGCAGGTCATCAAGCAGGTTCTCGCAATAGTAGGATGACACCTCTACTATGAGGAAAAAGCAGCTGCATTGACTGTTCTGGGGCAACTCTTCCGCTTTCACTATGCATTTCTGCAATACCGTTGGGGAAGCGAAAACAAATGCAAGCAATTTCATGCATGTTCGTCCTGTTTTTACGTAGTGTCCAGCCGTTTATCATTTTTGCACTATGCACTACCGTTGGAGATGCTCTAAGAGCATCTAAGAGCATCTCCAACGGAAGGACCTGCACGATATTTGCAAAATTGCAAAAAAAATCATCCCCAACGGGGAAGTGATAGGGGTTCAGAAGTAGTGCTGAAGTAACGGCAGGACTTACGTACACAGTCTATTTTCGGTGATATCTTGGAGTATGTATATGCAGCCCATCACCCCACAATGTGACGACCTTCCCGCAGGACGGATGTCATCCGCGGGAAATGGCTTTTCTCCGCTGCGCTCCGCAAAGGCAGTCGCTGCGCTCCTGCGATAAAAAGATTATCTCACCTGGTGAGAACAGTGCTCGGCTCGCTGGAATGCTCGTCGCTGGGCCCGCCTCCGCAAATTCCGCGCGGCCCTGCTACGCGGGCATCCCGCGCGGGTTTGCTGCGGCTACGCTGTTATGAATCGGCTCCGGTTGCAGCCGTTAGCGCACACGGTGGTGCGTTGGCGCACTGGAGGGGGCGTCGCAGGAGCGACGGTGTGGACACCGCCCTGGAAGAAGCCGAAGGAAGGAGAGACAAGGTCCTGGGAGGAGGACAGCAGGGGATAGGAGTTGAAGTGCAACGAGTGGTTGGGAGCTCTGGAGACGCTGCCCAACGTGCATGTGTAGCAGTAGGAGTAGGAGCTCAGTCTAATATCTACCAAGTGCGTGTCAAGTCGTGCGGGTGTTCGCCTCCTCAGTCTTCCTTGAGGTCGTGGCCTCACTGCGTGGAGCGAACCGACCCAGAGCAGAACATACGCTCCTCGCAACCGCGAGCCTCCGTTGGTCCTCGTCTATATCACATTCACCCCCCCTCGACCCTCATAAAAAAGACTGTGTACGTAAGCACTCTCCTGAAGTAAAACGTTGAAATCGATAGTGCAATTCCCGGATGGCGTAGTGATTATCGGCCTGCTATTCACTACGACCTGCCAGCTATTGCACGCAAAGTGCAAGGCGAGAATACGCATTTATAGACGCCTTCAGCGCGTGCACTCGTCCGAAAGAGGTACACAACGCTCTCACAATACATCTACTACTAGTTTCATAGGTACACCGGATGAATAGAAGCTCCCGGGCTTACCGGCAGTTGCTACAGTATGTAGGGCAAATGACTTGCTGTCCCCAATGCATGCTGCAAACAACGGCGGGCCGTTATCGACCTGAAGTGATCTATAGTTGCCTAGTGCTGCCTATTGTGGTGCCTTTGCCGCGGATAACTTAAGCTACGCTATCCTTTATCGGCCATTGCGGAGGGAGGGCTACTCGCTTTTACTACGCAATTTTGCAATACCGTTGGGGAAGCTGAAGTATTGTAAAAAATTCAAGCGTGTTCGTCTCGTTTATGTTGCTAATCGGCCACTCACTTTGCCTTTTGCAATTTGCACTACCGTTGGAGATGCTCTAAGTGATCAGCGTCGCGTAATTAGTTCCAGTTTCCTTGGGATATCCCCGGTGAAAGGCAAGATCTGCCCCAATACAAACACTAGTCCTCTGTTTCAGACTTCTAGCCAGCTGGGAACCGTCTAAAGCTTTGGAATCGCATCGACAGACAAGTCGGGACGGTAATAATCTATAAAACTCCATCGCTTTCGCAAAACATGGCTCCTAATGTCTACTAGTCTTCGCTACAGTACGGTCATCTAAAACGGTCAGGCCTTCTTGAGCTTGTCAGTGAACACTCCGTCCTTGAAGGGAACCTTCGTGTTCTTTCGCTTGAAGAGGTGCTTGTCAAAGTTGGCTTCACTCAGAGCGGTGCGTGCTTCCTCGGTCATTTGATCCCATGTGATCAGATCCTGCGACTCGCCCTTGTCCGTCGTCAGCTTCAGCAGCATCTTGCTCGCCCAAAAGCCCCTGCTAGCGTCGAGTTTCACTCTCGACCCGTTCACGAACTTTGACTTGGAGGAGAGTATTTCTTGTATCCGATAGTACCAGGCGTTGAGACAGCGAGAATCGTCGAGTTATCGAGCGCCGGGTTGTCGATCCAGACCACGGCATGCAGCCACAAGTGGCGGTGGCTGACTGTGGACGCCCCCTGCCAGCCCTTGGGGAAGTACCAGGCGTACATCATGGCCCACTTGTCCTTGTACCAGTCCGAGCGCGAGTACACCTGCGAGCCTAAAGCTGATCCTTCGCAGTCGCCATCGTTCTTGCCAGTCCATTTCAGGCTCGCACTGACCGATCCATTGGCCGAAACTGCAGGATACGGCTCACATCCGTAGGAAACCTCGAGAAAGGGCTTGAACTTGACTGCGGCTGTCTCCGAGTCGGTCGCAGGCTCGGGCTGCGCGAACGGCTGCACTTGGTCGTGGTTGATCCAGGTCACCTCGGCCTGGATGGTGGCGAAGCAGGACACAGCAGCGAGAAGCAGTGCACGCAGGTTCATGAGTTTTTCGGGTGTGAGTCGGGTGGTTGCGAAGTGATCTCTCCAGTTTGCTGTTCGACTGGAGGTTGCGATGACAGCCGAGGAAGGCGTGTCCTTGCCAAGCAGAAAGAAGACTGTAGAACGTCGAGCTTTTTTCGTCAACAGTGCACACGTTCGCTTATTTTAGGCCTTTTTAGGCTTATTTTTACGATGTAGCCATCCTGCTGTGACAAAACTAGAGTTGTTTTTAGAGGGAAAAAGTGATATTAACGTTAATATCAGTTAATCACAAAATTGCGCGCAGTTATTAATAATTAAAAGGCAAGATTTGGCTGAACCCATTTGAGGCAGCTATTCTGTATTTACAGCCATGCATTCAATTCTCAAAGGAGGACTCTATCAGGCCGACGAAGTACTCCGCGCAAGCGTAAGCCCCGCGAGGACCTGACGCAGAACCAGCGCGCCAAGGGCTATCGTCTTCGGTGCAGACGTACGTCGGCGCCGCGGCCTTACGACGTCACCTCTGATCCCGACGTGGACGCCGCCCCCTCGATCCTGACCTGGACGACGACGACTCTACCATCTGCGGCTAGCGCCATCTTCGCGCAGTACCCGTTGCACTACGTGCTGCCCCCCCCCCCCCCCCCCCCCAAGGCACGGAGTTGGCCGAGATGAAGGAGGTGGGGCTGAGATCTGTGGATGGCCAGACCGAAGGACCGTGCTTGGGGCACCGCCGCCGTGGGCACAGCGACTGTGCCAAGGTGATCATCAGCGCCACGCGTGAACGCTACGTGGAGATGCTACTAGTCTGGTTTGGACAGTGCATTCTCGCCCGTGCTGGACATCGCGCTCTCGTGGCGGCGTCAGCACGCTCTAACAGTGCTGAACATGCTGTTTGGTACACTGCTGCTGCTGCTGAAAGATTTCTCGCTACTCATGCTGGACTACGGTGCGGCGGCTGTGCATCGTCATGTGCTGCGACTTCTTCCCGCTCCTGGTCGGCGTGGAGATGCCCATGCGATCGCTCTCGCGGTGCCTGCTGCGCGGCGGCCTCAATGCCATCGTGCTCACGTATGCCGTTCCCGGACCCAAGGTCAGAGTGACCCCGACGGCGCCGCCAACACCCCACTCAGCGCGCGGGCGTGCGTTACATGACAAGCTGTACTACCTGCCGGTGATCCACTCGCTGGACATCGTGACGTACATGACGTTCGTGGGCCACTTGGCGCTGTTCCGGGCCATCCGCGTCCGCGAGCAGATGCGGATCGTGCATGGCCACCAGGCCACGTCCACCCTCATGCACGAGTGTCTGCTGTAGACCAAAGCGCTGGACCTGGGCGTCAAGACCGTGTACACGGATCACTCGCTCTTCGGCTTCGTGGACGCTGCCAGCGTCCTTCGCAACAAGATCATAAATTTCCTCGTGTTCTCGGTTAACACGGCCATCGGAATCTCGCACACGTGTCGCTAGAACCTCGTGCTGCGTGCGTCATTGCGCGAGGGGCTCGAGAGTGGGTTTACACGGCTGCTGCTCGAGGAAATGCTGGAGAAGCACCGACAGCACTACTGCGTGACGCTCTACGGCGCCGTGCCCGGCTTCAAAGTGCGCGACGTACTGTGTCAAGACCACATCTTCCTCAACCGACAGCTCGCTGGCCAAGAGAGCCTCTACTTCACGATTCTGGAGGCTGCGAGATACGAGCTTTCCGTGGTAAGTACGCACGTGGGCGTAGTGTGGGAAGTGCTACCCCCCCTGATGTGGTGCAGTTCACAGCGGACATCACTCCTGAGGCGCTCGCGGAGGCGGCGCTGGCCGCGGAGCTTCGACTGGCGGGCGTGGATCGACAGGACTTCCAACGCGCTTGAAATGCAGCTCGTGCCATTCCCCGATTTGCGTCGTGATGGCGACTCCACTGTACGACCGCGTGACGGTCGGTGCCGGCCTCACTGGCAGTGCGGCTGCCTACGACGCCACGAAAGAAGGCAAGTGCGAGCTGCTGCTGGATCATTTATGAGCTGATACATGACAAGGGCTCGAGCCACGGCACCAATCGCACCTTCCGCGTGGCCTTCTCCAACGACACGGACACAGAGCTGTATCTGACGTCGCTGCAGCTGTGCTGTGCGGTCGAGAAGAGGTGTCTTCGCGTTCGGCCGGCTGGACGGCCTCGTCCTCCTTAAGAGGACTTTGAAGAAGTGCAAGGTGCCGTTCGAGTCGCGGACTGGCGTTCAAGTGAATCAACGCTTCTCGGCTTCTCATTGCCCGACAACAGCCACGCGGTGTACAACGCGCGGACGGGGGTGCTCAATTCGTTGTTGTCAATGGCCACGACGCAGACGTTGCTGGGCGCGAGTATTCGTAAACGCAGAAGAAGGTGTGTGCCCTGCCCGACACCTCGCTACTCCACCGTCTGCAGCTGTATCATGGAATCGGCTCAGTAGTGGGGGTGTTGGCTTGCGTCATTGCTGTGGATTACATTTGAAATCTTAATCGATAATAGCACTCTACATGTGATATCGGTGTGTGTTAGCAAAGCGTGTGTTATATTGTGACCGTTAGTGCGCCTTACGCTAAGAAGCAAAGCGTTTATTGTTGTGAAGGCAAGGACTAAAGAAATCGATTACTGCGAAATGTCCACACTCACGACTGCGTCCAAGAGATACTCGAACTCCATGTCGTTAATGTCAAACAGAGAATCTTCAGCTTCTTGCTCGTCACTGTCGCTGTCACTGTCGCTATCGAGCTCTATCGGCCGAGGAGAAGTCTTGTACAATAGCAGTCGAGTTGGTTTTGCATCTCCGTTGTTCGTGTAGATGAACGACAACTTCTCGACTGTTGCGACCTTGAGGCGGTTTCGAAGCTTCCTGTGTGTAAATCCTTGCACACTCCACAGGCGCTCACTTGCTGCAGACGAAGTCGGGATGCTCAAAATTTTCTCTGCGAACTTGTGAAGAACAGGAAATTGGTCGTCGAGTGTCCACCAGTCCAGTGGTGAGTCCTCACTAGCAGCCTCCCTCTGAGCAGCAGTCCAGTTCTTCTTCGCCTTTACAAAAGATAGCAGCGATGCGCGAAACTGAGCTGAGCTCACGTCGGGTGGGAGGCCAAAACGCTCGGCAAGCTTTACAGCGGAGCGTACCGCCTTACGAAGCGGACTGTCTTGAGGGTCGGGTATAGCTTCATTGATAGGGCAGCTTCCGTCAGAACTGACTCCGCTCGATCCGACACCACCACTGCCGTCAAGGCTACCGCCCGGTTAGTTAAAGATGTCCTTGGACGGATCCAGCAGGTATGCAACCGTCGTGGAATCGGACGGTGGACGAATGAAGTCCCATCGACTAGCAATCAGCTTGCGAATTTCATCTTGAACGGAGCTGCCGGCTAAAGCTGCGATACCTTCAGTGTACTCTGGCGCCCGATACAGCCGAAGAAACTCGTGCAGGACCATTGAGTTCGAACAAGCATCCGTCTCCAGGACAGCTAGTGCTCGTGTAACCGGTTTCGTCAGCCGAACGACAACCTTCGCCTTGATCCAAAACTGCTTATCGTTGACAATACCTTGAACTTCGTCCAGCTTCACCTGACTCTCTTTGTCCGTGTAGTGCTTCATAAGCTCCGAGTCCGCCAAAGCTGCCTTCAGCGTTGTCTTGTTGCGAACGACGCTCTTGATGCATTTTTCTTGAGCGTACCATCTCGTTGACACAGGGACCGCTAACTCGCCTGCCTTCCTTGCTTTTTGTAGCTGGCGCCGGTAACGCCGAACTTGATCGAGCAGCAGGTGTCTAGCGCGCACAAACTTGACGATCTTGATGGCCTTCTTCAGCACGTCTCCAAACAACTTGATCTTGAAGATATCCTTCAGGAGCAGGTTCATGGCGTGCGCCGAGCATCGGTTGAAGACCACGTTTGGGTGCTTAGCTTCAACCGGTCGGCCAGCCTTTTTCATGTTGGCTGCGTTGTCCGACACAACGGCGGAGACTTTGCCAGCGCCGGCCACGCCTTCTACCTCAGCAATGACTCGCAGAAGCTCCGATGCCATGTAGTCCCCCGTGTGTGCCTCAGAACCCGTAGTACCCGATGACCACATCGTTGGACGCATGGCGGGTGACCACAACACGTAGTTCACGATACTCTCGCGGTTTACGTTGGACCAGCCGTCAGTGATGATAACCAGAAACGTTTGCTTTGAAAGAAGCTCAGCCAGGTTGGCCTTCTCCAGTTCATAGTGGTCGCTAGCGCCTGCCGGGTTGGGAGCTTCAACACAGGAGTCAGACGCTTAAACAGCTTGCTCATGTACGCATTCTCGATCACGCGGAACGGGATTCCAGCAGTGTAGAAGACCATCGCGATGTCCAGATGAATGCTTGATTCCTCCTCCTTGCTGAGTACGATTGGGGAATTTGTTGCTGGAGAGCCACTGTAGCTTGTGCGACGGCTCTTCGACGGCGAAAACATCCCAGGCCTTGCCTTACGCTTCTTCTGCGCGTCTTTCGTTGCCCAGGTGGCCTTCGTTGTCACTGGGGCTCTGGAGCAGAAGCGGATATGTGGATAGAGATGACGGCCGGACTGGGCATTCATGATCAATGCACCGCAGTGACGGCACGACACATCGGGGTGGGGCTTCGTCGGCTTGGACTTCGGGACGACGACATCGAACTCGCCCCATACAGGGTCGTCCTTGCGGCCTATCGGAGTCGCGGCCCAGTTGTAGAGGACTTGTGTAGCCCGTGGGAAGTTGACTTGTGAAGCAAAGACTTGCGGGGATTTCGAGACGTGCTGCGCGCAGCGTACGAGTAAGGAGAAGATGGTGGATGTGGTCGAGCAACCTAAAGTCTACACTGTATGCCCTTGGCAGCATTCCCCTGCACTCGGTCAGACAGCGGAAGCCTTAAGCGCGGCCCACATCGAGGTATTCGAAGCGCTTAAAAGTGGAGTGTGTGAAGGTCAACTTCAAGGGGATAAGTACCTCGATAATTAGGAAAGTGACCGCACCATTTTTCCTCTCGCAGAAAATATGTAACGTATTTAACGTTAAAAACATTGTTTGCAATCATAGCTATTACAGACAACGACTTACAAAGCCGGCATGCTTAATGCCATCCTCCTATATAAAAACAACGATAAATTCCCTCCCGTCAAATCTGTAAAACTGTCATAAAACACACGGCGTGTTGCATAAAATACACAAGAAAGCATATAAAGTACCCAAAACCAGATGCTATACAAAGATGAAGTCATTTGATTTAATCTGATTGGCTGGTTTGCTTATGTTAAGCTTTGCTTGACTTCGTCTGCCGGCTTTTTGTGTCTGCCGGCCTCATCGGACAAGTGCTCAAGCACGAGGACTAACCCATGGTGGACGACGACTACCTGCTGACGAACGAAGCGTACGTAGTGGTGGACGTCAAGTACTCGATGTAAGTCGTTGTCTGTAACTCATTTTTAGCAGCATAACAACTCTAGACAAAACCCATCTGAGACCTGTAGCAGATCCTGCAAGCCAGCAACGCGTTATGGCTACGGCCTTTTCTGTGCAGCAGGCCGCCATGCGTGTTGAAGCAATCCTCTGAGGCGATCAAAGCCATCCACCTAGCACTCGTCGACCAGCACTAAGCAGACTAATTATCTCCACTTCGCTGTACACTGGTCGGCGTTGGGGTCAGTTAACGCCAATGCGAGGGCCGACTCGAATGACCTTGGCGTTTACTTTCAGGCTCCCAGCTCCAGTTCACTTCAGTGAACCTACCGACGCGTCGAGAAGCCAGTGAACTCGTCGCGGCGCCATCAAAGCGCTCTCTCGACTTGTTCGCTTGAGTCCGTTGGTCCACCGTCACTTCGTCTGACCACACCAGAGCCTTTCGGCGTTACTTCCATTTCATTCTTCTCTAGTCTCTAGCATGGCACGGGTGGAAGAAGAAGAAGAGGAGCATTCTGCAAACGAGCGCGGCGGGCCGGCAGCATGCGGAGCGACCCCAAGAGGATAACCCGCGCCGTGTTCGAGACGTCCGAGACCCCCAAAGCCACTCTTAACTATGTGCCCGTGCTCGAAGGACTCGACGGCAGCACCTTGTCCTGGTCGGCTCACAACCCGTACGGAGTTCCGATCCTGGACGTCGAAGGCCGAGGCTCCATCACGTACAATCTCGAGGATAGTGTCAATACCCTCGCTATGACCGAAGGGAGTGAGGCGCTAACACATCGACCGCATCCGCCGGGGCCTCTGCAGCGACTACTACGGTCGTGGCTCGTACTGCGATGGAAGCTCTCGCGGAATATTTTTTCAGTCACAGTGCCGCTGCTGACGTCGACGACCGGTCTAAAGCTCGGAGACTTGATGGTAACTCTACCAATTGTAGCGGGCATTGTCATCTACTCAGCTTTACAGACCAAGGTTCGAGACGTTGCAGCCACCGGAACGCCGCCTTCTATCGCGTTAGCCGTCGTCTTTGGCTGCGCAGTGAGAAACAATTCGCTGTTGCTGATGTGTACCGGGATTCCCTTCGAGCGAGCGCTGTTCTACCACAAGTTTGCAGCTTTTGTCACGATTATATTGGCGGGTTTACATGGGTTTGCGTTTGTGCTGCGTCTACGCAGAGGCGAGCAGAGTTTAGATGATCCAGAGGTGGTTACGGGTTTCGGTGCGTTCTTCGGACTCGTGTTGATGTATTTCCTGTCGCTGAGCTGTATCCGACGCAAGTTTTTCGAGTTCTTCATTCGAGTTCACTGGGTGCTCTTCATCGTGGTGGTGGTGTTTGCGGTTCTACATGGCGCAGGGATCGTCGTGGCGGGGGTAGCCCCCTGGGCCATTGACATGGTGTATCGACTGTTCTTCCGGTCTCGAGTCTACGCACACGGATCGTGTAACAGGCAGACGAAAGGCGTCATTGCGCGTGATCAGCTCTCCATCTGCGCTCTACCGGGGAATATCACCCGTATTCAGTTCCCACGAGTACATCAGGAGACCGGCGAGACGTTCGAGTACGAAGCGGGACAGTACGCGTTCCTGTGTATCCCGTCCATCTCGCACTTGCAGTGGCATCCCTTCACTATCGCGTCTTCTCCGCACGAAGTCATGGTGACGTTCTACATCAAGGCACTGGGAGATTGGACGACTAAGTTATTGACTGCAGCACTCAAGCGCGAAGCCAGCGCCATGAGACTCGACGGTCCGTCGACTTTTGATCTGCTTGTTGACGGTCCGTACGGCAAACTCTCGCTCGACATCTCAACGCCGACGGTTTACTCTCACTTGGTTTTCTTTTCCGGTGGAATTGGCATGACGCCCATGCGCTCGATCGTCAACTGGCTGCACCACGAGTGCTACTACCGCAACCGCGGCGTAATCCCTCATGTGAGGTTCATCTGGTCTGTGAAAGACATCGAGATGGTCGCGAGTCTGCTGGCGCGTGAGGAACCGAGGCGAGATAGCTGCTTGGAGGTGGACGAAGTGGCGTCGTATTTCCCCCATATCCTGGCTCACCCGCGAAACACCAACTCTCCCACGGACGCCTTTGTCAGTGAAGTGTATCTAACGCGGGACATGTTGGACGAAGAAGCCCAAGACCTCCCGGAGCTGGTGAACTGCCTGCATAGCGGATCCCGGCCGGACATCATCGCGATTCTCCGCGAAATGGGCGAGGAAGCCAAGAACGGCGGCAAAGACCGCGTAGCTGTGCTCGTTTGTGGCCCGGAAGCGTTGGTGAATGACGTTCAATATGCGTGCGCAAAGCTGGGTCGGCAGCTGAAGGTCCATTACGATGTACACAGCGAAACATTTGAGCTGTAGAGTGTGTAAATAATATGATCGATAGAAGATCTGAGCTTTGGAGCGTATTAGTACCAGTCGTGGCTACGGGATGTTGTATTTCGTACGTTTTCAGCCTCTTGTGGGTGCCGGAGCCTGAGCCCACCGTCTTGAAGTCAAGTTCAAATATCCACCGGCTTCAGTAAAACGCAACTAACGAAACAAACTTACGTATGGGTACAGTTCGAGTTGTAACGTGTCGTTCAAGTGGCCAGGACTTGGAGCTCCAACCATCTTAGTCTCGCACCTCGACGTGGCGCTCGAACACTGAACCGATCGTCAGCTTTATGCTGGACGCGCCGTATTCGACAGACTCGGCGAGACTGGCGTCGGACAATTCGTTGTCAGTCTTTCTGTCGGTCTTGGTGCGGCGAAAAGAAGTGCGGTCACTTCTCGTTAGGCAACTCCGGGCCATTGAGGACGACGTCCATTGTCAAATTCGCCGATGGAAGGTCTAAATCTCCAGTAATGGAAGACGACAACGACCACCAGACTCCGCCGCAGACCCCTCCAGGTCTACCTATTCTCGAGGATAGCGTTTGGTCCGATCCCGGTGGTTCTTGGAACGATTTCTCTGTCGATGGTCGATCGGGAGAAGCTACCGCAGACGTCGATGGGTTTCTCCCACCACGGTCAAGACAATGGGAGCCAATGTTGGAGATTATGGAGTCTTGGATTCGACTGCGATGGAGACTTTCACGGCGACTGTTTTCCGTATCAATTCCCTTCTTCACCGCTGAGTTGGAAGTTAAACTTGGCGACTTTGTGATCACATTCCCCGTGATTGTTGCGTTATTCGTCGTATCGAGCATTCAGGTGGCAAATGGCGACGTCAAGGGCTCTGGAATACCTCCCTCGATAGCGCTTGCCTTCGTGTTTGCGTTTGCAGTGAGAAATAATTCGCTCTTGGTGACATTTGCTGGAATCTCCTTTGAGCGCGCGCTGTTCTACCACAAGCTCTTTGCGTTTGTGATGGTCATTTTGGCAGCGATGCACGCGCTTGGCTACATTTTGACTCGGACGGATGCCACCGCGGAACACAACCATAAAGTCGTGACTGGAATGATCGCGTTTATTGCTATGGCGGTGCTGTATCTGTTTTCGCTCGGATGGATACGTCGTCGATTCCATGAATTGTTTGTGAGAATGCATTGGCTCCTCTTCATAGTAATTCTCATTACTGCGGTGCTGCACGGAGGCTTAATCGCCCTAGCGGGGGTTCTTCCGTGGGAAATCGACATGGTCTTTCGCCTCGTATACCGTACCCGAGTCTACAGCCACGGTACATTGTTCAGCTCGAAGCCTCAATCTACTAGCGACGATTTGTACGTCGACGAGTCTGGTCAAGACTTGGGTAAAGTAAAGAACCAGCGACTCGGTGTCGCTGCGCGTGATCAAGTGAAAGTCTTCCAACTCCCCGGCGATATCACGTGCATCCAGTTTCCGCGTGTAAGGCAAGATACCGGTGAAGAGTTCAAGTACAAGGCTGGTCAATACGCATTTCTGTGCATTCCGAGTTTGGCGGCGCTCGAGTGGCACCCGTTCAGTATTTCATCGTCACCCCACGAGCATTTCATCACATTCCACATCAAGGCTGTCGGAGACTGGACTATGAAACTCCTCCATGCAGCGCCTGAGAGTCGAGAGGAGTGTGAATTTCCATTTGACGTCTTGATTGACGGGCCGTATGGAAGTTTATCAATCGACATCGAGGATGCTACGACTTATTCCCACTTCGTCCTATTTGCTGGAGGTATGGGCATGACGCCCATGCGCTCGGTATTAAACTGGCTGCACAATGAGTGCTACTTCCAGAAAGCTCGAGTGATTCACCGTCTTCGATTCATCTGGGCTGTGGGCAACAGTGAGAGCCTTCAAGCGCTACTGGACTTGGAGGCAGATCCGTGGATAAATAACTCCCGCGCTCCATACCTCCCCGATGTGTTGTTATGCCCAACGACGTTGAATGTTTCGACTGAGACGTTGTCCACAGAAATTTACCTGACGCGTGGACTTGTCGGATCTCGTGCGGAGTTGGATTCGCAGCTCACCAAGTGTCTGTGGTACCATTGTAGACCAGATATTGAACAGACTTTGCGAGAAATGGGTCGTGAAGCAGTGAAGTCTGGCAAGTTGCGCGTAGCTGTGCTGGTGTGTGGGCCCAAATCAATGGCACCAGACGTGGTGGTCTCCAGTCTAAGGCTATCGCGCGAGATGAATGTACAGTTTGATGTACATAGCGAACATTTCTCATTCTGAGCCGAAAGACAACAGAAAAATCAAATAAATTATTTATCAACGATCGTACTAACGTTGCTTGCGACACAAACTAATAAAAGCCATGTGTAAACTAAAAATAAATGATAGCCTCTGCACAATTCTTATGGCAGTCGTGCTGCTAGATAATAAAATATCTTGCATCATCAAACTTGTAGTTTTATTTTTAACCTTAGGTTTGTACACGATTTAAAAAATGACACGTGAACTAACTAAGTTTTTGATAAAACATCTTGTATTTCATCTTAGTGCTTTGGTAGAGAAGATGGCCTACCTAGGTCCATGGTGTAAGGCTCGCGAAAACTATAAAACACCCAGGCATTCTCGAGGTTCGACGTGAATTCACGTTCGATGAAGGGAACGTTCGTGTTCATTCTCTCCTGCGGGTCAAAATCGGCTTCGGTCAGGGCGATGCGGGCCTCCAAGCTTTTGGAGCCTTGTCCGTCCGTTGCAGCCCCGTCTTGCCGCTCTTGTAGTATTCGGATTTCAGGCTCGAACCCTCGAAGAACTTCGCATCGGGAGGAGCCCGACGCTCACTCCCACCGGCGGTGCGCACATACACTCCGAGGACCGCTGGGTTCACGGCCTCAGGGTTGTCGATCCATACCACGATATACAGCCACAAGTGGCGGTGGCTGATCAGGTCGTTCTCCTGCCAAGCCTTCGGGAAGTACCATGCGTACATGATGGCCCACTTGCCCTGGTACCAGTCCGATCGAGTGTAGACTTGCGAGCCCCAAGCAGATCCCTTGCATTCCCCGTCGGGCTTGCCGCCCCATTTCAGACCGTTACTGACCGCTCCGTCACGGCGAACTGCAGGGTAAGTATGAAATCCGTAGGAGATCTGCAGCTGCGGCTTGAACTTGACTGCGGCCTTCTCGGAAGCGCCGACAGGCTCCAGCTCAGGGAACGGCTGGACTTCGTCGTGGTTGATCCAATTCACCTCGGCTTGGGCGGTGGCAAAACAGGCCACAGCAGCGAGGAGGATTGCATCGTTTGGGGCCAAGGAGGTTAACTTGGGCCAAACGCGGGAGATTTTAGAATGAGAGCTTTATCGTCGGTGTCGAAGTAAGTTGTACTGCTGGATCGGGACGTAAACAAAGTTCACTTAAGCCTACATATTGTATTATGCGAAATCTGCAGTTCTGCTATAGCTAACGTAAAAGCAAGCTGCTTAAAAGCTACAAAAATGGCACCATACTACTTAAAATTTGAAGATTTACTTGTAAACCCATTCTACAAGCTGTGTTAAATGATGGGTTTCAGTTACGTCCCATTACTACAAAGTTGAACGCCATCACCGTCGCTTATTTATAATTGTTGTGTACAGTTTCTATGGAATATCCACGATCAAGGGCAAGCTTTGTACTTTGTACCGTACTGTTCATGAGTATTCGGGAGCGCCACCAATAGATGCACATGGACGAGGAGAACGTGTGGACACATCCGCCGATGACTCGGAGGATCCGACGGCAACAGGAGAGCCGGCGGCAGCCGGGCTCTGGGTACACCAATGAGTGGTCAGGGAGACCCATATATACTGAGATCAAGTCAAGCGAAAACCGGGAGTAATCCGTCTGATGAGAGGCACCAACGAGCACAAGGAGAACAAGAAGGAAAGCAGGAGGGGAAGACTAGAGAGTAGTTTGAGAAATGATAACATTTAATCTCACTTCGGAATTGGCCCCCTCAACCACAAGCTACAAACCAACAGGTTAACAGCCGCAACAAGCTCAAGCCCTCCCCGACGACCGATATGACGACGTCCAGCAAGAAGGCCGAAGTCATCCTGGGAAGTGACAATTACTTCCACGGGGAGTTCGCGATGCGTATGACGCTCGCGAGGAAGGGGCTGCTGGCGCACGTCCAAGTGGTGAAGGACCCGACGGAGATGACGGAGGCCTGGATGCTCAACGACATGAAGGCGCTCGGTCTGATCGCTCAAGGCGTGGCTGTGGAACACCACACGAAGATTCGGTCGGCGACGTCGGCTATCCAAGCCTGGAATACTCTACGCGAGTTCTACAACCGGACGACGATGCATAATCGGGTCACGATGACTCGTCGGCTCCACGAGTTCAAGATGGAGGACGGTGCGACGATGGCGAAGCACCTGGACAAGTTCGACGAGCTCATCGTGGGCCTTCAGACGCTTGGAGAGCCCGTCGATGACTCCCGACAACTCGTCATCCTGCTGAGCAGCTTGCCGGCGGAGTACGAGTTGATCGCATCCATCGTCGAGAACTCGAAGGACGTGACCCTCATCGAGGTGAAGGAGAAGCTGCTCAAGGAGTACGAGCGGCAGGAGAAGAAGGAGACCACGGAGCGCGCGTTGAAGGCTACCTCGTTCGGAGGTAGGGACCAGAACGGGAAGTTCGGCAAGGGCGGCAAGGCATTGGGCCGCAAGCGCAACGGCGGACGAAAGGTCGGTGGCTTCAAGGGCAAGTGCTTCAACTGTGACCAAGTGGGCCACATAAAGCGGGACTGCCCGGAAAAGGCAAATGGAGACACCGCCGAAGACTCGGTGTTTGCTGTGGCGGAGAATCCATCAGCGGGTTGGCTGATCGATAGTGGGACGACGGCTCACATGACGCCTCACCGCGATGACTTGTTCGAGTACAACGAGTCGTCGGCGGACATGTATGTGACAATCGCGGACGGGAAGAAGATCCGCGTGGCAGGGAAAGGGTCGGTGCGCCTAACGGGCATCGACGGCAAGCGCATCAAGATGGTGGAGGTGCTCCACATCCCCGGACTCGACCGGCGACTACTCTCGGTTGGAAGGTTGGCTGAACGCGGCATGAGTGTCGAGTTCCAGCGGAAGTCGTGCGTCATCTGGGACAAGACGAAGGCGATCGCTTCGGGGAAGAAGGTCGGCAAGGCGTACTTGCTGGACTGCCAGCAGGACATGGTGTATTACACCGAGTACTCGGGAGTCGACGGGAAGTGGGAGCTATGGCACGCTCGTATGGGACACTTGAACGGAGACGCTATGGCAAAGACCCGCGAGGCGACGGACGGGCTCCCGACGACTCAACAGCAGACGAAGACCCTGTGCGGAGGATGCATGAAGGGCAAGCAGACGGTCGCACATTTCCCGTCGCGGTCGACGTCGGCGACGACTCGACCGCTGGAACTAGTTCATACGGACGTGATGGGTCCTATGAAGACGAAGTCCAAGGGCGGAGCGAGGTATGTGCTCACATTTGTCGACGACTACTCGCGACACGTTGTGGTGTACTTCTTGACCAAGAAGAGCGAGGTCGTGACCAAGTTCAAGTCGTTCATGAAGCTGTACGAGAACCAGTGGGGACAGCGCATTAAATGCCTGTGCTCGGACAACGGCACTGAGTTCGTGAACACGCCGATGACTGAGATCTGCCGGGTGAATGGGATTATGCATCAAAAGACGGTCCCGTATAGCCCCCAGCAGAACGGCGTGGCGGAGCGGATGAACCGCACGATCATGGAGAAGGCTCGAAGCATGCTACACTACAAGGGCGTGGCTTCGATATGGTGGGCAGAGGCGGTCAGCGCTGCTGTCTACCTGATCAACCGGTCGACGAACAGCATGCACCCGACCAAGACTCCGTACGAGTTGACGTTCAAGTCAAAGCCTCGGCTGGATCATCTTCGAGTCTTCGGGTCGATGGGTTACGCTCATGTCGACAAGTCGCGACGCACCAAGTTGGAGCCGAAAAGCTTCAAATGTATGTTTCTTGGGTACGCCGACGACTCAAAAGGCTACCGAGTGTACGACTTGGAGTCGAACAAGGTGAATGTGTCCAGGTCGGTGAAGCTGGGCGAGCGCGAGGTGAACGGCATCTACGACATGGCGCCCAGCGAGAACTCGCCGATCATTGAGTTGACGGAAGATGCCGAGGATGCGGCACTGCCCGAGGAGATACAACGACCTGCCGCCGACGAGCCGATGGAATCAGTGGAAGAGACCGTCGAGGACACGGAGATGCATGAGGTGGAGACGTCGGTGCCATCCATGCAGGAGCTGACAACGTACCGACGACTCGCGAGACCGGTATTGAAAGATGACATGGTCTTCCACCCCGAGCCGGAACGGACCCGGCGCGCCCGAGAACCGGTACTACTACTTGGAGATGGTTCCGCAGACGGTGAGGAGTCGAAAGCAGATGGTCCCGATGACTCGGACAACGATGATCACTTCTGGCCACCGTCTCCAAAGCGACCCAGGGTGGACGAAGACAGCCTATTGGCTGAGGCGGTGCTGGCCTACGCCGCAGACGTCGGCGATGCCAATGACGCACCCACCCCGTATCAGCAGGCCATGCAGAGCGACGAGTCGTCGGAGTGGGTGAAGGCAATGAATGCGGAGCTCAAGGCACACGCAGACAACGGATCATGGACGCTGGTCCGTCGGACACCGAGTGCTCGACCGATTGGTTGTCGCTGGGTGTCCGCAAAGAAACGCGACGAGCACGGCCGAGTCATCCGGTATAAGGCCCGCCTGGTGGCGAAAGGGTTTAAGCAGAAGTATGGCGTGGACTTCTTCGAGACGTACTCGCCCGTGGCCAGCATGAACTCGATCCGAGTGGTGTTGTCGGTTGTGGTGGCCGAGGCGTACATCACCGAGCAGCAGGATGCGGACACTGCCTTTCTCAACAGCGGGCAGGTGGAGCGCGTCTACATGGAGGTACCCTACGGAATCATCAACGCGAAGAACATGATGTGTCGGCTGCAGAAGGCGATCTATGGTCTGAAGCAGGCGGCAAATGCCTGGCATAAGACCATCCACCGAGTCTTCGTGAGCATCGGATTTCGGAGCTGCGGCGGTGACCAGTGCGTATACGTCAAGGGCGAGAAGGGCAGGTTCGTGTACGTCTGCCTGTACGTGGACGATATGATCATCGCAGCCAAGACGAGCAGCGAGATCCAGGAAGTCAAGGTGGCGCTCAAGAATGCGTTTAAGATGAAGGAGTTGGGCGAGGCCAAGTTCATTCTCGGTATGGAGATCGACCATGACTCATCGGCGAAGACTCTCATGATCAAGCAGACTCGATACATTGATGATGTGGTGAAGCGGTTCAACCAGCAGGACGCCAAGGTGGTGGTGAACCCGTGCGAGTCGGGCATGAAGTTGTCGAAGACTCAGTCGCCGATGACTCAGAAGGAACGTGAGGAAATGCAGGCGAAGCCCTACCGAGCACTCATTGGCTTTTTGCTGTACATTACAACGTGCACCAGACCTGATGTGGCGTACATCGTGACCCAGTTGTCGCGCTTCTCGAGAACCCCGGGCAGCAGCACTGGAAGGCTGCCATCCGCGTGGTCAGGTACCTGAAGAGCACCCGAGACATCGGCATCGCCTACAATGGGAACGCGAAGAAGGTCGAGGTGACGGCGTACACTGACGCCGACTGGGGCAGTAATCTCGACGACCGACGCTCGGTGTCGGGCATCATGGTGATGATTAGCGGGGCGCCGGTGGTCTTCAAGTCGAAGTACCAGCGCACGGTGGCGCTCAGCTCGGCGGAGGCCGAGTACATGGCGCTGAGCCTGTGCACGCAGGAGGTGCTGTGGACCCGCGCCACGCTCAAGGACATGGGTCACGAGCAAGTGGGAGCTACCCAAGTATGGGAGGACAACCAGGGCGCGATCGCTCTCGCAAGCAACGCTGGCTACAACTCGAGGACCAAGCACGTGGACATCAAGCATCACTTCATCCGCGAGAATGTGTCCCGAGGACTCATCGTCGTCATCTACGTGCCGACGGAAGACCAGCTCGCGGACATGCTAACAAAGGCGTTGGGGACGAAGAGGCTCCAGTACCTGATCTGCGCAAGCGGAATCGTCGGGACGGTCGTGCAGCATTAGCGGCGAGTGGGAGTGTTCATGAGTCTTCGGGAGCGCCGCCAATAGATGCACATGGACGAGGAGAACGTGTGGACACATCCGCCGATGACTCGGAGGATCCGACGGCAACAGGAGAGCCGGCGGCAGCCGGGCTCTGGGTACACCAATGAGTGGTCAGGGAGACCCATATATACTGAGATCAAGTCAAGCGAAAACCGGGAGTAATCCGTCTGATGAGAGGCACCAACGAGCACAAGGAGAACAAGAAGGAAAGCAGGAGGGGAAGACTAGAGAGTAGTTTGAGAGACGATAACATTTAATCTCACTTCAGAATTGGCCCCCTCAACCACAAGCTACAAACCAACACGTACCAAGACAAACGCTAGTACGGTATGCCTCCAGCCAGCCGGGAACGCACGAAAGCTTTGTCAGCGCACGAAATCTCAGGCACACTGCTCTTCAGAAACTATAGTGAAAAGTGTAACTCCGTAGGTGGACCAAACTACAAAGTATTTGCGCTTAAACACTGGTGCATACAAGAACATCTAGCAGGCTGAGGTGTTCTGAAATCTATGAAAGTAAACCGTACTACAATTCGCAGCTCGAGCTATCGCACAGATATTTTTTTGCTGTGGTGAACATTTATGTCTTCACTTTTTCCACCCGCTTTACAGTTTTCGAAATGTTCAATGATTTTGGGTATTTATTTGAAGTAGGTACTTTTTGATTGTCGACGACAGTAGCCACATCTGAAATCGGTGTTTCAAATAGCCACTTTTTGCATGTCGGCTACGTAACGTGGATCATTATACTATTCATGCGATTGACTTATAATGACGAACGAAGGCAAAGCTCAACGACGAGTATACTGCCGATGCCCCGCTTTCTGTGTAGTTCAGCAAATGGTTGTGCTAAGGGGAATCAAAACTCGGGTGAACATGGAAAAAAGTCAGTTACCACAACATCAGTTAGTATCGTTGCCGTTCGCTCACCTGAAGAATGACATTAATGCCGAGAAAGCCGCCGTCGAGTACAAGCTAAAATTTCGGGCGGTTGTCAGCCACACGCTTCGATTCATTTTAATCGGACTGCAAGGGTCCCAGCTTGGGCTCTCAAGTACTCTGAAGCTCTCAAGTAATTTCGCGCTCGGACTCGTACAAGGACAATTGGGCCATCATGTACAGATGATGCTTCTTGAAAGCGGCCGACTTCATCATGTGGGCAGTCTCTGGTCGTTGATAGTATTGAAAATATGAGGTTGTCTGGTTCGACAGTTCTTCCACCGACAACTAGACCATCTTCGGCACGCCCACGAGCACGGGAAAAGGTTTAAATTGATGTCTCCAAAAGGCGAAGTACCTGGAAGGTTCTTCGGTGAAGGTCAACTCATACTACTGTCTTCTTCGCAGTACTGGAGCATCATCATGGCAGCCATGCTGCTGCCGGTGATCCTCACCCCAACGCTCAAAGAAGGTGCCGCCGCTGCCATCGCTGGCTGCCTGGGTACGCTCCTGGCCGACGCCATCGCTCTCGGCGTGCTGATGAGCGGCATCGGCTCGGATCACCCGCCCGTGATCTGCCCCGACTTCGACTTGGGCCAGGTATCCAGCTCATTCGGTAGCCTGGCTCTGGCCTACTCCGCCGTTGTTTTTATTTGGTTTTTGAATTGAGGTACATTAGGGGGTTTCAGTTAATAATTTCTTCAAACGATGAGCCCAAGGAATGAGCTCATTCCTTCAAGGAATAAGCCTCCGGAGGCTCATTCCTTGGGCTCATTCCTTCCGAAAGCCTCATTCCTTGGTCATACGAAAAACCCTTTTTAAACAGATTTACATCGGTTTCGTCGGGTTATTGATTACTAACAGAAAGCAACTCCGTACGCAAAAGGAAACCACGCACTCGCGAAGGCTTCACGGAAGGTGGCCTCGCAGACAATGGCTGTAACGAAGACGGCCGTGTCAAAGAATACTCAGCAGAAGAAGGCCTCGCGCGTGAAGGCCCAGCATGCAAACGCTCCACCGAAGAAGGCATCTAGGAAGAAGGCTAGCAAGACGAATGACTCGCAGAAATCGGCCCCATCAAAGGCATCTAAGCCCAAGCAAACCCAGCAGAAGTCCAAAGCGGCCAACCTCACAGACAGAGGCGCCAGCAGCAGAACGAGTGGTGCGTCATGCGGTAGCAGAGATGCTGGAGGAGTCAGAGGAGGAGGACCAGCCGCACGAGTCGGAGGAGCTCTCCGAGCACTTGGAGCTGGCTGACGAGCTGGAGCAGACGGCGAAGACGTCTCGGGAGAGACGGAGATGCAGGCACCGAGCAAGTACGCGCACACGACGCGCATCCAACTCGATGGGATGATCCGCTGGATGGAGAAGCCAAGCAATCGCGCCATCTATCTTGGCGAGTCAACAGCTGGAAAGGGCATGACCCATGGAGCTGGGGTGACGAAGCTGTCTGGTTTTGCTAGCATGGCGGAGTATGTTCACAACTACGCGATGAAGAACGACCTGCGGACCCTCGACACACGAGCAAATGGGGCGCGGCACTGAGTAGCGCACGGAGTCCAACGCGTGGCGCAGTTTCACGAGATCTGGCAGGACATCGTCTTCTGAGGCGTCTTCTTCGTCGTGTCCCGCGCGACCCGCCTCCTGTAGCTGCCGGGCCATCGCTAGCTGGAAGATGGTGGTCGACACGCCGCGCTTCTGCTTCTTGAAGTCAGAAGGAGATATTTTCCTCCAAATATTCAGTAGAGGATCAGATTATTCTATTAACTGTTACTTAAATACAAGATGTCTGGTAAGTCCTAAGCCAGGATATCAGCGCCGGTGTCTGCAAAGAGCCCGGTGGCCTTACGTGGCTCACCACTTGTTGTGGTGTCTCATGTAGGGGGCAGTCATACATATCTAGGCAGAGCAGTAGCCGTATGCCCTGGACCATTGTGTGCGGTTTCCTCCGCTCTCGTTTAGCCAGCGCACGTAAGTGTCGCCCTGCTGCTTGCCTGAATTCTCTCACGCTGCTTTCTTGTGAAACTCGCCCACCTTGGTGAACTACTCGGTTTCGCTGTATCCAAAGTGACGTTACGCAGATCGTGCACAGGATCCGCCACATGCGCTTTCACTCGCCTTCGTATGCTTCCGTTTCATCTTCGAAGACGGTGGCGAACCTGGTTCGAATTCGTTGAGAAATCGGAGGTGCCGATCTTGACGCACAATAGCGCTCGAACGTCCGCACCTGCTCTGGACTCTGCACCTGACCTGTCCATCGCTGTGCTACTTCCTGCCAGCACGCTTGGGCACATGGACATTGCCAGAATATGTGCTCTAACGTCTCCTTTTGTCCTTGGCATCGATCGAGTTTGCGACAGCTATTGTTCTGCTGTCGCCCTTCGAAATATAGGTTTAACTGGCATGTTGCCAGCCTGTATGCACCCATACCTGATACTCCGACAGCATATTGCCATGTAACCAGAGTTCTTTCGGTGTCTGTCGCATAACGTGATTTTGCCATCGATTTCGTGTTGCCCGTTCGTCGAGGCGGTGAATGACTCGGCCTAAGGCTGCTTTGTCTTCTCCCCCTTTGTAGCGGCGGTATGGTTGTTGCTTCAGCGCCTGGACGATATGTCTGTTCGCAATCGTGTCTGGAACCTCCCACGGGTATCTGTGTATCCACGGGTTTGCCTACCTCTCCGCTGTGTATTCTCGAGCTTCGTGATGTCAGCAGCTAAGCTTTGTGGTAGGGAATGGTGGTCTCTGAGTTCCCAATGTATACCATCTTCGTGCTGGTGCAGCCGAAGGGAAGCGACTTTCCGTCGCTGGTCATCGAGGACGACTCCACTAACTGCCCCTTGTGCATTCACTGTTCACAAATATTGATGTTGTAACTCCAGTTGATGCCGTAGATCCAGCTCCCGCTTTACCCGCATCTCCTCCGCAATCCCCAGTGGTGGCGATCCAAGAAAAACTGCCAAACCCCATCGGCCCAGCTTAGGTCTGGTGTGGTGCTTGGTTTCCCCTAATGGAGACGGGATAGCGATAGAGTATGATGCTACCCCAGTTCGCTGAATGTGTAGCTCGGCTAACGCGCACACTCGGATCCGATGATATTTCTTTCTTGTAAGCACAGCTCCCCCTACTTCCCGTAGCCAAGGATTGTCACACCACAAGAACGTAGGCCAAAACCTCTTGTCTACCTCCCGCCAAGTCCACTTCTGCTCGGGTATGGGTGGATTCAAACTGATTTCGAGTGTGTTGCCATCCCGCCAACACGCCATTTCACTCAACAGCGTGGCCATGTGGCTTTCGCGATAAATCTGCATTTTCAGTTCGATGTCCGAGTCGGGTGCGAGCCCTCCACCTATCACCGACCGCAGCCTCCTCCCTGAAAGGACCAATCCTCTGTTGTGCTGCTGCAGCAGATGCTGTGGAGAGATTGACTGTCATCCCCTCGGAATGCCCATGATCGCCACGCCCCATAGTAAATATCCAGTCGTTGGGTGAGCCACAAAAGAGCATCTTTCATCCGCTGAGTTTTGATAGCCACGCCCACCGAGACCAGCCCAATACCCCCGCTCGCTTTGGCGTATAAAGTAAGGCTGGGCTGACTTTGTGTCGGCTGGGGTCTGAGCTAGTGGAGTGTCTCCAGATAAACTGTTTCTGAAGATTCCGAATTTCGCGATCCGCCCAGTGTGGCAGGTCATACACTGCTGCTGTAAATAAAATTGCCGGCATCATGATAACGTTCAACAGCGTCACCCGCACTTCAACGCTCGTTGCCAGTTACGCTGCCGTCGCCAGCCTGCGCCGTATATTCCTGATGCGAACAGCCCAATTGTAATCCGTCATTGGGCCTGTCCCGATATAATATCCCAAATATCGTACTGTATCACCATGTTGGAGTACCGGTATGCTGTGGAACTCCTCGAGGCTAATGTCCGTGTTTAGAAATATAAGCCTGCTCTTTGCGGGCTGGACATGAAGGCCGGAGAGGTCCCCGAATCGTTTGACGATCTGCATCACTCTGGGGATGTATCGACCCTGGTTGACGAATACGGTCGAATCGTCGACGAATGCCGAAAGCTTATGCACTGCGCCGGCTGTACCGGGTACTTGTAAACCCTGGACGGTCGTATCTTGGGCTATCGCTAGCGCCAAGATTTCTGCAACCAGTAGAAAAAACAAAGGTGCGAGTGGACAGCCTTGCCGGATGCCAGACCGCACTGTCGTTGGATCTGATAGTTCCCCATTGACAAGGAATTGCGCCGTTGTATCCTGATGCAGTTTCCGTAGTACCTCCACAAATGCAGGTGAAAATCCAAACCGCAGCAATACAAGGAATAGAAACTCTCGCACAACTGTGTCATAGGCTTTTCGGAAGTCAAGTAACATAATTGCTTTACTCAGCTCTGCTGTCAAGTCCGGTTCACCCTTCGCAGTCGCTACAATCGCCATCATCATCATAACTATTTTCATCATCTGGCGTCCATGGACAAACCCTTGTTGCGTCTCTCCAATTACTTTCCCCAAGATTCGCTGCACTCTCATCGCCATCACTTTTGCAAAGATTTTGTACCCGGTTTGCAACAGCGAAATTGGTCGGTAGTCCATTGCGTCTCCCGAATCACCTTTCTTTCGCAGGGGAATGATCACACCCTCGAGAAAAGAAGCCGGTGGGTCCCCACCACGAAGCAGCTCGTTGCCAATTGTCACCATCGCCGGGGCCAGCACGGCTTGTGCATCTTTGAAAAAGTCGTTGTTGAGTCCGTCGGCTCCGGCCGCCTTGTGTCGATTAAGTGCTGATATCGCTGCTATGACTTCATCAAGAGAAATATCACTCATGAGCATCGTGTTGTCGTCGTCTGTCAATTTCCGTTCAAGTGGAATCGAAACGAAGTCGTCTAATTCCTGTTCCAGTGTTGTGCCTGGTACCGTTCCATGACACTTGCTGAGAATTGGCTTCCACTCTGATGCAAATTTGTCCGCTACAATCATGTTGCGCCCGAACTCCTCGCCGTTGATCCTATTGATTCCCGTCACATGCTGATCACACTCCCAGTCTGAAACCCGTTTGAATTGCCATCGAAGTCGTTTCGTGGTTCGTTCTAGCTGTTGACCGATTCGCACCATTCTCTCCTCCCTGAGTTCCTCCACACTGGCTGCAATCAGATCTCGCCGGCTGCTGAGGTGCTGTCTCGCTTGTGAGCGAATCTTTGCTCCGTAGCGCTTTCGTCTTTGATTCACCCATTTCCGCACCTTCTGGATGCAATGGACACATTTGCGTGCCTCAGCATCCCACGTCGCTGCGGTTGCGCTTTTGCCGACTTCCTCCATAATAAGCTCGTTCATAAGCTCATCTAGGACCCGGTCGGGCTGGGACGAACGTATTGGGTACGTTACCCGTCGACTAGTCCGGCATGGAGACGGTGTTTTATCGTGAGCCATTTGGCCGCGTGATAGCTCCAGAATACGTAAAACTCGATTGGTTCCGGTGGTTCTTCGTCATCAACATGCCCGGTTAGAATTTGCGCGTCTTCAAGTGCTAGCTGACGTTGCAGTTCCTGTAGCGCTGCAATTTCCGGTCTTCCCGTCTTTCGTTCGCCGAGTCTGTCGAGATGAGGGTTTTGCACGCTGTTAAAATCCCCAGCGAGAACAACGTTGCTGCCGCCCCATGACAAGCTCTGTAGACCAGTGAAAAACGCCTCTCGTTCGGTTGCATCATTCGGTGCATACACATTGACCAGTATAAGAGTGGGATTCTCCAGAAGTTGAGCGGTGCTGCTAGAAAGATTCGTGTTGCTAATTTTAACTGAACCCCCCCATGAAAATCATTCCTTGTATTTCTACAGTTTTCTGCCGACTCATTCCTTGAAGAAATTATTAACTGAAACCCCCTATTGTTGTCACTTAGTTCTTCCTAACGACTACAACGACCGGTCCCGCAGATGCTAACCCGTCATCTGCAGGTTGGGCTCCTACTTTGCGTATCGCCTCTGTCGCGTCTTCCTTACTCGGCGTCCGCGTCAGGCTCTTCAGCCCCTCCAGTGAAATATGCATCCCGCCATTGCCTGAGGTCACCGTCTAAAAGGCGAGTGACTTCTGCCCAGCGGGGTTGGTTGGTCCGAGCGAAATACCTGACGACTCTTGCGATCGTCCATCGCGATATTTGCCAACATGTCAGCGGCCTTGTTGAAGGCTCTCGAATGATGGTTCCACGTGCACAGATGGACCCGATCTGCTATCCCTCTGCATTGCGCGAAAATGCTCCGTAAATGTGGCGCTCTGGGCGGACGCCGTCTCCTCATCTGCGCCAATATCATCGCGCTATCGCCCACCACGTGGAGATCGGTCAGTCCGTTGGTGAGTGCGTAGTTCAGTCCTGCACACAGTGCCACACAGTGCCCGGTACTCTGCTATATTGTTTGTAGTTCGTCGCGATGCCAAAGAAATGCTCGCCATCCATTCAACGGTAGGTGTCGGTTCTCCTTGAGGAAGCAAGACTATCGGACCAGGGTTTCCGCGGGATCCTCCGTCGAAGAACAGAATTGTAACCGGCTTCGATAGCGTAATAGGACGTGATGGACGTCCACAACTGTGATTCCCAAGTAGAGCATATGAAACTATCTTGGCAGCTTCGTGTCGCCCTCGGGATGGCGAGATCTGAGTCAACAATAGCCTGTGTAAGCAGTTGATGTAAGCCTGACGGAGCCTGCCCGTCAGTATAGCAGAGGCATGGTGCACGCTCGCATCTCTGACAGGATCCCAATAATCCGCTCTACGACGCCAGATCGCCTGCCTACTCCGTCGTTGTGCTAGTGCCCGCTTTGCAGCGGGAGCACTCACAGCCTGAGCGTATGCCGCGCGTCGTCGCCACCACGATGGCCTTCACGGCGTGTCTGTTCCTCCTCATCGGCGCAACTTCGTACGCCGTCGTGGGCTGCCAGATCCCTGGTAACCGGCTGTTCGCCATCGGTAGCACGGCGCTCGACCTGAACGTCAACCGCGGTGCTGTTGTGATGGCCTACCTGTTCATGCAGCTGCACATCACCATCGCCATGTCCGTGGTTCTAAACCCCGTGCTGTACATTCTTGAGCGTGGAGTGCTGAGCATGCACAAGCGTCCGCTCCTCGCTGGTGTCGACGAGGAGTCCCCCGCCTTCGAAAGCATCAGCACGCTTCATAAAGACCGTGTTTCAGTAGTCGCGGGCCCTTCTGTCACGTCACTTTGCTGACGCCGAGTACGATCTGTCCGCAACAGTGGCCCCATCGTGACTGACAAGTACATGACGCTGCGCATCTGCGTAGTGGTGATCCTGCTCGTCCTGGCCATCATTTTCAAGGACCACTTCGATGATTTCACCGATTTCGTCGGTGCCTGGGCCGTGTCGATGGGCTCTCGTTAAAGCAACGGCAAGACTAGCAACTTCAGCAACGTCAGGCCTAGCAACTTCAGCAACTTCAGGATGAACCACTGAATGATAAATGGCCTAGCAACTTCAGGTACGTCGCGGTTGTAGCATATGTAGGATAAGCAACGCCAAGCAACGGCAGGTCGAGCAACGTCAAGCAACGGCGCCAGCGATGAGAGTGATTCAGCAATTTTCTGACACTGGCTCAGTCAAACATTTCTACGCAAATCAAGTCTCGGCACTTCACGTACATCATCTTCAACGCCGCAAGGACGTATTATCTAGGCCAGGCATGTTATGTTAAATAATTGTGTTGTCAAGTGAAGATGAATTCGTGTATTTCATGCTTAGAGTTCTTGCTCTAGTGTTCGTATCCTATCAAACCATCACTTCAGTTCGAGTTGTAGCTGAATAGTACGCGCTGATGCGTTTGTTGATATCTCCCAGCCTACTCCAGAGTGTAGGGTCATCCCCAGCTTGTTGAACGTCGTCACAATTGCAGAAAATCTCCCACATAATGAGTAGCCTCATCACTTCTACGTCTTTAGCACTCAAAATGCGCTTGCCTTGTAGGAGTTTCCCGCCATTTAGAAAACTGCATGCTTGAGCAAGACAGAATACACCGCAGCTAGCCGCATCGCTCTGGACTGGGTACTTCAACCACTCCATGCGCACTGGTGGTGAGTAGGTTGACGCTGGACTTTTGTTGTTGTCTGCCAAGTTGCACAACGATGCAGCACCGAACTCGCGATTTTCAGCTACATCGGCTCTTTTTGAGCGCATTAAAAAAAAGCAGTGTGTGATCAATGTTCCCCATCATTAACGCGGGCAATATTACTTACACTGAGAAGCCGCATACCTTGCTCCCGATGAATGCTACTGGGATCAGATCTTCTTCATTTTCTACGTTCTCCATGTAGTTGTTCTCTCTTGTCCACCTTAACAGTTCACTTCTTAAACTGGCCAAGATTTTAAGCGGGACGAGGAAGTTGTGCGCGAACGTTCCAGGAATTGCGACTGTGCTCTGCACCTGGGGGACTCGCTTCTCAATAAATTTCTCATTGAGACGCACAGGAAGCGATTAATAATCTCATGAACTCGGGTCACGCCCAGAACAAAACATCTTCAAGGCTGATTGGGCAATCGCAGGAAACGTCGAGAATTCCGTGTCTGGTACTGCCAGCGTGACAGCGCATTCGCAGAATGCTCAGCAGATTTGGGTAAAGCAAGAGTGTCTACACCGCACGCTTGATCGCTACTACCGCGAATCCTCTTCGTGGATAGGTTGTATCTCTTCGCCGTCGCAGGTTCTGCAGCATTGACCTGCGGGGGGTCGTCTCTATCAGAACGGTTTGCTTGCTCATACTCGACTTGGGTTGGCTCTATCATTTCGTCTTCGATAGAATCGACTGCAGGTCTACTTTCAGGGCAAATCCCTGGTATAGGCGAGTCGTCGTCACCGAAGCTCGACTTCTAACGGGGTTAAATCCCATTCAGAACGCACAGGTGGTAGGTCATTCATTATCTTCACAACTGACAATCTCACGATCCAGGCTTTCAATATCGCTGGGCTCTGATTCGAAGTCGGTATCATCGTCATTTATGGGCTCGTTCAGATTCATTTCCCATTTCTTCGTAAAATCACTGAGAATTGTTCTTAGATCCGGGAAGCGCTCGTAAAAACGATGGGAGGGCAATTGTTGCATGGCGGTCAGCAGTGGGAAAAACTCTGCTTGAACAATATTGTATTTTTCGCTGTCAGAAAAACGGCTTGTTCACACTTCTCCCCCCGTTTCAGCTTCACATATCCAATACACCGTCGTACCACACCAACATTAAGACTCAATCCTGGATCTTTAGCTGTACAACCGCGAATAACACGAACTAGAGTCAAACTTTTGAGGGTCACCTGTAGCGATACCATCAGAGACGACGCATCTGGCATCGACCAACGTTTTGGCAGCAGCGTGTTCCCGAATTCAGGGAGGTTCATCGCCACACTAGTGATACCAAAAATATGCTGACATGGTAGCTTTGTCGACACATTGAACAGACAATCACAACGTGGCTCTGACCCAGTTTTCCAATCAACTTCGATTCCTCGGCCACTCTCTGTTACCAACTTGAATATATCTCCGCCTTCGTGCGATGAGTGAGTCCATTCCCACGTGTCGCCGTAGACCACACTGTAGTCCCATTGGAGTTTTACACGCTGGAAGCAATATGGGCTGAGGACTTGGCTGAGTTGCGTGAGATGCCCAATTGAGTTAGTCACTCCAGGATTTCTCAAGTCGTAGCCTCCAATTGAGTTTAAGAATTCGCGCAAGACCAATGCCTGATGCTGAAAGATAACTTTCAAACACTTGTCCATGCTGACTTTTATTCGGAGAAGCTGTTTAATCTGCCCCCAACTACACCTTTGCCAATCCAAGTTGGCAGCAGTGTAAAGCAAAACGGTGTGAAGTAACTTAAGTAACATCCAAAAATCGGAAAATAATTTTTGAAATTAGTATTTAGAGCAATGTGGATTTAGTGCAGAGCAAACCCAAATCACTGGTCAGTAACAGACTGTCTCCGCCGGCAACATGCCCCAAGAGCCGAAGCATGCACGCGTGTGCTCGATGCACACCGAGAAGAGCGTGACTGGGTGCTGGTTGCCGACTGCAACGGCATCCCTCCCACTACTCCCCGCAACATCGTCCAGCGCCAAGCCGCTGATGTCAAGAAGAGAGGCGGGGCGCGGGCGGCGTGCACGAAGTGTACTCCAGAAATGGAGGAAGGTCTCGTGGGCTACCTGGAAGACAACTGCCAGTACACACTCGTGCAGATGCAGGAAATGCTTGCGTTCGACTTCAGGGTGCACATCAGCACTTCGTTGATCAGTAAGAAGCTTTGCGATAAGCTTTACACTGTTAAGCAGGTACGCCTTCAAGTTATTATGCTATCACTTTTACCATCTACTGTACTAAGTATGTTCCCTGTGATAGGCTCGCGTAGAGCCCGAGACCTGCAATAATGCTGTAAATATCGAGAAGAGGAGGGTGTTTGGTGAAGCGTTGCTGAAGCATGAGCGGAACGGTGCTTTTATCGTGTATTATGACGAGACCAACTACAACCTGTACTGTAAGCGGACGCAAGGCCGCGCTCCTGTCGGACAACGCGCTATCGTCAAGCTCCCTCCCTCTAAGGGGGCTAACTTACAGGTGCAGTGCGCAGTTTCCCCCGAAGTCGGCCTCGTGCACTACGCCACGCGTCTTGGCAGCATCAAGATGGAGGTCAATGCCGAGTTTGTGGACGAGGTATACGACGGGGTCAAGGCCCACGACGTGTACCGCGACCACTTTCTGGGCAAGACCATCGTCATCGTCCTGGACAACACGCCTGTCCACTGCCAGACGGGGGATCTTGTCCTACAGCGGGCGGATCTGGAGTTGCTACGCCTAGGGCCGTACTCGCCTATGTATAACCCGATCGAAGGTACGGTTAGCTTATCTTTTGGTGCGATATACTTAGAGGTACTGAGGCGATACAATGTATTATTGTGCAGGTTGCTTTAGCGTTTTAAAAGATCGCATCAAGGCGTATCTGGGCTTGAGCCACGATGAGATGATCAACGTGCCGCACAGCCAGAAGACGGAGCGTAGGATGCGACTGCTCGAGAAAGCCGCGGAGCACTGCATGCCTTGCATTGACATGCGCCTCGTTAACAAGATGGCGCGACACTGTGCGCTGTCTGTCGCCGCTGCTATTCGTAGCGAGCCCATGGAGTATGGAACTTAGATGTTTGCTGTGAACTAAATCCACATTGGTCTGTACTAATCCTCGAAAAAAATATTTTGAAAAAAATATTTTTCGTATTTACGTGACTCTCGGCTTTGCCTTACACTACTGCCAACTGGATTGGCAAAGGTGTAGACTCAATCCGATTGGTCGTGGTGTTGCCAGCAGTAAATCGTTGCCGACGGCCATAGTTACTCCAGCGCTCGCTGCACTTATCGCAGCATCGGCGAAAGTACGCCAGGAAAGAGGGACTTATCTCCGAGACACGTTTTTCGAAAACTGCCAAACGAGCTTTGTACCGTTCGGGTGAGGATGCATACATCAGTGAGCGGAATAGCTCTTCGACTTCATCACGTAGTTTTAAGGGCACAAAGTACCCTCGGCGTTGTTAGTGTTGTGGGTCCAGTCTAGAACGAGTGTATCTCCCCATCGAGCAAAAATCTCTCTCTGAGCGGCGCTCTGAACGACAATACCTACCGTGAGATCCCAGTCATCTTGTATGAGAAGACATTGGTTGCCTTCGTGTTGCACAAATTCAGCAATCATAGTTTTAAGCCGATCCTCTGTGGTTGCGGATCCCAGTCTGCTGTTAATCAGGTTTCGAATCTGCTGTGGCGCGAAGGGAAACCCTTGTATTATACGAACAGATGAGTCCCTTAATTCAAATATTTTTCAATGCCTCATCTCCCGTATTAATATCGAACGCACCTGTTTTTCTCGAGAGATAATCTGTTATCTGCTTCGTGTCAGTGTTGGTTTCGACAAACGCGTCGAGCTGTTCCAGCATTTCGTCTGAGAGAATCTCTGTGCTGTTTTTAAGAGCTACGAACAAGTGAGGTTGTGGTTATGACAGGAGAACTGTAAAAAAAGCATGACGAAACGTGAGTTGGAGGAAGTATGATATCACATACAATGTTGCAAGGCAAGACACGCACCTCAGCTGTGATTTTAACTACCCATGGAGGCCCCGCGGTAGAGTTTGTGTCTTCGTGAAGGGTGGAACGTCAAACCTCTGCCCTAAAAAAGCCTTTGCACTCACGATATCTCGACGTACGTGTCGTTCGCTTCCCTGTTTCACGCGAGGGCTGCTTACATCCCAGTGTGCACATGTATTTTCGAAACGCGAGTTTGAATTGCGGTGGCACTGTCCTGGCCTTGAACTTGGCATTCCATTTGTGGCACGAGTTCGAGTCACGAACTCGATAGCACACCAAATTCGTTTTTTCGTACTCGCCCCAAAATTCTTCTAGTTTTTCCCAAGATACAAATTCTTTTCCCAGCACGGAAGGAATTTCCCGGGAAATTACTGTAGGGAGTTAGTACGACAAGCAGCACAAATCCAGTTAGATAATACAACGTACTAAAACAAATTGAACTGTCTACCTGGTGCTTGACGGGTAGCCACCAAAACCAGGCTTGGATCCTTCATCTCTGGCGTCCTCTTCATTTTCATTGACATCCTCGAGGCGGTCTAATATTCAGTTATACATTGTAAATAAACCATACACGTGACCGAAACATGAACATTTACACTTACGCCGCTTCTCTCCACGGCTGAAGCCTAACATTTACAAGTACATATTTAATATGAGAATTGAATACGGACCAAATGAAGCATAACGCTTTAACGTACCGGGAGTGCTCATTCTGAAGCGAACGTCGCTCTGTTACAGAAGCTGTAAGGCACAGGAATGGGCGGGACGGGGAAGGGGGTCGAGGTGCGGGGGAGAAAGGAAGTGGTAGGGAACTGGAGGCTGGTGACTGGAGCAGACAGAGCGGAGAGTACAATGCAGAAAGTTAGCCTCCTTGCCGCATTATAGCACACAGTCTTCTATCTACCTTCCAGAAACAGCGCAAAATTCTAAATGAAGCAACCCAGGAGTCAAAACTCCTCTCCCGCGTACCAGATGAAAATTAAGTTGCTGAAGTTGCCGAAGTGGCCGACGTTGCTAAAGTACCAGCTGTTGCTGCAGTTGCTAAAAGCCCTGTCGCCTTTACTGGAGCTCTGCACGTTCCTACGGTAGCATTAGAAATTGCCGGATTCATCCGCACCTGTCGCTTCTAAGATTTACGAAGACGTGAGGCAGATCCTAACGATGTGCTCACCCAAAGCAGTAGCACGATGCAGATACATAAACCGGGTATCCTGATCAATGACACAACGTACAGAGGATCACTTGCCACAAAAATGATCCACATTCTTACACACTGCAGTAAGGCATAACAATATGCACCAAGTGTAATAACGTGCGTCAGGTCATGGAGCATAGCCCCAGCATGGCCGACGAATAGCATCCATGGAGAGTACAATAGGCCTACAAACGTGTAGTGCATCTAATATACAGTTAAACCATGATAGCGTTAGTGCACACAGATCAGTTTAACGACTACGCTGCCATACAAATATGCCCCGCGCGTATCAGTTAGACATTTTTAGTGGTGAGTAGTAATAGGATTGAGATATGAAGGAACATGACCACAACTGAGCTTAGGATGCCGGAAGGTTAGGATACAGCAAGACTCGAGCAAGTTGCCGATGCCAACAACTAATCCCATTTCATACTTTTATCCATTAATGTATTGGTGATGCCGATGCCAACAACTAATCCCATTTCATACTTTTATCCATAAATGTATTGGTGATTCGTCCTGCATATTAACGCTCTCTGACTAATGTTCCTAGTTAACAGTGGTTTGACTGCACCATCCCACATACGCACCACGACGTCGCCACAGTTTCCATGTGTCCGGTTGGAATTTGTTGATGTAGAGAGGGAGAACATGCCGTCCCAACTAAGTTTAGGCACGCAGAGTATCCCTATGAACGAATTAAATACAATCTATCTCAACGAAAAGGCGAGCGCCGCCCTCGACACACTAGCAGGTAATTCGCATCGAAAGAGATAGTGGCGTCAAGCTCAGCCTACTAAAAAAAGAGAGCTTAACTGTGAATGTTACAAACAAAATAAACCTCAACATCAGACGTTTGTTTGTAAAGATCTTCATTTTGAACGATTACAACAAGTCTAACTAAGTTTTGGATCAACGTCACTAACAAGTAATTTACACACACTAGTGTTAGCAACACAAGAAAATATGTGGAGACCCTACCATCAAATGCATAGTAGATAACGGTGCCAATCACAACTTTCTACCTGCAATGTACTAATATGTAAGGTTAGTAGCGTGTGTATGATAATAGAAACTACACCAATGTGCAACAAAACGTACAATAAAATTTACATCAGATAATGCGCAAAGAGCTTTTTGTGAAAACCGCTTCATTTGCCTATTTTGCTCGTAAATCGATCGATTAGTACCCTGTTTTAGCTCGATCGATTTGTAAATCGATCGCGTCCTGCGATGCATATGTGAGTGGATGTGCAGTTTAGGCGATCGTTTTATGGAAGCCACGTTGATATAGCCGTGCTTCATCAGAATGCCTAGGCAATCGCACAGGCAAGCGATGCATCTAGATCACGATCGATTTCAGCCCTGATTTGTACTCTGATTAATTATGTGGTTGAAGTCTAATAAGGGGTTGCTACAGATATGCGTTTTAGCCGGTTCTCACAATAACTATTCGATAAATTAAAATTGCAGAAATATCCATCCCCTAACCCTATGATATCCTGACGTTGCTGAAGTTGCTAGTCCTGACGTTGCTGAAGTTGCTAGTCCTGCCGTTGCTTTAACGACTTCGGTGTCGATGTCCTGCATCATTCTGCCGATCTTCTTCTACCTCAAGGTATTCTGGAGCCGCGTCCCGTCGTACGAGAAGGCTGTCGGCGCATTTATTATCGTCTTTTGTGCTGGCCTGGGCGTCTATGTGACGTGCATGACGGGCAAGAACCTCTTCCTGAATATTGTGAGTGACTAGACGTTCCCGTACTGCCCCTCGGGCTACGACATGGTCGTGTACACGAACGAGACGTTTGACGGCAACAACGAGAGTACTCGTAGTTACAAACTCATAAACTACGGGCACACGGTTTGAGAGGAGAAATTAAACTGGCGCAGCAGGTTGCCCCCATTTGTTGAAACGCACGTAGGTGGAGAACGTACGTCTGAACTAAAAAATGACTGACCGATTACAGAACATGTTCCGCTCCATTGCCTACTGGGCTTGTAGTTTTAGACCATTTTGAAACATGACCATACATACAGACTTTTTGTTTTAAGACAAGTAATGCCAAGCATCCCCGAGCACGAGCAGCTAAAACCTCATGAGCGCTCGCTGATCTGTAGCTGCTCGTATCTAATCGATTTAAAGAGGGGAGCGCGAAAGTGAGCTCCAAACACTGATTGGACAATTCACAATTAGCCCCTAACTTGATCTCAAAGCGCTTCTTCATGGTAGTAGGGATACCATCAGCTTCTGCAGTTACTGTAGCCTACGGTCGCACTCATTATAGTATTGTGGGTTGCACGAGCTGTTGTTCAAAGTTGATCCATTTTAGCCAATCAGTTCACTCCTCAAACGAGCTGCTTTGCATTCGTACTTATCCGAGGGAGCAGCACAGCCCAGCTCGCGATTTGAAGCGAGCACACTGCTTTTCGCTTGCTCGTGCCCCTGCTCATGGGGGGGGCTTGGGTATTGTATTCTGGAATACCCGTAACTCAAAAGCGAGCCTTTCTTGTCGAGGGGGGATTTGTAATTTGGTCAGGATTGTACTTTTTAGATATGAAAGTAGAATTTAGATGGTCCTAAACGTAAAAAATAGAATCTTCCAGATTGCTGATGAGGCAATGTGATGGCAGAGCTGTACAGTACAGTCCCCGCGCGCTCTCAGGTAAACGAGGCAATATGATGGCAGAGCTGTACAGGACAGTACATTACCCGCGCGCTCTCAGGCAAACGTAAGACCCGCAGTTGGGCTTCACATTCTAACGTTTGCTAGACCTTTGCTAGAACGTGAAGCCCAACTGTGGGTCTTACGCTCTATTAACTCACCTAGCAGCCGCCAGAACGGCCCTAGGACACTGTACTTGCTCGTGGCCCACGAGTCGTGGGTCCTGGGGGAGACCCTGTGAACTGTACATGTAAGCTCAATGCCTGTCGCGGCTCGTAGATCACGAAATAGAGGACCCAGACACCTTGGGAGATTTGATTCTAAGGCCTAGTTCTAACCGATTAGCCGAAAGCTCATACATGTATTAATAGTACTTCGCATGTAATTCCTCAGTACGAAATTGATACTTGAAGTACAGGTATGAATCGAACTGAACGATTCATCCCCTCGCCCGGCCTGGCAGACAAAGGCGCAATGCTTGAACGCTAAAAGAAAATCAAACATTTTATTTAAAAATAGGAGCAAGCCAATGGTTAATTACAGCCTCGGATCGCTGCAACTAAAATGGGTAGGCCTTCTTCAGTTTATCCGTGAAGTCCTCGTCCGACAAGGGCATGACAACCTTCCTATAGGACCAGTCCACGTCAAAGTCAGCATTAGTCAACCCCGTTCGAGCCTCGTCCGTGAGCTGCTCCCACGTGATCAAATCCTGCGATTCTCCCGTCTTCGTCGTGGTTCGAATGCCCACCTTGCTGCCCCAGAAGCTAAAGTATGAGTCGAACTTGACCGTCACTCCGTCGATAACGTACTTGGACTTGGGCGGGGTTGCCTTCCTGAAGCCCACACCCGCAGACATGGAGACGCCCTGGATGGTCGAGTTGTCGGGCTTGTCGCTGTCAGTCCAGACAATGGCATAGGACCAGAAGTGGCGGTGGCCCTTGCGATACTTGGACACGTACTGCCGGCCCTTGGGGAAGTACCAGGCATACATGATGGCCCACTTGCCCTTGTACCAGTCCGAGCGCGAGTACACCTGCGAGCCGAGACCAGAGCCCTTGCACTTGCCGTTGGCCCATCCAGACCACTTGAGACCGGCACTGACGGAGCCGTCGGCTTGCACGGCGGGGTACGGGTGGCATCCGTACGAGATGTGGAGCTGCGGCTTGTACTTGACCGCAGTCTTCTCGGAATCCGTCGTGGGCTCAGGCTGAGCGACGGGCTGAACGGTGTCGTGGTTGATCATCTTGACGTCGGCGTTAACCGCGGCTAGCGAGGCGATCGCAGTGACGATGAAGGCACGGAGGTTCATTGTTGCGTGGCGAACTTGACTGTCCTGTGGTTCTTTTGGAAGTGAGGGTCGCGGACGTGCTGGTCCTTTCGACGAGGTCCAGCAAATTGCAGCAATTTGCTGGCAGCAACGAGGTAGAGGTCTCACTCACCTCCGTTGAGGTGTCTCTGCCATGCAAAAGCAGAAAAGGTGTCGCGAACTTGGCGGTGAAGGCTCATGGGCAGGCTTTGCAGCCTCAGTTACGGCTACAATGTGCCAGCTCGCTCATATGACGGCGACAGCTCCCAACTCGTTGCTTACGAATCCCCGGGTTATCACGGAATGTACTAACGTTATTGACGATAGTTTGCGAGTGAGAGAGCACTTCACATTCTGAAATTGAGTGGCTTCTAATGCATTGTACCCAAGACATTTATCATGTTGTATGAGGAAGAGGAGAGAGTATTCTTGGCTGACTGTAAGCTGGAGGGTCTGACAGTAGCATGCACTATTAATTAATAAAGCCGACAGAAATACACAAGTTCACACACAAAATAGAACTAAGTACAGTCTTTGTATTGTTGAAAAATAAGTATAAGGCGTCTGACATTATTCTCTGAGAACAGTACATGTACATGTAGATCAGACTTAGCGGAAGGAAGCCTTCGTAATGAAAATCGAGGATACATCAGATATGGGAACACTGTTCCCAGTGCGGACGACTTGGGGCTCCCAAGTTTGGCAGCTTGGGAATTCCGCGGCCGTTCAGGACCAGCCATCTCGAGTCGAGATGTCGAGACTCGACCGCTCGGAGCGGATTTGACTCAAATCTTTCATCTATCTCATGGATACCCAGATGGCTCCACAGCAGTAAAGCCGGAATTCAGTTGCTGGCTTCCTCTTCACCCCCTTCAACCACAAAAGCAAGGCGAAAGTGCAATGTACTGTACCGCATGCTAATGTGTATTTTGTCTCTTTTGACAACCTCTACAGCGACTTGAATCATTCCACTCATAGACAATAAAAATGACCTCATCCCGTCACTCCACATTATAGCAGGATTCTGCAAGACTCAGTCTTGGTGGCCCCTGTGAGCTATGTCTAACTTCTATGAGAGTTAAGATCACTCAGCTTAGGGGCTGGTCAGGCTGGCTGGTGCTGGTTCTCGGTCCGGTGAGCGAAGGGGTAGGCGAACTACTCGGTTTTGACTCTGCTTTTTGTCCAAAATGAACAAAAATAGGCACTTTACTCAAAACCCGAGAACCACCTTGGCGATTGAGTTCTCGGGTTCTTGGCGAATTGGCTTGGTTTTGACCGAGAACCACCTTGGCGATTGAGTTCTCGGGTTCTTGGCGAATTGGCTTGGTTTTGTTCATTTTGGACAAAAAGCAGAGTCAAAACCGAGTAGTTCGCCTACCCCTTCGCTCACCGGACCGAGAACCAGCACCAGCCAGCCTGACCAGCCCCTAAGCTGAGTGATCTTAACTCTCATAGAAGTTAGACATAGCTCACAGGGGCCACCAAGACTGAGTCTTGCAGAATCCTGCTATAATGTGGAGTGACGGGATGAGGTCATTTTTATTGTCTATGAGTGGAATGATTCAAGTCGCTGTAGAGGTTGTCAAAAGAGACAAAATACACATTAGCATGCGGTACAGTACATTGCACTTTCGCCTTGCTTTTGTGGTTGAAGGGGGTGAAGAGGAAGCCAGCAACTGAATTCCGGCTTTACTGCTGTGGAGCCATCTGGGTATCCATGAGATAGATGAAAGATTTGAGTCAAATCCGCTCCGAGCGGTCGAGTCTCGACATCTCGACTCGAGATGGCTGGTCCTGAACGGCCGCGGAATTCCCAAGCTGCCAAACTTGGGAGCCCCAAGTCGTCCGCACTGGGAACAGTGTTCCCATATCTGATGTATCCTCGATTTTCATTACGAAGGCTTCCTTCCGCTAAGTCTGATCTACATGTACATGTACTGTTCTCAGAGAATAATGTCAGACGCCTTATACTTATTTTTCAACAATACAAAGACTGTACTTAGTTCTATTTTGTGTGTGAACTTGTGTATTTCTGTCGGCTTTATTAATTAATAGTGCATGCTACTGTCAGACCCTCCAGCTTACAGTCAGCCAAGAATACTCTCTCCTCTTCCTCATACAACATGATAAATGTCTTGGGTACAATGCATTAGAAGCCACTCAATTTCAGAATGTGAAGTGCTCTCTCACTCGCAAACTATCGTCAATAACGTTAGTACATTCCGTGATAACCCGGGGATTCGTAAGCAACGAGTTGGGAGCTGTCGCCGTCATATGAGCGAGCTGGCACATTGTAGCCGTAACTGAGGCTGCAAAGCCTGCCCATGAGCCTTCACCGCCAAGTTCGCGACACCTTTTCTGCTTTTGCATGGCAGAGACACCTCAACGGAGGTGAGTGAGACCTCTACCTCGTTGCTGCCAGCAAATTGCTGCAATTTGCTGGACCTCGTCGAAAGGACCAGCACGTCCGCGACCCTCACTTCCAAAAGAACCACAGGACAGTCAAGTTCGCCACGCAACAATGAACCTCCGTGCCTTCATCGTCACTGCGATCGCCTCGCTAGCCGCGGTTAACGCCGACGTCAAGATGATCAACCACGACACCGTTCAGCCCGTCGCTCAGCCTGAGCCCACGACGGATTCCGAGAAGACTGCGGTCAAGTACAAGCCGCAGCTCCACATCTCGTACGGATGCCACCCGTACCCTGCGGTTCAGGCCGACGGCTCCGTCAGTGCCGGTCTCAAGTGGTCTGGATGGGCCAACGGCAAGTGCAAGGGCTCTGGGCTGGGCTCGCAGGTGTACTCGCGCTCGGACTGGTACAAGGGCAAGTGGGCCATCATGTACGCCTGGTACTTCCCCAAGGGCCGGCGCATGGGAGATGGTGGGATTTGTCTCGCGACCACTTTGACCACATTTGACCACATTCGACCACATTTGACCACAATGTTGTCTCGATGGTATGTCTCGATCCTGGTGGAAAAACAGATGTGCTATGAAAGTTTGATTTTATTGCTATACGCTAAAGAACTCTGTTATCGTACGAGTAGTATTCTTCTTCGCTAGCAAACACGCAGGATTTTGAGACCCCTCACCGCACTTTAAGTGATTCTGGCGGCAGCTCGAACACGAAGTCGCCTTGCTAGCTGGAGCGAGAGGTGGAGCAATGCTGTCAGATATCTCGTTGCCGCTACTCGCTGGCTTGGGACAATTTTTTTCTGCTGTTCGACGTCGTTTAAGGCGGCAGCGTAGTTGATTATCCGTGAGGTTCGCGTCAGGGTAATATTTCTTCAGCCCCTGCTGCAGCAATATATATTTTCAACGAGTATACACCAGCGAATCAGACAGTTTACACAACTCAGCCAAGTGCTCTGGTGCGATAGTAGATGGCCGAGGCCGTTTTGCTGGAACACTTTATTGTCCTGCATCTTCACCAATCCCAACAGTGTCACGACAAATAACCTGCGGTTGTAGTCTGGCTGGAGGTGTGTCGTCTGCATTTGAACTAGTTGTAGTGGTCGCAGCATCGATGTCATCGTTCGCTGCAGTTTCTTGATCTGTAAGCAGAGTATTTAATGGCTCGGCTCGTTTTTCTTCTTCATTAGGGGCTGGACAAGATAATGGAGCGTCTGTGGGGTTCGTGACCATCGCTAGTCTCCTCTTCTTTCGGTTTTGGGCCGCCTTCAGCGCTTCCCAGCACTTCTCCCGCACCGATTCATCAAGTTGACCAATTCCAGCGCAGACACAACTTGCAAAGTCGTAGATACGGTGGAAAAATCGTTTACGAGCTGTGCCGGCCTTGAACTTTCGCAGAATCTTGAAGACATCGCGCATCAAATCAGCCTCGCAGTCTATCGGTGGACGCAAAGCCAGGGAAACAGCTTCTTGAGGAGCAAAATGGAATATTTTTGCTTGTTTTCGAGCGGAGCTTGTACTTTCAGGATCAGCACCAACTGATTTAACGTTTGAGACCATCGTAGCATAGCTCCGCTGTTGTAGCCGTATTTTAGGGTTCGTGTTGTTGCAAGCAACAATATTGAACATCATCGTTGTTATCATTTCACACGTGCACCATTCACGCTTACTAGCAGCCTGAGCAGCTCGTGTTCCTCCGTAGAGAAGCCCTGGTCGCCTTCACACTCGGTACTTGCCAGTCGAATAGAGTTAAAAACCTCGTCACGCTTCAGCTTGGCCGATTGGAGGGTAACGGCACTTTTTAACAGCAGTTCCGCTACTGTTGAGCGGTGTTGCCGGGAGCGATTAAGATTCCCTTCGAGACATGTTGTGTTCACTCTTGCACTTTGAAATACCTGTGCCCAGGAGTCAAAGTCAAAGTCCCGCTCGGTCTCCGTTCTATACAAGCGGCGAAGAGAAAAGCTGCATCAGATACTCCATCTGAGGCGAAGTAGGGACCATCGTTCCACAGAGTAATGCAGTATGGCTCGCCGAAATCAAATCAACGCCATTCATGGGCGGATTGCGCCCGAACTTAGCACCGATAGACAAATTATGCTTGACGATAAACCAATCTAAGATCCGCAAGCCAACATCAATCGATACATTTCTGGTAAGCAGTTTTTTTAAGGAAGAGTGAAAGCCCTCAACTTGGCTAGTAGATACCACGCAAACTCGATGACCGCCTTCCTCGTAAGTGTTTGAGCCCACGTACAACTCGCCACGCTGAATGTGCTCCAAATTACTCTGACACGACCCTTTCCAATCTTTCAGGCTGCACGATACACTTGAGCGCAAAACACCGCTGACTACACTTTGAAATTGAAGAGCCATTTCAGCAGTAGGGCGCGATTCACGATCCACATTGTAGATCGCACGGGAGAGTTCCTTTGAAATTCGTTTGCTGGTGACGGGTGCCTTTATTTTTTCAGTGATGCGAGTTATCACGTGAAAGGGGTCCTGTTTTGTGACCACCTCGCTACCAAACACTTCTGTGACCATTTTCTTGACAGCCGACGCGTTATCCGACACAACTACATGATCCAGGTCACCCCCAGATGGCGCACGAAACTGCGACTTCACATGTTGAAGCAAGGCTCGTGTTTCTTCCTTGTTTTCAGACCTGGTCAGCCGCCGCCCAATAATCTGCCCAATTTCATTCTGGAAGCATTTTCGCATCTTTGAGAGATTCACGTTGCCCTTTGGTCTTCCACAGCTTTAGCCGCTTGCAGAACTTGACCGAGTGATCCATTCTCATGACCCTCTTTACAACACAGTCTTTCATCACTTTTTCACACAGCGACCCGTACAGCTCTGTAGCGTGTAGCCATGCCGTCGTAAGCGTGTGATTGTCAACAACTTTGTTTTGATCTGCATACTGATCCTCTGATATTGGAGTGGGGGCCAGATAGGTGAAGCAACGCTCGTGGTTTCGCTTGATACCACTGGAAAACAGACCCAAAAGCTTGTAGTAGCGCTGTTTGCGCCTACGCTCCATATTGGCCATGGTACGTTGCAACCCATTCTGCGCGGTAATACCGTCATGAACCATCTCCATGAGTGAGTTCGAGAAACTAGCGTTTGGCTCAGAACAAATGGAAAGTGAAAAATCATATCGGGCCATTGTGCAAAGTAATCCGAGCTCACAGTGGAAAAATATGATCCTGTTACAGCGCACCTATACTTCACAAATACCAGGTCGCACTTGCACTCCACAGATTCCACCACACGACGGCAATAGTCTTTCACCTTCGGATTGAAGTTGCAGTCTCGGCTGATGCACGACGGCAGACCTTTGCCTCCTCGATACTCCGGGGTCCACACGAACAACGGACGTGAAAACAGCCGCGACAACTGCATGTCATCCACCTTTTCCTCAGGATAAACTAGACGGGGAGGGAATGAGCGCCGTCCAACCGCCTCGACCACTGCTGCCTTGTTTTCATTGCGCGCTGCTGACAAGGCCATGCTTACTGCGAACTCCTCAGCTACAAGTTCTCGGTAAATAAAGGGAAAACGGCTGCGCCCCTCCGGGGCTGCGGCCGGAGTTCGGAGATCTCTCCTAAATTTATCGGAGTTCGGGGGCTGACAGGCCCCCGATTCTCCCATAAACCCAAGGGCCGGCAGTACATCCGCAAGTACAACTCCGGCCACCATCACTACTGGTCGTACGCCATCGTCTGGATCGACAATCCCAACCCGGACAACTCGACCATCCTCGGTGTGTCCATGTCGGCCGGTGTCGGCTACCGGAAGGCGTCCCCGCCCAAGTCCAAGTACGTGGTCGACGGCGTGACGGTGAAATTCGACTCGTACCGAAGCTTCTGGGGCAGCAAGCAGGGCGTGAGGCTTACGACCAAGTCGGGCGACCAGCAGGACCTCATCACGTGGGAGCAGCTCACGGACGAGGCGCGCACGGCGCTGAGCGACGCCGACTTTGACGTCAACTGGTCGCTGAAGAACGTCGTGATGCCCCTCAAGGACGACGCGTTGAGGGAGAGACTCGAGAAGGCTTACCCGTTTTAAATAGTAGAAGTAGCAGATAGTAAGATGCGGTCGTCGCCAAATAGAGATGATTCAACGCAACACAACACAATTGGCGGTGCATTCTCTTTGTTGTGCTGGTCGAAATCATTATGTGTTACCGGGAGGCACTTGTCTTATGATCCTTGGTATTAAGCAGAGTACAGGTAATGGACACTTCACATTGGTGAAAAACTCAAAGAATTGTATACTTGAGAGGTGAGTTAGTACGACGACCCCCTCTCTTTCTACAAACAACGGTAGGATTATCTGTTCGAGATGCGAGCATCATGGCGTCTTCCTATCTACGCCTAGCTGGAGCTCAACTCCGGTTTGTACTCTCCGTCATATGCTTCGTCAGTGTGCAAAAGGTTGTGTAGCTGGTACGTTGGCACAGTCAAATTCAACGCGGGCATCTCACTCGCGCCCGTCTTGTTAAGCCGCTGGAGGTCGCCGTCGTTTGTGATGTACGACTTCAGGAGCTCCAGACCGCAGGTGAACGTTGGGTTGGTTCCATCACCAAGCAGAGTCGAATAGATCGCTTCGTGCTCCGCGTAGTCGAACGAGACGAGCTCTTTCTTGTCGGTATCAAGCGCCTCTAACAAGTATTCCGCATACTTGTGAGGCGTCTGCACGTCCAGTTTACCGCTCAGAAGCAACACACTGGCATCACTCAGGATGGTCGCAAACTTGTTCCAGTATTGATCACGTTAGTAAACGATGCCATCACCGTCGTAGTTACACGCCGCCGACTTTTCTTTCGTGATAGCACAGTACAGAGGGTTTGAGAGGTACAGTCCACCGCCGGTGATGCTCAAATTCATTCTGCGCGAGCGTGCAAAATATCCCGATTGTGAAGAATCGGTAGAACGGCATGTCTTCTCGAAAAGTGCTAAAGTCTGCTACCGTGCAGGTACTTCGTGGTGCCCCGCGGTTGGAAAATGAGAAGTGAGAGCTCCAGCCGTTGCCGTCGTGGTTAATCGTCCGATGTTGTAGAATTGTTGATCAGTACAAGCACATATGTGTACGGACCCCGGATTCGTCGTGATAGTAATATGATCACGCAGTTTATATGTGGATCAACGGACTCAGCAGCGACTCTTGATGCTACACATAAATTGTTGCTAGCAAAGCGGAAGATTACCTGCGGGATATTACCATGATGATGAACAGCAAAACAATCCACCAGTTTTGTATCTAATCATCGCGTTTGTCAAGGACGCATCGCCAGTTCCTGCGGAAATGAACCTGATAAATGTTGCTGGATCTCCAACCACTATTTTATGGGTAACTTCACACTATGGCATGTGGGTGTTTCAGGGGTTAGCTTTACACAAGAAGTGGAATTCTGTATTATCGACGGCAAACACTTCCGAAGTCTACAGAAAGGGGGTTCTACCTATTCATGTGTTGTGGTTAATCAATGTTTAGGATGAAGATTTTCTACGAATCAGCTTTAATATTTGCAGATGGAACATGCAACACAGCAGTTAAGTTGAATTCCTCTTCGTCTTCAACCACAAACAAGACTACATGTACAGTACTAAGTACATGGACTCCAATAAAAAATTTACAAATTAATTCGCATACTAGGTCGAATGGCTGACTATCTCCCTTGTCTTACTTCAATGAAATTCGGACTTCGGTTTCCTCTCGTTTTCATTCAAAGCCCCGAATCAACGGGAATCGATACCGTACAGTAGCGCTTTTCGAGCAAAGTCCAAAACGGCGGTGATTTGGATTTTACTGTAAAGATCCTCTTTAAACTAGCCGAAATGCATAAGTATTTCATATTCTTCAAACGGCAACGAAGTTGTAATTTGATATTCCTCGTTATTTAGAGGAAGGCTTCAGCTTCACTCTGAAAAGAGTTTGTTACTCCGGAATGTGTGAGTATTTCGATATCTGTGTGTTTGCTTAAGAGATTTTCAACCATGGGGGTGAGCATTTATTGTGAGCGCCACGGAATTTATTCAGCCTATAAACGGCACGCATGGAAGACAGTACACTGCTAGTACAGATAGGAAGGTCCTCGGGTATAAAAAAATGGCTTTAAAAGCTCAACCAAAGAAAAATATACAGCTTGAAAGTTATAGTGCACTATTATGAAAAAAAACGGCACTATTCCATCTAGGTGGAGCCTAACTCGGGTTTGTACTCCCCGTCGTACGCTTCATCCGTGTGCAAAAGGTTGTGCAGCTCGTACGTCGGCACCGAAAAGTCGAACGGAGACATCTCACTCACGCACGTTCGATTGAGGCGCTGCAGGTCGCCGTCGTTTTTGATGTACGACATCACCAGCTGAAACCCGCAGGTCAGAACGGGATCGCTGCCGTTGCCCATACCACTCGAGAATACAACATCGTGACCCGCATAGTCGAAGACGATCAGCTCTTTCTTGCTGGTGCCGAGAGCTTCGAGCAGATACCCGGCATACTTGGGTGGCGTCAACACGTCCAGCTTGCCGCCTAGCAGCAGCACACTGGCGTCGCTTGGGAGGGTTGCCGACTTGTTCCAGTACTGGTCACGCTGGTAAATGATCCCGCCGCCGTCGTAGCTGCCGAAGTTGAACTCGTCACACGCCGCCGACTTCTCTTTCGTCATAGTGCAATACAGTGGCAGGTCGCGCGTATAGGTGTCGATAGTGGCGATGCTCGAACGAATCACGCGGGACTCCAACTCAGCTCGCGATGGTGTAGGCGTCTCCCACATCTCCGAGTACACGATGAGGTAGAAGAGTAGGCTCGAGTAATGCGGGTGCTGCCTTCCCCTAACGACTTGAACGGGGTTAAGACCTCGACGTCCTTCGCATTGCACCGATTCAGTCGGTACACAACCGGTGGCCAGCGTCCGCGTCGATGCACTATACAACAGGTAAGCCAGATCAAATCTGAGCACGTACGAAGGCAGCAAGTCCGGCTCGTCGCTATTCATCAGTGAAGCGCACGTCGAGTTGGGGTCGAGATTGGAGGTCCGAAATAATAATTGGGAAACAATTAATAATGAGATTTTCCAATATTAATTTTATTATTGGTGTTATCGACATCCAATACAATACGGTATTGAAACAATTATTGACAATAAATACAGTGAAAAGTGCTTTGGCGGGGATACAAAGCCTACCTCTCGTTATTACATCACAACAAAGTCCCCATGACGTCAAAAATTAAGTACATCACACCACACAAGCATCGATCAGAATTGTTGGCTGAGATCTTCAGCCAAGGCCGCGACATTGAGCCGAATAGCGCTCACAACCACATCTTCACTCAACTATGATGGTCTCCAACAAGCTGCTCGCTGCCTTCTTCTACGCGCCACTTGACCAAGGCCTGTTCCCCTGTAACGTCGGTGGCAACAACCGGAAACAGGCGGGTGGTACTGGTGTGGTGTAGTGATTTGGCGGTAAACGAGAATCGAGCTGACGACCAAGCTTGAGTGGCGACCCGAGTCGTCGGGACATGTTCAGCAATGTTCGGCGGATGCTGATTGACCATTCTGGACCGGTGCCGAAGACTCGTCGACACCCAAGTTCGAGACCCAGGACTTCAAGTACGATCCGAACTTATAGCGAACTTTGACCCGAGATCCGCACTTAAGACGACCGTTCGAGCCCCGGCGACTGCTCCAAGTCTTCATCGTCCAATAGAGTCATCGAGAGGCCTCTTGGGGCGTCGAGGAGGCTCTGAAGGGTCGGTGGTTACTTGGGAAGATCCAAAACGGACGCGTTTATACTAGATATTTGTATTGAACCATAGGAAAGAGAAGACAGAACAGATAAGCCCTTTGGGCAACAAGAACAGAACAGCTTTTCCTCCCAACCACTCAAGGAAGACGTCCGGGCTATCGGTGAGTTCCCGTAGCAATTGGATAAACCTGTTGGTAGGATTATGACTGTCGGTGGACGCGCCTGCTAGTATCGTAGCGTGCGTTTACCCGTGGTCAGGCCAAGAGAAGAGAAGAGGTGGCCGTGTATACGAAGGGCGAGTCATCGCCGTGTAGTGGAGGAGCGAGAGCGCACTCCATTTATCCTTCCCGCCGGAGTATAGCTCCGGCACCCTCGTATCAAACCGTGACTGGCTGGGGCCCTTCCTTCCTGAGGGCCTGCGAGGTTTATATTGTGTGTGAGAGCGTGCCAGCCTTTGCTCGTGGCTGGTGACGCTGGGGTTCCGTCAGTTGACTAAGCGGAAACACGGCGCACAGAGGAAACATCAACCCGGTGCAAGGGAAAGTTCCTGGGCCTTCAGGTTCTAACCCTAACAAGCCCATTGAGTCATCGGGACTTGGTGGGTGTTGTTGGTGGGGAAAGTGTGCTATTATATAATTTAGTGCGTGTTCCTACACGACACTGGGTACTCCAACCTCATGGCGCATCTGGACGGGAAACATGCGGGCTACGACGCCCAGTTCACGTCTGCGCAGGCCAGCACCGACCGCCCGTTGTAAAGCTTCGGGTTTGTGGCTGAGGAGTCAAGCCACATGTTTCAGTGGCTCCAGTGGATTCTGATGCGGAACATGCCGGTCCATGAAGTCGAAGACGCGCTGACAAGAGCGATGAGCAAGCTGCGACCTGTTACGGTCAAGGCTGTTCAGAAGTGCATGGAAGGCATCGCGATCAAGATCGGACAAGACCTCAAGAAGGAGCTGGGAATACTCTTTGGTCTTATGTTCGACGGCTGGTCCCATGCCGGTGTGCATTACGTCGCTCTCTTCGCTGTTTACGAGCCAGATGGCAAGCTGCGCGTACCGTTGCTGGGCTTACCCCCTCTTGCCGACGGAAACCAGACGGCTGACGTCCACGTGGAGCTGTTTAAGAACATCCTCGATGTCTATAACAAGACACTGGACATGGTCGGGTTCATGGTAGGCGACAAATACAACACCAACCAGGCGATCGCGAATAAGATGGCTGTGCCACTCGTCGGCTGTGCCAGCCACAGGTTTAACCTCGCCGTCAACAAGTTCCTCGCGCCGTACAAGACATTGCTGTCCGGCGTCAACACGCTCATGGTGGAATTGCGGAAAGAAAACAACCGGGCGGTGCTGAAGAAGTACACGGAACTCGATCCTGTCAAGCGCTGTCACGCGGTAGTCGTCTACGTTCACGATGGTGCAGCGCTACATCCGTATCCGCGCCGAGATCAAGATGGTCGAGGCTTTTGAGCAGTTGATCCCTACTGGTGCAAAGCACAGGAAGCTTGTCGCTCTCTTTGAGCACCTAAAGAAGTTCGACAGCATTTGCAAGCGGCTGCAGCGCGACGACACGGACATGGACGAGGTGCGTCTCATGTTTGACGCGCTAATCGTGGAGTATCCAGTTATGGCAGAACACCTGAGATCTACGGCTAAGAATGTTCACGCTCCTGCGTTCGAGACCGGAATCGTCAAAATGATCTCTGGCTGCGCGCTTACATCGGCGGAAGAAGCAGCCTTGAAGTGTTTTAAAGCGGGCCAAGCTGCGGGGAAGAAGCGCAAGGACAGAGAAGAAGACTACGCGGCACAGCTACTTCGAGGCAGAGGAAAGAAGCGAACCACAAGTACAAGCTCGACGCAGTATAACCCTCTCGTCAAAATGGTGCCGCCGACGTCTAACACAGTGGAGCGACTGTTTCTGCAGTGCAAGCTGATATTGACACCACAGCGCCGCGGGATGTATCCTGCTCACTTTGAAGAGCTCGCATTTTTGCGGGTGAATAGAGGCATGTGAAACGTAAGTACTGTCTCAAGCGTCGTCGCAGAACAGAAGAAGTAAGATTGTCGAGCGCTAAACTCAATGAATGCACCTCATTTTTGCTTTTGCTCCAGCTTATCTAATTGTTTTGAAATTATGACTTATTATTTGCGGGAAAATAAATCATATTTGTTTAGACCTTTGTACCAGCTACACAATGCACGCTTTCTTAAGATCGTAGCTTCAAAAATGAAGGAGAAGAAGCACTTTGCGTGTCACCGCCTATTATTTGCAACCTAATTCCTTTCCAAACCCATATGACAACTTAATCAGCTTCGTTTAAATATCGCACCTAATCAAATAGCTATCCATAAAATAAAAATAAAGTCCACACATCCCAGCTGAAGTACTTATAGGGGGTATATATAGCATGCAAAAAGCCATCTATAATAATAAATTATTTTAGGCGGCTCCTTATGTGCATGGTGTGTATGCTGTTAAAAATAAATGCAAGCGCTGCGGTTGAATTGCGCTGCCATTTCCAATTTTCACGGAAATGCAACGCAAGGACAAGCGCAGCAAGCACATCGCGGCATTAGCCGAGGGCAAGCGACAGAAGAGCGCACAAGTGACAGGAGCTCAGATCTTAGCTCGCCTGACTGAAGAAGCTCGCCTGACGCCTTGGTGCCGTCCGTCTATGGGCATCGCCGAGACCAGCACCGACTCCGAGGATGACAGCCCCGATTTTGATGAAGGCCCAGATCTGTTTGTCGTTGACACAGTCTACGCTAAGAAAACCAACGCTGAGGGTAGAGATTTCTTTTTAGTTAACTGGGTTGGCTTCGCGCGATTGACCTGGCAACCTGCGCATGATCTACCGCAAAACCTTATCACGACTTTCAACGAGGAGGAGCTCGGCTTTATTTGGCCTATTGATCGCCGAGTCATATTCCCATTTGGCGTAGATGCTGGTCTACAAGTGACTGGGATCTGAGCACGTCGTAGCTAGATAACTCCAACAATACAATATGCATTGCGGCAATTTTTTATTATTGCTAGCAGCTAGATTGAAATTTTTATTATGGCAACCCAACACTGCCAATACAATACAGTACTGCATTTTCGGACCTCTGTTGTGGACCGTAGACGAGAGGTTGGCCGACGGGAAATGAGCCTTACACTCAGCGTCCCGATCGCACAGCCCCATGAAATACTCGCCCACCTCACCATAGTCCCGATCAGTCGTCGACATGTAGTTAGACTTGTCGGTCGGCACACCAGAGGATGCTTGAACGCTATCGAGAATGTATCCATTCATGCTCGGCGTATTCAAGTGCATAAGGCGCTCCACCCATGAAGTATCATAGCTCACTCCGTACACAAACGTGTTGGCTCCATTCGTGTAGTCGGAAATGAAAGTCGATATATCGGTTGCAGCGCTTGTGATTGAGAAGGCCGAGAGATATCCGTACTTGAAGAGCAAGTCTTTTGCGCAGGAAGGAACCTCCTTCGGGTCAATGTCGGTGCCTAGTGGGGGAGCAGTCGTCATTGCCTGTGCCGCCACGCAGTTGAGGCGGTTGCTACGCCCAGTGTCACGATGATCCACTGTGTACACGTTGATCGTGCCGTCCATTTTAGTGTGCAGCTCCAGCATACCTGGCTCCACTGCAGAACAAATATTATCACTTAGTGAGCGATTATTTTTTCGAGGTGTCATGCAATCCGACTTACTGTTAGTAGACGAGCAGCCCGGGCCTCCCTGCAAGTACCACACATTGGGCGCTGTTGCAACATCCCCAACGGTAGGCGCTTCACGAAAATATCAATTGTCGGATCCGCCGACGCTGGAGTCTCGCAGATCCCGGGGTAGCACAAAGGCGCGGGGTAGACAGCACACTCGGCGATTTGAGTTGGTGGTCTTGTATCAGGGTCCGAGAAAGTGGCCTCCAAGCAAGGATACCACCCGTTCAGTAGACGTTTGGTGGCGTTGGTTGCGGTGACAGTCTGCGCGAGCGTGCAGAGTAACCCGATTGCGAGTGGCCGGTAGAACGGCATGTTCCCCCGAAAAAGAGCTGGAGTACGGTATTGGAGGTGTTCGGTGGCTGGAAAAGGAGAAGTGAAAGCTCGCATCGTGGCCGACGCGGGCAGCCGTGATGTTGTAGCATTGTGCCCCAGCACGATCACGTACGGGCCTCGGGTTCATGGTGATTGCGGCTCTCGCGAAAAGATAATCTTACTAAGATTATCCAGTTTCCAGTTTGTACAGTGGTGAAGAGATCCTCTATTTGCGTTAATTGCTAACTATAGAGACCTGGATTATAGGCAGGGCCTACTTGGCCACGGTGGGCACAGTTCTTGGGGGCTTGATGCCGGATTTCTGATGGCTTTGTGCCGAATTTGTGGGGTTCTGGTGGCTTGATGCCGATTTTCTTGGTGGTGCTTGAAATGTTTGGACACATGAGAGTCCACCAATCTCCCATGCTGCAAAGTCCTTCCTTGTTCTCCCCTTGCCAGCCGCACATCGCCGTCAACACGTCCGAGGAGGTCGTCTCGACTGGTTGGGGCACTTGGGAGTATACGCGGATCCGTTGAACCAGCTTCCGGGGTTAGCATACGTACCTAGGTTGGTCGCTGTCTTGCAGCTGACGCACGCCGCGCGGGGACAGGGGGCAGAGGACCCGGAGGCCGGAACCGTTCACCAATGCCGTTTTTTACCCGGTCTGGAACGAGACTTGCCTGGTCCTGCCATCTTCCGATCGCCGAAGTTGACAAACTTGACTCTCTTGTCGACCTTGGAGAAGACGTCACGAAATCAGAACTGGGTCCATTTCAGCCGAGAGCGGAGCTGGGAACAAATACAAGCCGGAAAGCTGGATATTACGGAGCGCGATCTCCACATAGTTCACTACCGCCGGGCGACCTCCGCCGAAGCGGTCGCCACGAGTGCTTGCTGGGATGAGGGGAGTCGATGGTGCTCGACTTGAGCGCGAAGGTGCACCTGGCCCTTACGCTTTGGTAAGATAGATTCAGCAGTGGAGAGTTTACCCTGTCCTCCATGCCTAGGCGGCGAGATCTTGAACGCGAGGGGTCCGCCTGATTCGTCGCGTCTCGGTCTTACTTGGTGCAGCGTACTTGTTGATAATCTTGGTGGCAGTCGCCAAGCACGGGGTTGCTCCCGCGCTCGGCGCTCAGGAACGCCCCATCTCGCATTCTCGGCCGCACGCGGGAGGACTTCATCCGAGAAGAGAGATCCTCCGAAGAGGCGCTGGAGGCGTCCCAGAAACCACTAGTGCCAAACGGCGCGAAAAGCGAAGTGTTTCAGTTTGTACAGTACATTTAGGTTGATCACGAGACTGAACAGTTGGTGCTAGATGTACGGACGTTACGTAAGTTGATGTTACTAGCCGAGCGCCGCCGCTACGCGGCGGGGAATTTTTTGTTAGTTGGCGCTTCGCTCGCTATGCTCGCTCCGCTATTGGAGCAGACTGCCTACGCTTCACTACGGTAGTGGTGGACCCGTTCCGCTCGCCTCGTCGGCTCGCTACACTAATCTCAATGTCAGGCTAGTAATACAGAGGCCGGGGCGGGTCCTGCGGCCCCGCAATATCGTATGGTGGGGTCGCCTTCGCTGCGCTCGGCAGCTAATCATAATTAGTGGAATTCGTACTTAGTGAATAAGTGTGATCTACGGACAGCGACACTCTGATTGATTCTTAGGATTATGGGCTGCTAGCGCAGATTTGAAGCCGATCAGATGAAGTCTCCCGTTAAAGTTAACACTTCTATTATTTTGAATGCTGTAGTCTCAGATATTGGGATACTTAAATGGATGGCGTTGAAATTCTCAAGGTCAAAATCTCTCACTCGAAGAAACACCCAACGTCGCCGATCATTGCCGTTCATTCCTGAATTTGCTGGTGCGGGACCTGCCGAAGGAAATGGAAGCGGTGAATTGCGACCGCCTTGCGAGCGCATGATGGACGTGCCGAGTCGCTGCTGCCCCAGTCATCTCGTTGCTAGAACTACGACTAGGTGCCGAACTTTGACCCCAACAAGAATACCTCACTCATTATGTCTTATTGTCGGTTCTGCAGATAACGCAGCTACACGTATTACTCGCCTCGCGCTACTGCTGGACGCGCTGTGAAATGTGCCAGTAGCCGGAGCTCCTCAACGGCTCATACAACTTCACCCTGCTGTTCATCGGTGCGAGATAAGAGCAATCGATAGATTGTTGTTTAATTATGGAGCTAATATTTAGTGATCTTGTAATATCCTGGCTTTAAAGCTGCGTTGACGGAGCAACAGGCGATTGCTTAGCCACAATCGCCAAGAAATTTTCGGATTTTTTCTTGCGCGCAGCAGGATACGTATTTCTAGGCTGGCAGCTGGTTGCCTTTGCTGCTGCTTTCCCGAGCCGATTGAAGGGCGCGAGCGGGCGCCATTGTAGACATGTTGCTGGATCGGCTGCTATATCAGCTACCTCGTCGGCAAGTGCGGATGCGGCTTGACTACCGCGGATAACGATACAATACTTTGGACTCAGAAGTGTAGAAACTTTTAAATGACAAGGAAGTTTCCGGGTCAGCATGTACGTGTATCGTTTCGAAAACGAAACCTGGCGATGCCCGCAGAAGAAGCAATCCTCGCGCATTTAATTGAGAAATGTGGAGACTGTAGTGACTGCATACTTCTTATTATGAATCCGCGCAGAGTAACTTGAAGCGTTCTCATAGTGGACTAGAGACGAAATACAAAACCATTTTTGTAAAAAATATAGTATTGTATTATTTCAGACTGGGCATTCAGTTATCAGAGAAATGTAAGGTATGTAACAAGTGGTGTTGGACAGCGCATGAGGAAACCAACAGTGCAGTACGTTACGTGCCCCACAAGAAAGGATACCTATCCTTTGCCCATTTGTCACAGTCAACAAGACACTTCCATTGTAATTGTTTTTCGCTCAACCATTGTTCCCTTTGTTAAGTAGAGCTCTGACGCCCTAACATTGCGACTTGCTAAGCACTTTATTCAATCCACAGTATGATTTTATTTATGAGCGAACTACCAAGCTATCTCAGCCTACGCAAAGCTCTAGTAATTGCAAACCAGGGGGTTATCTTGAAGTACAGGATGTACCAGCCTAGTAGAAATACAGTGGATAGATGCACAGTACGTGTAACTGGACACTGTGCTGATTAGTAACTGTAATATCTCGGCGTCGCCGCGAAGGCTTTAGAAAATGAAGCACACGCGTCGCGCTTCAGCATCGTACTGACCTATCAGTGATGTGTATTGTGTCTATTGTGGTGGCCTACATTAATGTTTAGGATAAGGATCTCCGTGCTAATCTTTACAGATGGTATTGCAGGGGACTCCCGATTTGGGAGTGGCGGCTTCATCTTAAGAGAAAAGTTTGTTTGTTTTGTTTGTTTTTGAATTGAGGATCATTATTGTCACTTAGCTAATGCGATCGCGAACGACTACTAAAGACCGGGGGGCTCACCTGTGCAAAGCGTCACTAGGGAGGGGGCTCTCTGGCCCAGAGTCTGGTGGGAGAGTCTGAAAATTAGTGCAAAGCGCGACCTCAAGCGAGGTCAGGTGGTTCGTACTCGCCACCCACGAGGTCGGCAGATACAGGACAGGGGCCATGAACCTCCTGTTGTGCGGCCGTCGGCCGCTGTCCCATGGAGACTTGACTTGAGCGTTGATTGCGTTCGTCCGGCGCGTGCTGAAGGATGCGTGAGCTTAGGCTCTAACAACATCGGATGACGGCAGCATCCCGAAGGACACCGCCCAAATACCTCCGTGGAGGCGGCTTGAGTGCTTGAACCGCGGTCGCCTGCCGCGAGCTTGAAAGAGTGGTCGAAGTCTGGGCCTCCCACCACCGTGGCAACGACCCATAGAGTCGCCGCCCTCTTGGAGCGCAATCGCCGTCGTCGCGCGCGAGCTGCTCTTGTGCCGACTCCCGTCGTCGGCCATGGTCACGCGCAAGCCGTCGCTGCAGCCGCCATGCTCCTTCCTGGGCTCCCTTGGGAGGATTCCCCCCAGGAAGGCCAAGGGCCCGGAGATCCTTGGAGGCGACCCTTGGCAGACACTTGCTCGCGACCCGTCAAATTCTGGAATGAGAGAAAAGTTTGCATATTCAGCGCGATGTTTAACTGGATACATAATACAGCAATGTAGTCGCTACGAAATAAACTCCAGAAAACGGGTCGTTGGGGTTAATACCTCGCCTCCTCTGAAAGATATTGCAATTTTAATTTTGTTAAATTTCAGGCCCACATCTTGGCCGGTTGTCTGCAAACGGATCATGTACTTCGAGGTACCAGTTCTACCATACATAGGAAGCACTCATAATATATACCAGACACGACATGGTGGCGAAAAAAACAACAGCTCATTTCTGAATACGCAATCTATCGTTACTCAAAAGCTCGAATCCCTTCGCGCTTCTGAACTCGCTACGATTACAGCTATCGTTGCAGTCCAGGCCATTGCTGTCAACGCAATCCAGAGGTTGAAAAAATAATATCAATACAATAATTACGGCACATTTACATCGAAACAGTTTACTATTGTGTTTGCACAATGGCTGGCCCTACAGCCCATGTTTCGGAATAGGGTTAGGGATAAATGCATACTAAAACCGAGTAAGATCTCCAAACATGTAAAACATGCTGAAATCATGGACATCCATGTTTCGGTTTTCAGGACGGGTGTCATGGCACCCAAATCTATTGCAAATCCCTGGGAAATGGGTAATCGAGCTGCTAAATGTGGCTCTACCTGTCCTTAAAACCTTTAGAAGGCCGGCCCAGCGCTAGGCAGGGAACTGTAGACCTAAGCCTTGCTTCGGGGCTACGTTTGCGGGTTGTTCATGCTTCTCAAACGCCATTGATGCCGATTGGGTCTCTGCATCACGATACATTTGCGGGCCATTTCACCCCCTCCAATCCGAAAACATGGGCTGTACATATTCCGTTGCACAATCCGCACAATGGATATACTTTGAATACAATAATATTGTTGATATTATCAAAACTTGCGTCGATACAAAAAATAAGCTTTAAGCAAAAACATATATTTGTATTGGCAAAAATTATAAAACATGTATTATTGGTGTTATTGAGGTGGCTCATAATTTAATATGGTTTAACCCTTAATACAATATGATATTTATTTTCAGACCTCGGACGCAATCGCATCAGGACAATTATTGCTTGCCCACTGTCCGGTACCTAGTAGCGCCTACACAAGGCGAAGACCCCGGTACAGTAGAACCTATGGGCGCTCAGGCAACCCTGACCTACAGGACAATGATTTTCGATGACCTACGACGTTGAGGTCATTGGCTACGAGTGCCTCTCGGTTTGTCGGTAGTTCCAGGGCAACAGACCGCACGAAAGAACACGCTTGTGGAAATTGAGCCAAGCCAAGTGACTTTGCAGACGCGCTGCGTGTGCTCACACCCTTGTGCTACGCTTATCCATATAAGTTTTGAATATGGACTCCATATTTTAATATACCCCCGATTAAAATAGGGGTATTATATAGCCGACACGAATGAACCGTTTCCCATCGTTTCTTCCTTAATCCTTACAACCAATTCATACCACGGAAGCCAACAATGGCGTGGTCTACATGTACAAGCCCCGAGTTTCTTTGGCCGATGATCGGAGTATCGGAGTCCGATTCTCGGAACCGATCACTCCAATCGAGCCGTTTGTGCAGTCGAGCAACGCGGAAACCCAGCTTTTACACCAGACCAGGTTATGCTACAGCGAAACCAGCTGCAGTCAGCATTTTCACGTGTCAATTGGAAACAAAGGTTCACGCCTCTGTGCCAGTGCCTCAACAACACAAGCTAGAAGTCGCTTTTACTATACATACATACATGCACAACTTCTACGAGCCCAAGCCCGTCTACTTCAAAAGTGGGCTCCCACTAAAACGAGAGGCAAAAGTCGCACAAAATGGGCTCCCTCATGGTAAGTACGAGATCCAGTAGCCCTGGTTGGGGCTCCCCATTGGCTCCCCACCAGGGCTCCCCAAATTTAGCTTCAAATCTATGACGGGCTCTTCATACAGGCGTCCCCGGGCTAGTCCCGGCTGTATATATTAATGTACCTCGCACAGGAAGTACAACAAGCTCTCAAGATTTGCGCGCTACTTCTGCAAACATATTGATTTAGATGAGTGTACAGCGAGACCTAATGCGACAAGTGGCACGTTGCGGGAATACCTCCACCGTATTCTTGAGCTAAGCTTGTAGTAAGTCAGTACATACTCATTTATGTTCAGACCGCGTGAATCTTGTTGATTCGCAAACATCATAAGTACCACTGTGGCGAATAGGCCGGGGACGCCTGTAGTAATATCTGATTGGTCAATTTTACCTAGACTTAAGGCGAGCAACTTCGCGTGATCGATGCGCCACGCTAGAAGATCGAGCTCAAAGATCGCCACACTAGAAGATCTCGCGCCGCTCATATGTGGACAGCCGCTCCGAGGCCACCCCAGCGTCGCCGATAGTCCTTCCTTCCCCTCAAGGAGAAGCCCTCTTTCCTATGCCTTTTCAGGTTAGAACCTGGAGATACTTCAATGACGGCCAATCATCAGCGAGATATTTAACACAGGTGAGGGGGAGCCCTTAACGAGGGCTCACAGTTCTGGAGGGCTCCTTTCACTTAACCTATTGAACTCAAGAGCCCAGGGAGCTGACCGACACGTACTACCTCGCGGCGCTTAAGAACAGCAGCGAGTTCGGTATGCTCACGCCTGGTAACGCCATGAAGGTGCGTCCTCCGCTAGTAGACGCACTGTAATATTTTCACATAACCGTTGGTGATGTGGACCCTTCTCCTTTGACTGCAGTGGGACGCGACCGAGTCGACGCAGGGTACACCAAGGGAGACGCTATTGTGTCCATCGCGGACGAAATGGGCGCCCAGGTGCGCTGCCACACGCTGCTGTGGCACCAGCAAGTCCCCAGTTGGGTCCAGAGTCTCAGCAAGACTGAGATGCTCAGCGCGCTGGAGAACCACATCACGGAGGTCATGACGCACTTCGGAGACTCGTGCTACGCCTGGGACGTGGCCAACGAAGTCATGGGCGACGACGCCACGTACCGCAAGTCCTTCTGGTACACGACGACGGGCACGGACTACATCGTGGACCGCGTTCAAGACGGCCAACAAGGTCAAGAAGTCGCTCGGTCTCAAGACGAAGCTGTACTACAACGACTACAACACCAACACGGTGAACGCCAAGTCCACCGCCGTGCTGAAGATGATCCAGACGCTGCTGCTCGACGCGGACATCGGCATTGACGGCGTGGGCTTCCAGTCGCACTCGAGCTACTCGGACACGGCGACGACCGAGGATAAGGTGACCAACTTGGAGCGTTTCACTGCTCTGGGGCTGGACGTCGCCTACACGGAGCTGGACGTCAAGACGAGCTCGACCACGCCGTCCGAGGACGAGCAGAAGCAGGTCACGGTCTACACCAACACTGTCGCCTCCTGCCAGCAGGTGGAGGACTGCGTCGGCGTGACGATCTGGGACGTCGATGACACGTACACGTGGCTGGAGAACGCGGCCCCGCTGCCGTGGTACCAGCCAGGAGGCAAGGGCACGGAGCTTGTGCGCAAGCGCGCCTACGACGGTATCGCGGCTGGATGGGGAACGTCGACTGCTTCGACTACTAGCACTGCCAGCAGCGCGGCTCAGACCACCAGCACCAGCGCCAGTGTGGGAGGTGAAGCTGAGACTGAGATTCGAGCGGTGCCTCGCAGACCACGAGCAGCAGCGCTGATACGACGGAGGCGAGTACTGAGAACAGCGCGGAGACTGAGACTTCGACGGCTGCTAGCGGCTCCACGGAGACGTCGACTACTAGCAGCGCCGCTGGAGCCAGCAGCACTCAGAGCAGTAACACGGACACGACGGCATCGACGGCGGCTAGTGGAACGGAGAGCTCTACGAGTAGCTCGACTGGCGCTGAGACTACGAGCACGGAGAGCAGTGGCTACACTTCGGCCACAAGCAGTGGCTATACCTCGACCTCGAGCAGTGGCGACGCTGAGACGACCAGCAGCAGTAACACGGAGACGCCTACTCAGAGCAGCAGCACCGGCAACACGGAGACCACGAGTACCGCTGGCAGCAGTGCGCAGATCCCGGCCACTAAAAAGTCTAGCTGTGCTAGTCGACTGCGCAAGTAGAGGTTGCGATGAGAGTGGTCGAGAAGATGTGACAGTTCTGGCAGTAGATCCTCGGCCAGTGCCTGGGTTTTGTTTTGAGTGAAAAGTAAATGACGTTAACTGAAAATGGCTGTAAGATCCAACGACGACGGGCTATTGCCACAGAGCTTATGCATAGCGCAGTTCATGTCCCCCTATACGGTACGCGTCCGGTATGTTAGCGATCGGAGGTATGTTCAACTCGGTCATCATCCAAACTTGAAAGCGGTTACTCTTTTATCCTCTTTTCCAGGTGTCTGCAAGTGCGAACTAACAGTAAGGTGTCTAAGAAGTAGCAACGTTATTTAGTAAGGCATGCACAGACACACAGCCATCGTCGCCTCATTCAAATTCTCCACTTCTGATTTTTGTTTTCTGTCAAGTTGTCTCAGCTATTGGGGACAAGTGGTCTAGAGAAATAGTCCCGATGCGCGACCACTGTTGAACCACCGCGTGTACTCCTCCAGAAATAGCTTGTCCTCACCCTCACGGAACTTGGCTGCCCAGTACAACTTCATCGTAGTACTTCGTCCTTTTGATCAAAGGAGAGATCAGTCGGAACGACATCAGCTTGATTCCTCGTTCTTCCTGGCCCGCCAAATCACCCGTGGAAACCTCGTTCCCGTTGCCCCTCAAACGTTTCTTCTCGTTGACCTCTTCTTTCGCCGTCAGCTCTCGAGCGGGATCCGCGGACACGAGCTTGGTTGACAGCTTGAACGAGGTCGCGTTGGCGGATGATAGAAGCGTGACAAAAGTCGCCACCAGAGCTCATTGTAGCAGAAGAGTCGTCGGAGATGTCTGAGACAGAAGATAGGAGATTGAGAAATGTAGAAGTGGGTGCTACTGCGCTACATGGGCAGCGGTTGCTGTGCAATAGTAGTCACGTGTGTTTGTGTTTAGTTCGAGGATCTCGGTCTAAACAAACACTTGAGTTGCGACGCAATCCGTTCGTCTTGGAAACCCATGCTCCATCGCGATTTTTCCTTTCCAGGAGCAGGATTGTCACCGCTTGCCTAGCACTAGCCTGTAGGTATGGGGCTGACCAACGCACATGGTATTAGGTGCTCTGGTTTTAAAATTAAAATGATTATGCTCTAGTTCAATTGCTCAGTCAAATTCGTTACGCTCTATCTTTTTACTTGAAATACCACGGATTCGGGCTGCGATATCGGTAAAGTTGCTTTCTATTCCGGAATAATGTTTTCATTCATAGTCCGGCGTGTGATCCAGTGTTATTTAGGGGTTAACCATTTTTTCTTCTTCTTCTCCTTCACGTATCTTTTTGCGATTGATCGTGAAGACTTTTCGCTAAGAAAAAAAACAGTCATTCATTCCCATTACTGCAGAAATGTTTAGCAGTGCCACCATCATCCTAAACAAATGTCGAACCAAGACACAATCTGCTTGTTTCTACCAGCCTCGCTCTGGTACAATAGTGAATGGCTTGCTGTGCTGCTGTACCACTTCAAAATTGTAGCGAAGTTTGTCGTCGGGGCGATCCTCTTGGAGGCATGAAGTTCGGCGAACAGTGTTTTGATACACTGCACCACTTTACAGTGGTCGAGCAAAGGTGTTGAATTTCTCCAGGCCCAGCTACCACACCTGCAGTACACGCGCACTCCCCTGCCCGTACCTCATTGATTCCCGCGACATACAGTACATGCACTACTTTTCCGTTCATAATCTATTTTGTACATATAGTACACGCCATGTTTATATTAAGAATCGCGAAATACTCTTTTTAAGAGTGTTTCGCGATTCATATTCTGTTCAGGGGCCGCCATTATGCAATCAGTAAATCCGCAAAAGCTTCATGGAGAGCTACATGCACATTTGTTCTCGATTGCAAGTAATGGAAGGCAAAGCAGCTAGTCTATCGTTATCGAACATTTAGTCGGGTGTCAAACATCCGACCCGGAATATACAAGACTTGGTTTAATATTTTAATTAGCCGTGAAGAAATTTTACTGAAAAGAAAACCAACCATTCCAATTCGCGTAGTACCGTAAAACCATCTGTGTTTCGTACGGAGATGTCCATCCTAAACACCTCTTGTAGTGCATTGTCCATTCCCAAGCCTTCCACCACGCGCTCTCAATACTGGAAGTTAAAACAGAATCCCCACTTCTGGTATTACATGTATATAAGTTAAAGAATAGAATCCGACTTCATTGCTCTAGCATAAGTACTATTAGCTACGATTTGGGGGGAGGGGGATCTTGACGAACTCGATACAAGTAGGCGGTTGGACTTTTTGGATGCATCGCATCCAGCATAGTCCAAAGACATTTTCCCGCTATGCTAATATTACGTCCGAAGTTCGGACTCCGAACTACACAAATACGAATCATTTGTCGAACCTCGTTAGCCAAGTACGGATCATATCGGACAACTCTACAACATTAGAAGACTTTCCACAGTGGCAAACGTACAAGTCCTCACTTCTCGATATCTGCCAGCGGAAGCACTTGCCGACGGACATTCGGAAAAAGTGCAGTTCAGCCACCTCCTCGCAATCGGGGTATTCGCGCTTGCGCAGACTGTCGCCGGTACGAATACCACAACTCATCCCTTAAACCGATGGTACCCTTGCTCCGAACGCACATTTTCCAACCCGGACACAAGGCCTCCAACCCAAGCAGCCGAGTGTGCCGTCTACTCCGCGCCTTTGTGCTACCCTGGAATCTGCAAGACCCCACCCTCGGCGGTTCCGACAGTCGATATCTTCGTGAAGCGCTTGCCTGCTACTGCCGGCAATGTCGCCACAGCGTCCAATGCGTGGCTGTTACAAGGAGGCCCTGGTTTCTCGTCTGTCGACAGTAAGTTCGATCGAATGCACGATTAACTCCTGCAAAATGGCAGTATTTTTTATTTATTTCCCAACCACTGCCCTCTGACGACGATGTGTGTGTGTTTATTTTTTGCAGTGGAGCAAAGTATGCTGGATCTTCATGCACAATTAGGCGGCAAGGTCAATGTCTACACAATGAACCATCGTGGCACCGGACGCAGCACCCGTCTCGAGTGTGTGGCAGCTCAAGCGATGACATCGGGGTCTCCACGGGGTCAAAATATCGTGCTGATGGAGGTTCCTTCGTGCGCAAAAGACTTGCACTTCAAGTATGGAAACCTCGCTTCCTTTTCAACTACAAGCGCTGCGTTGGATCTTTCGACGTTTATTTCCGACTACACGAACGGAGCCAACACTTTCGTGTATGAGCTACGGCACTGCGTTGGTCGAGCGCCGTATGCACCTGAACACTCCCAGTGTGAAAGGGTACATTCTCGATAGTGTATTTCCAACCTCCGGCGCGCCGGTCGACAAATTCCACTGCTTCTCAAGTTCGACATTGATCAAGGTGAGGTGGGCGAGTACTTCATGGGACTGTGCGGGCTTGACGCTCAGTGCAAAGCTCACTTTCCGGCGGGCCTTTCATCAGCGCTACGTGGCCTAATCGAAAAGTTTGACACGGACAAAAACTCAACGTGTGCTACACTGGTAAATCGCGACGAGCCGGACCTGCCGCCTTCGTATATGCTCCGATTTATGCTGGGGACGCTGATGGGTGACGCGTCGACGCGAACACTGATTCCGCCTGCTATCTACAGACTGAGTCGCTGCAATGCAAAGGATGTGGAGGTCATGACGCAATTGTTCAAGTCTGTACAGACAGCGAGTACGTCGGCGAACGAGGACACGCACTTTTCGTTCCTACTGTACTACCTCATCGTGTACTCCGAGTACTGGGAGACGCCAGCGCCGTCGCGAGCTGAGATGGAGTCGCGCATGAACGGCTCGACTATCGTCACCAGAGCTACTTTTCGTCAAGCGCTTCCTCTGTACTGCGCTGTGTCGAAGGAAAAATCGGTGGCTTGTGACGAGTTCAACTTCGGCAACTACGACGCCGGCGCGTTGAGCTATCAACGTGACCAGTACTGGAACAAGCCTGCGACTCTCCCAAATGACGCCAGTGTACTGTTATTGAGCGGTAAGTTGGATACGCGGACTACACTAAAGTATGCAGAGTATCTGGTTGAAGCTCTCGGCACCAGCAAGAAAGAGCTGGTCGCTCTCGACTACGTGGATCACGATGTCGTGTATTCGAGTCTTCTAGGCAGTGGCAAGGACCCCGTCCTAACCTGCGGTCTACAGCTGCTGGTGTCATACATCAGCAACAATGGCGACCTGGAGCGCCTCAACCGAACGTGCGTGAATGAGATGCCCGCGTTTAACCTGACGGTGCCGACGTACGAGCTGCACAACCTTCTGAGCACGGACGACGGATACGACGGCGTGTTCAAGCCGGAGTTGAGCTCCAGTTAAGCTCTGAGTGGAAACAAGAAAGTGTCGATGCCTCTCCGACTGCAGACAAGGCTTATCATGAGCCCCGACTCTATTATCCGCGAAAAACATGATTGGGCTTTTAGTCAACTTGCTCTGATATCCTTACTCAACCAGTGTGTGGTATGACGGATAGTACATCTTGGATGCAACGTAGCTCTCCAGAGTCGCGCCATAGCAGATCGTCGGCAAGAAATTGGCAACGCCCTCCTCGATCGCGGTTTCACACACCGCCGTGGCCACCTTGAGCGAGACATCGCGAATGTTCTCTACGGACGGGAACACTTGGCGGCTCACGACCTCCTCGGCACTCAAGCACTTTGACAGCGCCTTAGCAGCCGAATACAGCATGCCGTCCGTCACGCGCGTGGCCTGGATAACCGACGCAGCGAGACCCACACCCGGGAAGGTGAACATGTTGTTGCACTGACTGATGTGATACTCGACGCCATTGTACACGACGGGCGGGAACGGACTGCCGCTCGCGAATACGCACTTGGCCTTGGTCCACTCCTAAGCCTGTTGCGCCGTGCACTCGGCCACGGACGTGGGGTTCGACAGCGGGAACACGATCGGATGCTCAGTGTGCTTGGCCATCTCCTCCACCTCGTCTTGCGTGAAGGCACCGGCGGCACCACTGAGACCCATGAGCAGCGTGGGCTTCACGTGCTTAATCACATCAAGAAGCTGCGTCTTGTCCGCGATGTCGCCCTTGCGCGAGAAGAACTGCTGCGCCGAGTTGAGACCCTCGCGGCACTCGCCCATGAGACCGAACTGGTCCAGCAGATAGAAGCGATCACGGGCCTCCTCCGTCGTCATACCCTCGCGGACCATACCCTGGAGCAGCGTAGCGGCCACACCCAGACCGGCACTGCCAGCTCCGAGAATGACGATGCGCTGGTCCTTCAGCGGGATCTGAACCTGGTCACACGCACACAAGACTCCAGCCAGCACTGTCGCGCCTGTGACTTGGATGTCGTCGTTGAAGCACAATGGCTTCAGTCTGTACGCGTTTAGCACGTCGGCCGCGTGGTCGCTTGAGAAGTCCTCGAACTGCACCAGCACCTTCGGCCAACGCGAGCGAACCGCGCACATGAATTCGTCCACCATGGACCAGAATGCTTGACCGGTGACGCGTGGGTGCTGCACGCCCAGGTAGTACGGGTCCTCCAGCAGCTTCTGGTTGTTGGTGCCCGTGTCCAACATTACCGGGAGGGCCTTGCGTGGGTCGATGCCACCCGCAGCCGTGTACAGCGCCAACTTGCCAATGGGGATGCCCATGCCGTTCGCGCCCAAATCGCCTAGACCCAGGATACGGCTGCCGTCCGTGACCACGATCACCTCCACGTTGTCGCAAGGCCAGTTGTGCGCCATGGCACCGAATCGGCCGCGGTCATTCGTGCTGAAGAACACGCCGCGCGGGCGACGGAACAGATACCCGAATTTCTGGCACACCAGACCCACCGTCGGCGTGTACACGATCGGAGCTGGCACAATTTCGTTCAAACAAGTCAGACGGGTTCACTCCAAAGACAACAGTGTACACGTAAACTCACCCATTTCCTTCATGTGCTTGATCACGAGGCGGAAGTAGAGCGTCTCTTGTGGTCGTGAAGGTCCGTGAGGAATCGGCTCTTCCGGAGTGGGTCCTCCACCTGCGAGAAGATGGCGTACATCTTGTCCAGCTGAGCCTCCACTGTGAGGCGACGGGGAGGCACCAAACCTCGAAGACCTAAAGTGCACAATAGGAAGTTAGACCTCTCTGCACGAACCCAATCTGATAGTTTACAGTCAATCATATCTTACCGAGTCGGTCGCGTTCGACGCGGGGGAAGCCCGTGCCCTTGTTGTAAAGTGGGTCGTGGATGACGTTGATGCCGCGGAGTCCCGTCTTCACTGGCGTCTTGTACTTCTTGAGCGTCTTGAGGTACGACTCCAATGAATCGTCCTTGGAGCTTTCAGGCTCTCCGCCGCTCATAACGTCGTCCATCTCACCGCCTTCTTCGCTGCTCTCCGTGGCTTCTTCTTCCTCCTCCTTGTGGCTAATTGAACTGGTGAGGGCCATGGGTGCGTTAGCCACAGAGGGGCCTTGTGGTGTGGCAGCTTGGAGCACCGTGGACTTGTGGAGCGGGGCCATGATGGCTGGTACGGTGTGATTGGGCCTGCAACTTGTCTTCTTGAACGCGAATTGCTAAATGGCTGGGCGACCTCCTGGACTAGTCGAACTCCTCCGCCGCTTTTGGCGCCTGCTCTGCGATACGCTGTCGTTTTCTCACCGAGGCCGCTGCGCTAACTGCGTGGTGATGAAGCGCCCCGAGTGCATTATTATCCGTCCTCTGCTTGGCTCTTATTGCATCTTGGTCCGATGCTTGGACGAGGCGGTACCCCGAGGTGCTGCAGAGTAATGCGCGGTTCCAAGCAGCTTTTGTGCGTCATGCTGGATGTTTTGACACAAGGCGGCGCTGTCGCAGCACCAGCGGCACCGCGAAAGGTGCAACTCACGGGCGGGGCCAGATCCAAACCGGGGGTGGAGGCTCGGAAATTAGGGACTGCAATTAGAGGGTATGTCAGGGTCTGGCAAATTTAGCCCCCCCCCCCCATCCATAGATCAATAGGGCCTGGTTCCGCGCCTGTTGCCAATAATGGCAACTTGCCATCGCTCCGGCCAACGACAATCATCGCATGCAAGCCATTCCTCGCAGGAGGGGCGGGCAATATGAGATCCCCTCATTTGACATTGCGATATTATTCTTGTTTACGGGATTCATGCATGTACCGTAATCTTGGTACATCATAGGGTACCAGTAATACAGTACATGTATCCGACATGTGTCGACAGTCGACTCGACAGTCGACTCGACACGGGCAAGTGATATCAACGCCCCCCCCCCACCTGGCAACTGGAGCACGCTTGCACAATGCAATGTAAGCTTATCCGAGCTCACCCCGCTCACCATGCACCAATCGAGAGGAAACGCTCCATTGCAAGCACCCAGTCTAAACCTACCACGATTGAAGCTCCAGTTTGCCAAGCACTTCTGTACGTACAGTACCTGCTTGGCGCTGGCGGCAGCCTGCTGCTTTACATGCAGAAGAAGCGCACAAGTACGTTACGGACCGAGAGAGAGCAGCAGCTCATGCTGTACCATCATCATGATCTGTTGGTTTTGTTGCGCTGACCCTCTGTCCCTTCAATCACGCACTCGATCACCTCCGTGGCCAAGTGAGGCGACTGGGACTTCAAGTTGTTGCACACCCTCACGGCATCGCCGACTGTTGAAGCTCTCATTTGCTAACGCTTCACCGTGCAGTGCACGGCGGTCCCCCGATCAGATCGCCGCTGCAGCTGTGGACGTACCCACGTTGAGTGGGTAACCGGTATCGAGGCCCGACCAGATTAAGTTAATCGATTCTTGCGGTGATCGACACTTTGCCGTTCGAAACTGGGCATGACGTACAACTCGTTATGCCGCGCAGACGCAGACGAGCAGAGTCGCTATCCACATCGTGGCCATCCTACGCACCCAAAAGACCAGACAACCATGGATCCGCCACCTCGCAGTGTCCGAAGACGAAGACGTCGTGGTGGTCATCCCCGTCATGGTGACTCGAATCACTGTTCGCGACTCACTTCCGAACGCGGCGAGTGACACCCAAGTCGACCGACTTCATCATGCTGGCTCCGTTCATGCTGACCACTCTGGCGGGCGTGCTGCTTGCGGCCCCCGAGGCTTCCGCTGCGTGCAGCAACTGGTCCACTCGCTACCAGAAGAATCTGGAGGGCGTCTGCGTCTGCAACTCGACCCAGTGCGACACGGTCTCGAATGACTACACGAGCCTCATCCCCGGCCAGGTGGGCGTCTACACGTCGTCCAAGGACGGCGATCGCTTCGCCTACAAGGTGGTGAACGTCGACCAGACCGCCGCGAGCAGCCCGACGTACACCATCGATGTCTCGACCCAGTACCAGACCATGATCGGCTTCGGCGGCAGCTTCACGGACGCCGCGGCCATCAACGTGTACAAGCTCTCGGCGACGCTGCAGCAAATGGTGCTGGACCAGTACTACTCGGACAAGGGGCTGCAATACTCGCTGGGCCGCGTGACCATCGGCTCCACGGACTTCTCGACCAGCATCTACTCGTACAACGACAACGAAGGCGACCTGGCCCAGGACAAGTTCTCTATTGACGTGGACCGCAAGTCCAACAAGATCGACCTCATCCAGCGCGCGCTGCGGACCTCGTCGCGCGACATCAAGCTGTTTGCGTCGTCGTGGGCCCCTCCGGCGTGGATGACGACCAAGACCACGACCATCAACTGCGCGCTCAAGGGCAACCCGGGCGAGGAGTACTGGCGCTCGCTGGCGCTTTACTACTCCAAGTTCTTCGACGAGTATCAGAAGGAGGGCATCGACTTCTGGGCCATGACGGTGCAGAACGAGCCGACCAAGTCCATCCTGCAGACGTCCGAGTGGCAGTCGCTGCGTATGACGGCCGAGCAGCAGCGCGACTTCGTCAAGCTTGACCTGGGCCCCACAATGGCCAAGAACCACCCGAACCTCAAGATCATCGCCGGTGACGACCAAAAGGCGGGCATTCTGGACGAGCTGGCCCCGTTCGAGGACGCCGACGCGCTCAAGTACATCAGCGGCCTGGGCGTGCACTGGTACCGCAACCTCGACTTCTTTTTCTTCAGCCTGGGCGGCGACTTCGACAAGCTGCTGACGTTCCACAACAAGTTCCCGGACGTTTTCATGCTCGCGACTGAGGCGTGCGAGGGATTCCTGCCGAGCTTCTTGGGCACGGGCTCGGGCGTGTCGCTCACGGACGCTGACAAGAGCTGGTCTCGCGCCGAGAACTACGGCCACGACATCATCGAGGACATCAACAACTTCGTGGTCGGATGGACGGACTGGAACCTCGTGCTGGACACCACCGGAGGCCCCAACTGGGCCAAGAACTTCGTGGACGCGCCGATCCTCGTGGACGAAGTCAGCGGCGCCGAGTTCTACAAGCAGCCCATGTTTTACATCATGGGCCACTTCTCCAAGTTCGTGCCGGCCGGTTCGCGCCGCATCGAGTTCCCCAAGACCAAGACGCTCAGCAACTTCCACCGCTGCGCGTTCGTCACGCCCGACAACAACGTCGTGTTGCAGTTCCTGAACCGCGACAGCTCCAAGGTTACCGTGAGTGTCAAGCAGACGGACGCCAAGACGTTCACGCTGACGCTGCCCGGCCACTCGATGCAGACGGTCATCCTGCCGGCGTCTGATGCTACCAAGATCCAGGCTTAGGACGCACTTCAAATGTTATAAATCTCCCTGTGCGCTCTTCTTGTCGACGGAGATACACTTATCAATGAAAACATCAACGAAAAAATAAGTGTTCGCATTGATCATCCAAGCTTTCGTCCATGCCTTCGAGAAAGCAAGTCGCTGCCACCAATTTGGCTTCAACTTCCTCGTATCGAGGCCTAAAACTCAATGATTCACACGGCATTCGAATAGTGGACTTCATTCACTCTCTATCTGCACGGACAGTACAATACTCTCAAGCGTTGCAGAATCACACGGCACGTGGTTATATTACGCCAAATAATGTCTGGTGTTTATAAAATCTGGCTTACCACGGGTAGGCCTTGTTGAGGACGCTCATGAAGACGCGGTCCTTGAGGGGCATCTCGAACTTGTTGAAAAAGTAGGTGACGTCGAACGCGTCGCCGTTGAGCGCGTCACGGGCCGGCACGGGCAGCTGTCCCCACGTGATGAGGTCCTGGAAGTCGCCCGAGTCCTTCGTGAGCTGGAGAGCGGCCTTGTTGCCCAGCACGCTGTAGTGCGACTCGAGCTTGACGCTGTTGCCGTTCATGTACTTGAGCAGCACGGGCGTCTGCTTTCCGTGACCGACACCGGCGGACATGGAGATGCCGAGGAACGTCGAGTTGTCGGGCGAAGGCGAGTCCGTCCAGATGATGGCGTACTCCCAGAAGTGGCGGTGGCCCCACACGTCCTGTCGGCCCTTGGGGAAGTACCAAGTGTACATCGTAGCCCACTTGTCCTTGAACCAGTCCGAGCGAGCGTACACCTGCGAGCCGAGGCTAGAGCCCTCGCAGTCGCCATCAGCGGGGCCAGACCATTCCAGGCCGCCGCTGACGGAGCCGTTGGCCTGGACGGCGGGGTACGGGTGGCATCCGTACGAGACGCGGAGCTGCGGCTTGTACTTGACAGCGAGCTTCTGGGCGTCCGTGACGGGCGTGGGCTGGGCCATCGGCTGCACCTGGTCGTGGTTGATGCGGCTGATAGAGCTACCAGCGCTGGTCGTGGCAAGCGAAACAACTGCGGCGAGGAGGAAGGCGCGGAGGTTCATCTTGGTGGAGAGACTTCGACGAAAGTGGTGCGCTTGAGGCGTTCAATTGGGAAGTGAGCTGGAGGTTGGGTGGTGAATCCAAGGCGGTGGATGGATGATCTCCATCCTTTTCGAGCAGCAAACTTCACCTACAGGTGCGTCAGTCGGGTGACCGGCTCAGTCTGCCTGGCATGTAACAGGGTCCTGGATCCGAAGAATCTCCAGTGTCCTCGCCGCAAAGTGCATGAGTTGAAGAGTCTGCTCCTGTAATGGAGACACAGGATCTGGTCGGTCTGGTTACCTCGACAGAGCAGCGTACATTTCCCCGTCTTGGGAATCCTTAAAAGCAGGAAAAGGGACATTTTGCGTACGATTATCGAGATAGAGCCGGCTGCACGGATGCCAAATCCCTATCATAAATCCCTCGCCTGGCGAGTCACCAACTTCCGTGCTGGTATTAATACAACTTCCGTGCTGTACGTCCGAAATGGATACACCGCTGAATCACACCAAGTTTCCCTGGGTAAACGTCGTCGTAGCCGATCGGAGCACAAAGAATGCTGCTGGAAAATGGGATGCCTGGCCCCTTCGAATCGATAGGTACTTAAGTAGATTCGATAAAGCAGTTCACGTGAAGGCGTGCTACTTTGAAGGCTATGACGGACTCACTCCGTCACGGAGTGAGTACTGTAGCAAACAGCCAAAGAGCACTTATATTATTATAAACCGTTTTTTAGTGTTGTGTGAACATCAACAGCATTTTTCTGCGGAGTAACTATTCTCAGCAAGACGGTGGTCCAGCGGTGTGCTTTGGTATCTTTCCATCGTAGTATTAGATCAGTATCATTCTCAACTGGAAGTTTTCCTTAACCTTATGAACTAAAACGGATAGGCCGTCTTTAAGCGGCATCACACTCTTCGACCACGACAAAATAAGCATATATTCGTCAGCAAAAAGTTTGGAGCGCACTGGTCTTTGTCGTCGTCAGCATCATCACATCCAGTCCAATCAACACAATCTGATTGTAGAAAGCTACCGAGTAATATATATGCTTTTGTTGTTGCTCTACAGTTACTGTATGCGCCGTCTGAAAAAAGGGAATTATACTACGTACGTATGAAACTTCTTGAGCTTACAGGTTACAGGTTAGCGCAAAATGCTGCCACGCATGTAAAAGGCTTGCTCTACAGTATCCAGCAATGCATGACTCACTGAGAGTCTTGCGAGCAAAAGACACCATAAATTCGATTTGTACGGTACTGCCATCTCAAAGAAAACCAATCACAAAGTGTTGAGGTCAAATCTTCCGTGTCATCTCTTCTGTTCTGATCGAGACAACAAGAGCCAGCGGAGACTCTCCGCTGGAGAGCGAATGCTGCTCGAACGATGGGAGGTCTCACTTCCCAGCTAGCTAAGCACACTACAGACCAAAGTCTACGGTTTCTACATGAACCTCCACTCCTTCGTCCTCGCCGCGATCGCCTCGCTGGCCGCGGTTAACGCCGACGTCAAGATGATCAACCACGACACCGTGCAGCCATTCGCCCAGCCTGAACCCACCACGGATTCCGAGAAGACTGCGGTCAAGTTCAAGCCCCAGCTACACATCTCGTACGGATGCCATCCGTATCCAGCCGTGGAGGCCAACGGCTCCGTCAGTGCCGGGCTGAAGTGGACGGGATGGGCTGACGGCGACTGCAAGGGCTCTGGTCTCGGCTCCCAAGTGTATTCGCGGTCCGACTGGTACAAGGACAAGTGGGCCATCATGTACGCCTGGTACTTCCCCAAGGGCCGGCAGTACGCGTCCCAGTATCGATCGGGTCACCGCCACTTCTGGTCCTATGCCATTGTCTGGACCGACAGCGACAAGCCCGACAACTCAACCATCCAAGGCGTCTCGATGTCCGCGGGTGTCGGCTACGGGAAGGCGACACCGCCCAAGTCCAAGTACGTCGTCGACGGAGTGACGGTCAAGTTCGACTCGTACTTCAGCTTCTGGGGCAGCAAGGTGGGCATCCGAACCACGACGAAGACGGGGGAAACGCAGGATCTGATCACGTGGGAACAGCTTACCGACGAGGCGAGGACTGCCCTGACGGACGCCGACTTTGACGTAGACTGGTCCTATAAGAAGGTTGTCATGCCCTTGTTAGACGATGTCTTCACCGAGAAGCTCGAGAAAGCGTATCCGTTTTAGTGGCCACGTTGCTTTAGGTTACCAATATAATTGGAAAAATGTTGTACCGGTACAAGTTTAACGCAGCGGCTACTGCTTACGCGCTCTAGCCCTTTTAGCTATGGTTTCCCTTCTCGTTGAAGTACGTTGAAGTACTGTGTGAGTTTGGAGGCATAAACGACGAATTCTTGGCTGTTCGTTTAATGAATGCAGGCTTTAATTGGTATTATATCAAAACCAAAATGGGAGGCCGAATCTCACAGTCAAGAGATAGATTTTGCTAATTCAAGACTCGTGCGGGAAAACAACCTGGCTGGGAAATGACGTACAAATTATTTCTACTAAACCTTGTTCATAGGAATCTGTCCCCGTCGGGGACACATTCCTATGAACAAGGTTGGGGACTCCCCGACAGTATGTCGACTACGCAGATGTTCTCACGGCAGCAAAGCCGGAGTCACAGTGAAGCTGGCTTCTCGTAGCTTCAACCGCATTGTGGCGACGCCTATCACTATGAAAGGTCATTTTACAATATATGAGTGACCGCATTAATAACACAGTCCACCCTGCGGGCTTCGAGTGGCTATTCTTCAGTTTTTCGGCATGACCATTTGAGGGTGACATGGTGCAGTATCACAAATGTGGCAACAACAGCTAACGTGTACTACTGTACATAGTAAGTTATCAGCGCGCGATGATACAACTGAGAGAATCGCCTGTACCTGCGATAAGCTTTTTAGTCGCCTGCCTGATTCGCAAAGCCAATAATCTCTGGTGCATGTACTGTACTGGTAAGTGAGCACTAGTATTAACGGCACATACATGAACAACGTGGGTCAAATCCCGCACCCTAGCATGTAGTTGGATGGCCTGTCACGTGACGAAAGGCCACGAACAGGCAGCGCCAGACGACCGAGCGGTGGTGATCGACTTGACGGACGAGTAGTGTGGTGGACATCGGCCAGATCGGGTCGTGGTGTTCGACAGGAGGCGTGTGGTGAAGAGGGCAAGCCAGTGGACTAGTGCCACCGGCTGAAGGCGGTCGTTTAGCAAGCAGTGGGATGTTGAAGCTGGCGATGGCGACGACAGAAGATCGCAGTGCGTGGGGCGACACGCCAGGACAAGGGCGAAGAAGTATGCGAGTGAGGAGAGGCGAGATCAAGGACAGGAACCCGAGGCTGTGAGGCCACGAGCATGGAGAAGGAGTCGAAGAGGGAGAGGTCCAGTAGGTAGGCAGGCGCCTGTGCGTAGGAGTAGATACAGCGGGGATAGGACTGAGTGGATACCGAGCGGCGGTCGGCCGACTCGACTCTCAGTTGCGGTTTTTCACAGGATTGTGGAGAGTCAAGACTAATATACACGAGTTGCGCCGAACGCACGGGTTTCCGGTCTTTGGAGCAGCGACGAAGGGCGTCGACCAAAGCGACGGCAATAGCGAAGGTATGGCAGTGGTAGGCCAGTGCACAGATGAGGGCAGTGTTCGAGTAGGGCGGCAGGACTGTGGAGAGAGACGACAGGGGCTGTGGTGTTGGAGCACCTCGGCCGAGTGGCGCGGAGCTCGCATGTGCCAGTGTGCGAAGGGCTCTTGCTGCCTGCTGTATATAACTGGGCTTTACGAGCTGGGAACAGCTAGTGGGGCTACCCGACCACTAGTGCTTATAACGTTTCCTCCTAGCCATCCCTATCCTAGCCATGCGTACAGGCCAGTAACGTCTGGTCGACACTGAACGGCCTCGCACTGGAAGAGACCCTGCTTACCGAGACGCTCCCTAGGTGCTTAGGTGAGCAGCTTGTGTTAACGATCCCCCTCCGACGCGGTGTAAGAAGAAGGGCACCCGGAGTGGAGATAACGACACTAGCATTTGCAAAACAATTTATTACTATCATGTATACTCGTACATTGCAGCAATACTAGTACACTACTCCTACGGAAAGCACACCACAAAGCTCTCTCACCTACACATTGGCCGCATCGTGTCCAAGTCGACTCTTCCAACAGCTACGATGAACCTCCGCGCCTTCCTCGCTGCTGCAGCCGCCTCACTCGTCATGGTCGAAGCCGAGATCAAATGGATCGACCACGACCAAGTGCAGTCGTTCCCGCAGCCTGAGCCAGTCACCGATTTCGAGAAGTTCGCCGTCAAGTACAAGCCTCAGCTCCACATCTCGAATGGATGCCACCCGTACCCTGCGGTGCAGGCCGATGGTTCGGTAGGTGCCGGCTTGAAGTGGTCTGGGCCCGAGAAAGGCAAGTGCAGGGGCTCTGGCTTGTGATCCCAAGTGTACTCGCGCTCCGACTGGTACAGGGGCAAATGGACCATCATGTACGCCTGGTACTTCCCCAAGGGCCGAGCGTGCAAAGACGACTTCAAGACCGGCCACCGTCACTTCTGGGAGGACGTGGTCGTCTGGGTGGACAATCCGAACCCGGACAACTCGACCCTCCTCGGAGTCCCGATGTATGCTGGCCACAGACATATTAAAGTAGTCCCGGTGGACGAGAAGTATTTGAAAGACGGGAAGACGGTCAAGTTCGGCTCGTACAAGTCTTTGGGTGCTCAGGTTGTTGGGCTGACGGAGGATTACGGCGAGATCCAGGATCTCATCACGTGGGAGCAGCTCACGGTGGAGGCCCGGACGGCGCTGAGCGAGGCCAACTTTCACGTCGACGGGGGTGTGAGGGAGGTCGTGGTGCCGATCAAGGACGGCCAGTTTGAGAAAACCCTCGAAAGTGCCTATCCAGCTGACTTCGACCGGAAGTAGGACGGCCTGTGTCGCCAGCAAGCCTATTGTCGAGGGGTAATGCAACAAAATGGCCAAGAAGCACTTAGCTAACTTCGTGATACGTTATGCAGAAGTCGGTTGCCATAGATAGGAGATCAATAGATTTGGTAGCACTGAAGAAAATCAGTGCGGCTGACTGAGCTGACATTGCCAACAAACCTCGCACGGAATAGATTAAGTAAGTAGTGCTAGCTTGACTCCAAAGTACTGTTGGCAGGGGGAATGGTACGTGGTGGTTATGCCCCCGCCGCGTCCACTCTGCACTAACGTTACATGTAGAAGTAGATGGTCCACGTAGGAGTGCCGAAGCTTTTAGTGGTCTGCTTTATACATAAAGCAGGGCACCCGAAAAAATAATCTTCATAAAAATACAAGGCCGTGCTCTGCCCGGAACAGCTCTGGATTTTACGTTGCTCTTACATGTAGGAATATAAGTTAGCGTACCGCGGCACTTTGTTTCTACGTGTCAATGACAGAAAGAAGTCAGTACATCGTATTGGTTGTGAGGGTAACCACTTTGTATTAACGGATTTTTACGAATAGTGGCCGGTCTTGATATTACTAGCGGCTTGGTATTTTTAACTACTTCACTTCTTATTATATTAAAATACAGTTTAGGAAAACTGGAGGAAGGAACAACCCCGTCTTCTCCCTTGGGTGTGGTTTTCAACTATCTACTTCATAATTTTGAAATAGCCACATGTGGCTATTCTCGACGCAAAAAAAATCTAGTTCGAAATTCGTATGACAACCCCCAAATAAGTTTTGGACTAGCTACTTTTCAGTTTGTCAGGGTTTACGACCGCGCGCTACACGAATCATAGCGTTCACGCGAGACATGCGTGGGCTTAACCCCGCGTGCTACGCACGCGGATCTTAAACCACAGGAAGCGTTCTTGCTTGAACATTAAGTCGACTTGGTATAGAAACTACACCCTGATCCCTAAAACCCCCTTTCCCCTTGGGGCACAAAACCCTAGACCCCCCTCTACCTCCCCCGAAGGGGGAGCACCTCGCTTCGCTCGGTAGTCGGCAGGACCCGCCTGCGGCGGGAGTTGACGACACCAAGGTGCTAGCTGGTACGCGAAAAGTGGCTATTTGGTTCATCAATTCCAGACAAAAAGTAGCTACTTCAAAATAAATACCCTTCTCCCTTTAGCCACAATCGAAACGAGCACGTATTCGCAGAGATAGAAGTGTTCACTACCGGACTTACCGCCGCGCTTCGCGAAGGCTAGGAAATGTAAATAACAGCATTTTGCTTTTTCAGAAAGCCTACCAGACAGTAGCAGAAAAAAAGAACTAAAATATCCCTCAAGCCAACGCTTACTGATTCTCTTGTCCACCATTTCATCGTCCATTATCAAACACAACCTGCTCAACATGAATTCAATCAACTGAGCAACGTGCAGGGTAGGGGTGATCATGCAGTAAAGAGATCACTAACTGAATGAGATGGAATCTGTACTTTCAGCCGACCGATCTTAAAAGACCGTTTGATACTGAATAGGAGGGTACAAAAATCATTTTCGGTAGTGTGAAGCATTCCACCCAAGGGCATCTGCTGTGCTTGCTTTACAGCCGCAGCATCTGCCCGGCAATGGTGTACTGCTATTAGTAAGGGGCATCGTCGTGCTCATCGGCGTGGTGCGAGGCATCAATCATCACCGTTGAACACTTCAAGGCGTGATCCCATCGGCGTGTTGTTCGAGCGGAAAAAAATCCGATGGATGTCGCTTGAGTGGCAGATAAACTATCTATCACAGGTATATATACTTGATTAAAGGGTATGCAAAATAATAGGTAATTTGACTTAATCTCAACCGGATGGGTCAACATAGCAGCATAATTTGATTAGATCACGGGATATCCAGTATAAAAGGTATTTTAGCTATAAACACCTGGAGCGCTCATAACCATATTTAGCAGGTATGTGATGTGAGAATAATGGCACCTCCGTGGCCTTCACCCATGATAAAATCCAGAGGACATTCGAATTTTATAATTGAATGATTAATTTCTTGAAAGAGCTGAATTTTTGTTAGAATTCTTATCAGTTCCTTGCAAATTAAGTCTAAGAAATACAGGTTTAGCTAGCCTTCTGGGTCTTCTAGCTCACCGAAGGCATAAGAACGAAAGACTAACAGGGTTCGCAGTTGGAGCATTACTCGTTTACTTGGACCAGAAGCCTTTACTAATTATATAAAAAATATTTCGGATTCACAAAAGATTGAATTATTAATTTCTGCTCGAAATAGAAAAGTATTAATCCAAGAATTGCATTCTCGGGTGCCCTCAGTTCACGAATCATATACTACAGCTCAACAATGTTGACACATATCCCGCACCCTAGCATTGCAATCTTTGTTTCTGCGAGAGCACATCGTTCGAAGCCACCAACCGCGTTGCTAGGTGTCCCGCGTGCTGTACAGCGCTATCATACGGTCCAAGTGCAAAACAAAATTCCCCATTGGCCGCGTAGGACAAGACACGATTCTTCCATCCGCAACGATGAACTTCCGTGCTTTCCTCTTCGCTGCAATCGCTTCGCTCGTCGTGGTCAAGAGCGAGGTCAAAATGATCGGCCACGACCAAGTGCAGCCGTTCGCTCAGCCCGAGCCCACCACTGAGTCCGAGAAATCCGCCGTCAAGTACAAGCCTCAGCTCCACATCTCGTACGGATGTCACCCGTACCCCGCGGTCCAGGCTGATGGCTCGGTTAACGGCGGCTTGAAGTGGACTTTCTGGTCTTGGGCTGACAGCGACTGCAAGGGCTCCGGTCTGGGCTCCCAAGTGTACTCGCGCTCGGACTGGCACAGGGGCAAGTGGGCCATTGTGTACGCCTGGTACTTCCCCAAGGGCCGAGACTTCGAACATTCGTTCAAGAGAGGCCACCGCCACTACTGGTTGTACGCCATCCTCTGGACGGATAGTCCGAACCCGGACACGTCGACTATCCTCGGTGTGTCGGTGCCTAATGGTTTCAGAGACAAGAGCGCGGCTCCGGACGCACAGTTTGTGATCGACGGGAAGACGATCAAGTTCGACTCGTACAGGAGCTTTACCACCGGCAGGCAGGATTTGGGCCTCACGGAGAAGACCGGCGATACTCAGGATCTCATCACGTGGGAGCAGCTAACGGAGGAGGCCCGGACGGCGCTTAGCAACATGAATTTCGACGGGCCCCGACAAAAGATTGTGGTGCCGATGAAGGACGGTGACTTCGCGGAGAGGCTCGCGAGGGCTTAACCGTTCTAACCCATGGAGAAGTAGAACGGTGCTTTACCAAACGCAACACTTTTAAGTGTTTATACTTAAAAGTATACATTCTTGGTTAAGCCGGTAAATACCATACATCTCCATTTGTGCTTGTTCTGGCTTGCACTTGCAAATTCATCACTTAACGTGGCGGAGTCAGGATGGCGTCAGGTTGAGCCATATCGTCCATATCCCTTGAGCTCCAATGCCCCTCTTGGCCATAGGTCAAATGCATATAACCAAGTTTATAGCCACAACTCGTCCCGTCTGGAATGAAGTGTCCAGCGTCGACGCATCTTTCGAGCCCGGTTAGCCATTACTGCATGAATCAACTTGCGCCACCCAAACGATATCTTTGTGAAGAGTGTGAACGCTTTGGCTGACGACCGTGGTGATCACTTCTCACCTTGCTCGAAGGCCGTCACACGGCAGTATGAACAACATCCGCATCATGGAGGAGCCCTACACTCCCAGGTCCGACTACGCCTCGGTGCAAGACAACGAGCCGCTGCCCAGAGCTTTTGGGATCCCGTTCGCCCAGCGCGATCTAGCGTCCAATATCCCCATGCTCGACTCCTCACAATACGCACTGGAGCGTGACAGCACCAGCGTCGTCGACGACCGAGCCACAGCCATGAGCGACCTGGCCATCGGCACTCGACGAAGACGAATGCCATTCCCATCTCTGCCGTCGACTTTCCAGCGAGCGATGAGGTGGTGGATCGCTCTGCGGTGGAGACTCTCACGCAGCGTGTTCTCGGTCCCATTGCCCCTGCTAACAGTGGAATTCGGCGTCAAACTCGGCGACTTGATCGTCCTCATCCCCGCCATCAGCTACCTGGTAACAGCTACAGCACTTCGGGCGAAAGACCACGATATCAAAGGCTCCGGAGCAGCTCCGTCCATCACAATGATGCTGGTATTCCTCTTCGCTATTCGGAATAATTCCGTGTTGCTGGTAGCTACGGGGATTCCGTTCGAGCGCGTGCTGTTTTACCACAAATTGTTCGCCTTTGTGACCATCATATTGACGGCGCTACACGGTCTGGCGTATCTTCTGGAGAAAGCCGACTCGGGAGACAGCGACGACTTACACCACGACCAAATGGTTTCGGGGATGGTGGCGTTCACGGGCATGGTGGTCATGTATATGCTGTCGCTGAACGTCATCCGTCGCAGATTCTTCGAGGTTTTCATCCGCCTGCACTGGGTCCTCTTCATTGTCGTGGTTATCTTCACAGTGATACACGGTGCATCCCTAGTTCTGGTCGGATTAATCCCCTGGGTGATCGACACTTTCTTCCGAGTCGGGTATCGTCTGTATATCCACGCAAATGGGTCGTTGTTCAAGAAGAAACGAGCTCAAAACGCGCAAAACCCGTCGGAATCTCACCATAAGCCGCGACGCGGGGTTATTGCGCGTGATCAGTTCACGATATGTGCGATGCCGGGGAATATCACGCGCATCAGCTTCCCGCGCGTCCGGTACGACACTGGCGAGTCGTTTGAGTATGAAGCGGGGCAGTACGCGTTCCTGTGCGTCCCCAAGCTGTCGCTCCTGCAGTGGCATCCCGATCTCCTCCGCTCCACATAATGCCATGGTCATGTTCCACATCAAGGCGCTTGGGGACTGGACGAGGAAACTCCACGACTTGGCAAGCTCAAACGACCCGGACATGGACCCAATCGATGTCCGCGTTGACGGTCCGTACGGCAGCGTAGCGATCGACATCGACAGCGTCACAACGTACGCGCACTTCATCTTGGTTTCGGGCGGAATTGGGGTCACTCCCATGCGTTCGATAGCGAACTGGTTGCATTATGAATGCCACTACCACAGCCGCGAAGGCACGCCTAACGTGAGGTTTGTATGAGCCGTGCGAGATCGAGAGGTGGTCGAGAGCGTACTGAGTCAAGACGTGGAGGACAGGGACAACGGGCAGGAAATGGACGAGGTGGCGCCGTATTTGCCGCATATTCTGCTCCACCCTCGCACAATGAACGACCCTGATGGGAATTTCTACAGCGAAATCTACTTGACACGCGGGCATCCGGACCTCGAAGGGCGAGGCGACCACCAGTTCAAGAACTGCATGAAGTACGGCGTTCGGCCGGATGTCACCCAGACCTTGAGAGAAATGGGCCACGACGCGCTGAAAAATCGGAAAAAGCGCGTTGCGGTCCTCGTGTGCGGTCCTCCGGCCATGGTCAGGGACGTAACGAAGGCCAGTTTGCAGCTCGCGCGCGAAATGCGCGTCCACTTTGACGTACACAGCGAAGTTTTCCAGTTTTAGAGAGTAATCGATCCACACGTTCAGTATTTCAGCCAGCACGTGGTCATCTCCGCCCACTTCAGAGTCTGCGTCTTAGGGAGTTTGAAGCCGCTGGGTTGGTCTCCTCACTTTGATCATCGTTTCGCTTCAGAGACGCGCGAGAATGCCCAGCATTTTGCTCATTTTTCAGTTGGAAACGGCCTGCGTGCGGAGTTTCACAGTCACACGCATGGGATCGCTCGCTTCATGCCGCTAATTTGGAAGTTAACGGCGCCTTCAATCACGCGATGGCGGTTGTTCGCGACACCGGCCGTGTTCCGCCCGTGCAAAGCTTCCAGTCCTGCATTTGCCTTGGTTTGGCTTAGTTACAGCTAGAGGTAGGGTTTCTCGATGTCTGCGGCCGTCGCGGACTCGTCGACTCCGTCGGGAGACTACGTGTCTTCCTTCAGCCAGAATGGTCAAGTTGCTGCAGGCTCCGCCACCTCGCAGAGCAATCACACTCAAGTTGCCCCTGTGAAGCCCGGGCGCTCGCCTTTCGACTGCTTGAAGCGCGCGTGGTTTTCCGTCCGCTGGAAGCTGTCGACCTGCATCTTCTCGCGGCCGGTGCCGTTCCTGACAGCGAACTTGGACCTGAAGCTGGGCGACGTACTGGTCACGCTGCCCGTGTCGGCGCTAGTATTGGCCATCAATGCGAACTTGTGTGCAAGGCAAGAAGTGAAAGAGTCGGGGTCTCTGCCCATGATCGCCATGATAGTCGTCTTTGCGCTGGCGGTGCGCAACAATTCCATCCTCTTGACGCTGACTGGACTCCCGTTCGAGCGCGCGTTGCTGTACCACAAGTTTGTCGGTGTACTCGCAATCCTCTTGAGTGGACTGCACGGCCTCGCGTATCTTCTTGAGGACGCTGGGGTACTAGCGGTTCAACGCCGGCTTCGCGGAGGAGACAGTGAGCCAGTTCTCGAGCAGAAGACGTCGGGCGCGATTCTCTTCTACCTCCTCTGTGCTCTCTGGGTATTCTCGCTGTCTCCGATCCGCCGCAGATTCTACGAGGCTTTCCTGCGTCTGCACTGGTTGCTGTTCATCGCGATTGTCGCGTTCGCTATAATCCACGGGGCTGGAGGAGTCGTCATTGGTTTGATCCCATGGGCGTTGGACCTGGTTTTCCGTCACGGATATCTCGTCCAGAAGCACTTCCGAGGGGGATTGTTCAACATTTTCCGCTGCAAGAGTGCGTCTGGTTCGGCTAAACCTGGAGTTATTTCGCAGCAACAGGTGTCCATGAATCACTTGCCCGGAGATATCCTGCGGATTCAGTTCCCCCGCGTCCGCGCGGACACTGGAGAGAGCTTCAAGTATGAAGCGGGGCAATACGTCTTCATCTGCGTCCCCAAGATCTCGCTACTGGGGTGGCATCCGTTCACGATCTCCTCTTCTCCTCATGAAGTTCTTGTCACCATCCACATCAAGGCACTGGGAGACTGGACCAAGAAGCTGCTGGCGGCTGTGCCTCTCACGTCGGACGGGAGTCACCACGTTGTACCAGCGCCGTTCCCCATTCTCGTCGACGGGCCCTACGGCAGCGTCTCTATCGACATTGAGAATCAGACTGCGTACTCTCACGTCGCGCTCTTCAGTGGTGGCATCGGTATCACGCCCATGCAAGCGATTGCGAACCAGCTCTTCTTCGACTTCCACCATCGAGGACGACAGGCACTTAAGAAGGTGCACTTTGTGTGGGCGGTGCGTGAGCGCAGCATGGTTGAGGCAATGATGAACGCCGAGTTCGCAGAGGACCGGAAGCTGCTACAGGGCCACACTCCTGCGTATCTCCCGGACGACCTGCTGTCGGTTGATCCGAATGGAGGAAGCACGTCCCCCGACGATGTATTTAAGGCGGAATTTTACTTGACAAGAGGGCAGCCGGACCCTGAGAACCCGATTGACCGCCATCTCCAGCACTGCATGCGATACAACACCCGTCCTGATGTCGCTGATGTGTTGAAATCGTTGGGACAAGATGCCCAGAAGCACGGCAAGAAGCGAGTTGCTGTACTTGTCTGCGGACCTTCCGCGCTGGTACGAGATGTCATTAACCAGGCGATGAAACTCGAACGAACCTCCAAGATCAAGTACGATGTCCATACCGAGTGCTTCGACTTCTGATAAGATGGAAGCGATGTACACTCCAAAAGGTAGTGAATTGGTTTTGAAATGAAAAAAAAAGTTTCTTGTGGGTAAATTACCTGGAGTTTATTGCTTGTAGCGCCATCCGCCCATCATTTCATTGCGCTGTTCTTCCATGAGCGACTCAACCAGCATGGCAAATGTGTTGTCGTTAAGCTCAAGCTCTGGCAGCTCGGCCATACACGACGTATTGACAGCGTCAGGGTCACCGCTATTTGAAACGAATGACGCCACGACGCGAGAGCTGCACAGCGTTTCGTTGTCAGCCGTGGTGGCTGAAAGTCCACAAATGTGACCGCCAAAATCAAATTCCACGAGCATTTTCTTACTCGAGTCAGGATCGCTTAGCTTCGTTGCCTCAAATTGATATCGTCCAAACTCCCATGGAGTCTGAAAGTCCAGGCCGCCGTTAATTACCAGCAGACTTGAATTAGGAGGCACTGGTGCCGTTTGGTTGGAAAAATCGTCCGGCGCGTAGATGAAACTCTGGGTGTAGTTTGTAGTCTCGACATCTTCAGACGCAGAAATTAATTGAGCGCATGCTGGATCTCGGTCATTATCTGGTACCGTTGGGTTCAAGTTGCCGGAGTGAAGGCAATACTGCGCCAGGTTAGCCGAGGCAACCTAAAAAAACCATCCGAGTAAAACTCCTGGAGTTCAGCTTCAGTTGGTGATGGCTTGGCCCAAATCTCCGAGTACGAAATCAACCAGTACTCGAGTTGATCAATTGAGTTCGAACCAATTGTGGCAAGACGCGAGCCTAGAGAGGGTCGAAGGGATTTCTCAAACGCTTGGGAGATTTTAGAGTCGGGGATCGCAGCCCCTTGCACTTGCTGCACTATCATCTTCAGTAGCGGACCCATCACCAGCTCAAGCTCCTGTTGATCATCGCCGTCGCACCGCTGCATTCGTGCCAGTATTGACGGAACCAGCGAGCGTAGCCCCGGATCCCGCACCAATAACCCGAAAATCGGTCGTAGCGCCTGTGATGGCGTCTCCACTCCTGTAGCAAGCATCAATTCAACCGCACAATCGTTCAAAGTGTCGTCGATTTCGTCGTAGATGTCCAAAACAGCGTCCAACACATCTCCATCTTGGTCAATATCGAGCTGGAGCGGACACGTTTCTTGTTCTTGCAGGCACAACTCGAAGAACCTCCTGGACGGCGCCAGTATATTGTAATCCCAGTGAGAGAAGAACAACCTCGTGCTTGGATCAGGCCCTGCCTCCGACACCACTCCGTCCAGTATATAGCCCTTCACCTGAGACGGCGCTAAGCGCATGACACGCTCCACCAGAAAAGTCCCATAACTCGTGCCGTAGAGGAATGGTTCCGAGCGGTCTTCCTCTCCTGCCAGTCCCTCCATGAGATAAACCAAGTCACGCGCCGCTGACGTAACAGAGAAAGCGTCCGTGTGTCCGTCGATTTGCTGTAAAATGTCTTTGACGCAGTACGGAAGTTCGCCCAACGAGATGCTGTGTCCATTGGGGCTTCCCTCTGCCGTTGCTTGAGCTGCCACGCAGTCCAAAGGCGAACTACGACCAGTTCCCCGATGGTCCATCGTATACACATCCACCGAACGCTCCAGTAGCGCATACATTAGCAGCATTCCCATCTCCACTAATACACATTAGAAAATAATAATTAGAGAAAAACGGCATAAACAGATATCTCAGTTGGTGACGGTAGAATTGTTCTTTTGAACGTACATCAACAGAAGAAGCCCCCGGCCCACCGGCCAAAAGCCAAAGGCTTTTACGGCTGTTTAGCGGCTGGTTTGGAGTTGCTGCAGCCAGTTTGGGCTTGACGAAGAGCTCGATGGTTTTAGAGCTGGTACAGATTTTGGGATGACACAGTGCCGCTTCCACTGTGGCGCACTCGAAGCTGATGTCGTTGAGCCAAGACTGCTCCGCTGCGTCTGTTAGTGTGCACGGGTACCAGCCATTGATCTCCATCGCTGACGCGAGGAAAAGCCCATAATTGACGAGGAAAAGCAGCAGCGCCACAAGTCGCAGCATAACGACGCTAGAAGATCGCGAAATGAAAAGCAAGATCTGATTCACATACTGATTTTCTCGGTGGTCGAGTTGAAGTTGATTTGTTTTTACTGCTGAGAGCCTTGGACCGAGACAACGACTACCTGCCATGGAGAGCGAGCATTGACGTTGTACATGTACTACATTACCTATATTGGAGCTATGACTGGACGCATGGGGTTGCGTACAACAAAGTGTTCGTAACCAGGATTGCAGGATGTAGAGTTTACGACCCACACTTGTTCATAGTCGACCAAAAACTACAAAAGAGTGGAACATTTCGCGGGCGTGATTTTGCTCTATGGCCCTCAAATGGCATTCGAATACGGTCTACTACATGTATAATAGCTCTGTTTAAAGCAGGCACTCGAACCACTTGACTGGCATTTTTGCCTTGTTCAGGAGTGCGTTTCCATTCCGGAACGCAGTATCGGCGTGGTTGAGCTTCGCCACGTAGAATGCGTCTTTGTAGCTGTCTCCGAACTGTTCGGTAGCAAAACCACCTGCGCAGCTGTAAAACTCCACCAGCCCATCGTTTTCTAAGGACTTGTGGGGCACGGCAGTGCCCATCGCCCAATACCACCACTGCCGCTTTGACCGCAGTCCGGAAAATCCGTCGCTGCACATTAAAGCCGTCACGTCTCGCCGATAAACCTTTTTAGCTGCTGCGTACGCTGCATCAAGCTCCGGAGAGCTGCTATCCTCACCTTCGTACGCCATAGATTTGATCCCGTTCCCTGCGGGGCAGTACCAGGCTTTTGCTACCAACTTTTCGGCGACGAAGTTGGTCTCGTTCTGGCAGGAATTCTGGAAGTAGTCGGAGGCCATGCTTCCTCCCTCGCATAGGCGCGACCAAAGCCACCCACGAGACGCTCGAGTCGAGACTGCATTTGCCTGTAGCGGCTGCTCCAGCAACCAGAAGCCCACCCATGGAGTGTGTGACGATGATTGTATCCGATACGGTACTAGTCTCGCTCACTGCAAGAATCCGATCGCACACTTTCTGTTGCTGTTCCTCGTCGGTCCAGGAGTTGCTCAGCGTGTTTAACTTTGTATACTTGATCGAAGAGCAGCAGGGAGCGTGGCCTGTCAAGTTGCCCCAGTATGATGTGGGGAAGACGTCCAGATTTTCCGGTTCCTCCTCGAAAATACCAAGGCCATGGACGAAGATACACGGCCGAGGCGATGACTTGCATGAACACGATTCATCGCCGTCACCGAACACAAAGTCTAACGTGAGAGAAGCTGCTTTCAACCGCCTCTCTTCGTGAGGAGATAGCGGCTCCCCTGTAAGCAGAGACCTCCCGACCGATGTCACGGAACTTGGAAATGCCAGTTTACCGCAGCTAGTTGGCAATCCATTTCCGAGTTTGGGGGGCCGAAATGCTCCCTCCATCTTTGACGTACTCCAACACAATGTCCATGTCGTTGCCGTACATCATAATGGCCGAGGAACCCGAAAAGCACAATCCGAAGTCGGCCCCATCCACCGAAACCTTGAACGTGCTCCCAGCCAAACACTGAACAGCACCACCACTCTTGGAGGAGAGACTTGAAACTCGCTGAGTGCGGCCACGATGGAATTAATTGGCAGCAGCACCTCTGTGACTTGACATTCCGCCGACGGACTAGAGCTGCTGTCCCCCAAGGAGGCACGACGTGTGTTCGGTCTATTGCATTACGAAGCACACATCATTGGTCTTGGGCGATGAGGGAGCGGGAGTCGTGGCGTCGTAACGCCCCATTCAACAGAAATTCAGGGCCAAACTGATGATTTGATTAACTGGTTATTGCTGGTTGTACGCTCTTGGGAAACTGAATTGTTGATATTCCTTGGGTGAATAGGGTACCAGAGGTAATGATTGTTGAATGATTGTGATGAGATATTGGATTGGAGAGTGTATCAATTTATTCTTCTTCCTTTTTTGTCCTTGGTGGGATTTGAACTCCGGCCAAGAGTGTACTTCCTGGGGCCTTTTCCCCAGTGGGCTACCCTTGATGAGCGATTTTGGCCCTACAGTTGCCACGAAAAAAAACGAAAGGCAGCTATGGTACCGCTTCAACTTTTGCAATCTACTCTTGCGTCTGCTGCTACCTTTTACAAAAGTACTACCGGTAAAAGGCTTTTAGTACTCATGAGTCTGGGAGGGGCCGCGGCGAGTAAATTTACCAGTACATGTAGTGCATCCGCTAATGTGGCCAGCAACTTTGAAATGGTGGACACGAGAGTCGAGTTGAAGTCAAGTTGAGAGAGTACAGCTTTCTCATGGCGCATGCGATTTCGTCGCTTCAGCTTGTCGACCGTGACTTTACGCTGGACTTTAATTCAGAAACTACACGACTCGCAGCTCATTCGACCCACCGACTGCGTCAGAGAGCTTTTCCATACTTTTGCAGACACATCTTACGCAATAGAGCTTCCTGGAGCAGCCACATCGGTGGCCCTGGTACTAACGTGATGGTAACATTGGTAGCGTGACACTAGCATGGGCTGCTCCGCTAGTGACCATTGCCTCGTCTCGGATCTTAATGGAGTGCCGCATTCACTGGCCTTCTTGGTGCGCCATTTTGGATTTCCCAGCTTCCTACACACTGTGCAGCAAAATTAGCGAAGATGCTGCGTATCGGCGCGGTTGTTGCTGCTTTGTTAACAATCACAACGTCTACCAACGCCCACGAGATGTACGTGTCGATGATTCCGAACGGAGCTAACGTACCCGGCGTTGAGGCTCTAGGCCACGTGAACCCAAATGGGGACGGCACACTCACCGGTTTTGGCGAGGACTTCGCCAGTGCCTTCTACGTGTGGACGAAGGAGCTGTGCAACAAGGACTCGGACGGTGACGGGCAGACGAACGGCCAGGAGTTGGGAGATCCATGCTGCGAATGGGATCTGCTGTCTCTCAACGCGACTTGGACTGAAGGCGTCTCGCATCCGGGCAATGCAAGTGATACGGCGGACGAGTCCCTGTGGGCAAATATCGAGTGTTCCAGCTCCAGCTCTTCAAGTTCATCTGCTGCCACGGATTCAGTGTCCAGTCTCAGCAGTGCTTCGTCCGCCGGAAGCACGTCAGGAGCCGGGTCTTCGGTTGCTGCAGTGTCAACTATGGCAGGTGTCATGGCGGCCACGCTTGGGTTAGTACTGCTAATGTAAAGCTCAGACCTGGTATTTGGGTTGACATAAAACCCCAAACAAACACGAAAAATAACAAATGCAGTACATGAAACCCCAGCAGAAATCACCTACAGCGTCTCTCCTTGCATGATTCCCGTGACTAAATGTCGGCGATGGGCTGGTATCCGCTTTGGCGTCGAAGGCAATCCGTGATGATCATCTTCCACCCCACCGAGAGCAACGCTGTGAGCATTCCGCCGGCCACGGAGCCGACAACGAAGACCCACACCAGCGAGATGCTCGCAACTTCGTCCGCCTGCTGCATCTGTGCGGTAGCAGCAAGGAACTGCTGCTGGTCCTGCGTCTCGGTCACCGCAGCCTGCTCTCGAAAATGCGCCTTCGTGTCAATCTTGCGGAATGCTGCAGAGGGGTCTTGTGTCTGTGACATCGCGGCCTCGACATCGGAACGCGGTGGTAGATCCTTGGTTTGCAGCACATTGCGATCGTCAAGAAGCGGCACAGTCGAGTCCAAGAACCAAATACCGTACGAAACCGGGATCAGGCGTCGCGCGTGTGGGTCGGCCCAGTCCAACATGTCCAAACTCACGCGTCGCAGTAGTTGGTTCGCCGTAGAGCGGATGTACAGCATCCGGCGCTTGTGGTCTCTCACGATGGACCACTGCGTGGCCTCCCCCATGGGTGGACGCACCACCGTGTTCAGAAGATGCAAAGCATCCGACACCACGCGTTGCTCCTCCGTCGCTTCAACGTACGAAGCATGCACGGTAGGTGCGCTGTAGCCCTCTTTAATCTTGCGATTCAGCACCGAAAGCCGCACAAACCTCTGTGACGATCCATACCCGCCCGGTAGCAGACTCCCAGTGTTGATACTACCTTGAGCTTCACTCAAATGCTTGTCCAGAAGCTCCAATTGCTGTTCCAGCGGTGGGTCGTTGGTCAGCACTCCGTTCGGGTTGTCATGAAAAATGGGTACTCCTTTTAGGAACTCGATGACCAAGCTGTGCCCATTTCGGTCATGCACGCTGACGTGGAGCGGCGCGGTCTTGGCCTTGCCGTCAGCTGGGGCGGGCACATGGAGCACCTGCTGCGCCACTTGGCCGTTAATCCCGGCAAGTTGCACCCTTTGGAGTCCGGTCTTCACCTCCTCCACCGTGGCAAAGTTGCCCAAAATATAGGAACACAGCGAGGTGACCACAGACTTGGACATGTTGAAGTTGCCTTCTTTCTCGGGCGTAGGGTACTCCGTGGCATCCAAATAGAGCCACGCAGCCGAGAGGCCGGCCTCGTTCAGACCGTCAGCGGCCACATTGACCCCATAGACGTTGGCAGCGACGAAGCCCAATTTATTGGTCCACTGGAAATCTGGGCACTTGGGACACCCCGAAACGGGCAACTCTTGGAAATGGGTACCTCTCGGGATCACCTCCAGCGTCGAGTCCAGGTCGGCTTGGAAGTCCATAGAGCGGCCGCTGATGACGCTACGCGACGAGGCGGACGGCGACAGGAGGAAGTCCGAGCAGCCGAGGGCCGAGGACGGCAGTAAGTGCAGCAGCCCCAGCAGCAGACATGGGACCATGGCGAATAGTGGAGCTCTTGGGAGCGAGAAAATGGGGAACTTAAGATATGGATTCCGTGCGCGCTGATTGGCTGAGCTTCGTTTAGGTGGTGTACATAAACGTTGGGTGTACCACATATCTTTCGACTTCAACTTAGCCAACCAATCATAAATGCCTGCCCAACTGGGCAACCATGACGGGACCAGGAAGCTGTGCGATTGAAAATCCGTCACAGTCCAACGCACAGTCGCTTTGTGGTTGAGTGCGCTGTTTGGTGTGGAAAATTTTATCGAGCGAATGGCTGGTGCTTGTTAGGAAGTGGATTTTTCTCCTACGTGCTGTGTAGATTCCGCGTCGCCCGCGCTATCTATCTTCCAACATGCGTTTGACTCGCCGACTGCAACTTGTCGCACAACTCGCATCGATTAAATAATCGAATTCAAATCCCGGCTGGCGATCGAGGGTCCAAGATCGTCGGACAGCAAAGAGCATCTCGACGCTCGGGCGGTGCGTGCGTGTACAGCAAGTGGATGGCTTCAATGCCGACATGGCTTCAGTCAAGTCGTGTCCAGCCAGTTGATGACTTCAGGAAAGCTGGCCAAAGACGACAATCATCACATGGCTGCGCCCCGGCTGGGAGATTACAAGTACAGTAAGCAGGAAGTCGACAGGCTTCGAAGGCAATCAATGAGTGCGCAGATGGCTTACAGATATACTGGTACTGCACAGTTTGACTGACACGACAATATCGGTTGGCCGTGTCCAACGTGCTGATCACTCGCTTGCCTCCAGACGTTGAAGCGGCGATCGGACTCGGTGCCGCTGGACTGTCCTTACAAGGACAAGGCGGTGCTGCTGCTGCCGTGCCGCTACTGTACGATTCGAACACCATAGTGTGGTTGTAAACTTCGGCCCCGACATGACTGCTACACATGTCGGTGTATGCCTCTTTCATTGCTGCTGTCATTCTTGAAAAGTCCTCGTGCCTGACACTCCACTCCACCCACGATGACCACCCTCGATTCTCCCAAGACACCCAGGGCCGACTACGCTGCCGTCACGGAAGACGGCACCAAGACCCTGAACACGCAGCCCAGTCTACCCATTCTTGCCTCTGGCGGTCGGCCAGACATGTGGGAGCCCTCTTCGGCTCGTTCGGGTGACTACGACTACGCCAACGACCTGCAGACTGCGCCGCCATCTCGCTCGAAGCCGTCATGCCTTCCGTCACCGCTCCGAAAGCTCGCTCGGACGTGGATGGTGCTGCGTTGGCAGCTCTCTCGCAGCTTCTTCTCCGTGCCGCTGCCGTTCCTCACCTCCATGTTCGACGTCAAGCTGGGAGATCTGATCATCACGCTGCCAATCTGCTTGGTCTTCATCATCACCACAGCGATGCAAGCCATCAACGACCGCGAAGTGGAAGGATCCGGCGGCCCACCAACCTACGGTCTGCTCGTCGTGTTCATCCTCACGGTTCGGAACAACTCGGTCCTGCTGGCACTGACCGGCATCTCGTACGAGCGCGTGTTGTTCTACCACAAGATCGCCGCTCTGGTCACGATCGCCCTCTCGGGACTGCACGGCCTCGCTTACATCCTCGCATACGACAAGGGCGAGATCTCTGGACAAGGCAGCATGGTGTTCTCTGGCACCGTGGCGTTCGGCGCCATGGTGCTCATGTTCGTCTTCTCGCTGGGCTTCGTGCGCCGCAGGTTCTTCGAGTTCTTCCTGCGCACGCACTGGGTCCTGTTCATCGTTGTGCTGGTGTTCGCAGTCATGCACGGAGCGTCGACCGCGTTGATCGGCGTCATCCCCTGGGGGATCGACATGGCCTTCCGTCACGCGTACCGTCCTCAAGTGTACGCTCGTGGATCAATGATCGGCGGCAACAAGACTGTGTCCGAGGACGCACCCGCCAGTGTCGTGTCTAACAAGCGCATGGGAGTCATCGCGCGTGACCAAGTGACTGTGACGTCTCTGCCTGGCAACGTCCTGCAGATCCAGTTCCCGCGCGTACGCAAGGACACTGGCGAGGTGTTCAACTACGAGGCCGGACAGTACGTGTTCCTGTGCGTACTGAGCATCTCCAAGCTGCAGTGGCACCCGTTCACGATCTCGTCGTCTCCGCACGAGCCGATGGTGACGTTCCACATAAAGGCGCTCGGAGACTGGACCTACAAGCTGCAGTCGATGGTTACTGCCGTCTCCGGTGGAGCGGATGTCACTGCTCCGTTCGACATCCTGGTCGACGGTCCGTACGGCAGCGTCTCGATTGATATCGAGAGCCCCGCCACGTACTCGCACTTCGTGCTGTTCTCCGGTGGCATCGGCGTTACTCCCATGCGCTCCATCGTCAACTGGCTGCACCACGACGTCCACCACGGCGGTCGCTCCGGCGTCGAGCGCGTGCACTTCGTCTGGTCCGTTCGTGACCGTGATATGGTTCGGAGTCTGGTCGTCGACGAGGCTTACAAGACCGGAGAGTACAAGGGCGAGAGCTACTTCCCCAATGGAATCGTCAACGACCGCGGCGGCGCCTTCTCGAGCGAGATCTACCTCACGCGCTCGGAGCAGGACATCGAGTCGGCGGAGATCGACCGTCACCTCAACGGCAGATATCGCTACGGAGCTCGTCCTGACGTTGCGGCCACGCTGCGATCGATTGGTGAGCAGGCGAAGCAGAGCGGCAAGAAGCGAGTGGCGGTGCTCGTCTGCGGGCCGTCGAGCATGGTGAGCGACGTGATCAACAAGAGTCTGAACCTTTCCTGGGAGATGAAGGTGCACTTCGATGTGCACAGCGAGGTGTTCGAGTTCTAGGCGGTAGTGTAGTTTATTCATAGGAGAGCAATGGATCGGTATCTTGAACGTCGTGACTGTGTGATCCTCTCTCCTTTAGACCGACGTTAAACTGCCGAGACCTTCGCATTCGAGCACTCGTATGCGGGCCAAGTCGATTTGTCCGATGTACTGGACTCGTCCCCCGGGTTGGACACTCTATCGGTCCACAGCGGAGTGTTGGCCATCTCCTGGTCCCATTCACAGCACGGATCGCCGAGCTCCTCGCCGTTGGTCTGGCCATCGCCGTCCGAGTCCGCCTCGCACAGCTCCAAAGTCCACGCTTGGCCCATGGCGTCGAAGTCCTCGCCGAAAGCGTTCCGAGGCCCACCGCCGTTCACGTTGACGTGGCCGACGGCTGCGACGCCAGAGACGTTGTCGCCGTTGGGCACCTTGGCCACGAAGCTTTCGTAGCCGACCGCAGGATCAAATAGCGCTGACACGAGCGATACCGCAACCAAAGTCCCCGTTAGCCGCATGATCCCTCTTGATGCTGTGTGGGCTGACGAAATTCGCAAATGACACGAGATCTTGCGAGAGGATCTGCGCCGACCACCGGAATGGGTCGAGCAACTTTTCAGAGACGTGTAGGGTGGGTGTACAGTATTGGGGTAAGTTAGTTAAGCGTCTCTGTCTGATAGGGGGAATGTTGTCGTCTAAGCAGCCAGCGCCAGCAGCAGCGAGATGAAGCCAGCCATCGCAGAGATTGCAGCTCCACTAGGGGCATTCGATGTGGTAGGCGCTGGAGTCGAGCTGCCGGACGTACTAGCGCTCTCAGAGGTCGACGTTTTGTCGTCGCTGTCTCCAACTTCCGTGTCGGAGTCGTCGTCCATCGAGCCCGCTGAAGCGATCGTTGCAGCTGCCTTGGAGCAGTCAATCGACGCCCAGAGCGTCACGTCCGATTTTTTGGTGGCATCTCCCGGGTGAGAGACGCCCTCAGTCCAACGAGGGGTGCTGGCCGTCTCCGCATTCCACTCGCAGCACGGATCGCCGAGCTCTTGGCCGTTCGTCTGCCCATCATCGTCCGAGTCGGCTTCGCACAGCTCCTTGGTCCAGAGCTCCCCCATGTCTTCGAAATCTTCGCCGAAGTCATTTCGGGCATCGTCCCCCGTACCATCAAATTCAGGATTGACGTGGCCAAGCGCCTCCACACCGGGGACATTCGCTCCGTTAGGGAGTCTGGCAACGAATTTTTCGAATCCAGCAACGGGAATGACAAGAGCTGCAGCTGAGAGGGCTGAGACCGCTACAGCGACGCTTGTGAGGCGAACCATGGCTTCTTGGCAGGCGGTTGGCTTGGAGGTTGGTCTGCGCTCGGTGTGTCAAGTTCCGGAATGAGACCACCAGAATGCTGAAATTCGTTCGTGGTTGGTTGCAAGAGAAGCCACGGCGACAGTCTCTCGATGCGATGCTGCATTCTGGTGGTCCCATGCTTAGTGCCGCGACTAAAGCCCCCCATTGGGTCGTGACACGTGCATCGCCTGTCGACTTGAAACGGACCAAACTGTAAGCTTGTCTCCACGTCTTACCGCCATTTTAATAGCCGGCTGTGCTCTTTGCATCAACTTACTTGCGCTTCCCAACGTTCACGGCGAGTGCGATGTAGCCAACCACCCGGAAACCGACGCTTAGTACCAGCAGCAACCACAAGTCTGACGCAACGGATCTGTTGGAGATGCCCTTGTTCGCCAGCACGTCCAGTCCAGTGCGAGCTGCACAGGTCGCTGCAGCGGCCACGTCGTCACATGAGATCTCGTCAACTCGTCGCCAGAACACGCGCATGAGCCCGTAGTATCCGTATCGGAAAGGCGTAATGTACTGGACCCAGCGCAGCACGGCGGGCACGTCGCTCGGGTCGATGAAGAGACCGCCAAGCAGCAGCAGAGGCATCAGCACGATGTTGCCTGCCAGTGGCGCGATGTCGATGCGTCGACACACACAGGAGATGCAGTAGCCAAACGCCACACACGCGCTGTGCAGCAAGATCATGACGAGCTGCATCTGGATGTACATGCTGAAGTCGTGGCCGATGCCCACCAGGAAGTAGAGCGGCAGCAGGCTGATGATGGGCAGTACGACCTGCTGAGGCAGCTCGCACAGGTTCTTGGCCGCGTACCAAGACGCCACAGAGTAGAGTCCGATGTCGTACTCGCGGTACACAATGGGCAGCTCCATGGGCACGGACATGATGGCCGGCATGGACGCTCCGTAGACCTGCTCCGTCACGATGTAGAAGAAGGCTCCGGAGAAGTTCGACACGCCTTGTTGGTCCAGAGTCAGCTGGAAGAAGATGATGCCCACGAGCAGCGTCGTCACCAGAGTCTGCACGCTCTGCAGTCTCAGCGCGGTCTTATCGCGTAGCAACCGCATCGCGTTGCGCGTCGCCAAGACGTGGATCTGGCCCCACACGGACGCCCGCGAGTCCTCAAACTCCAATGTCTCTGCGTTTGAGGCAGTTATCGACGCCACGTTCCCGCTTGTCATCGATCCGTTGACATCCTGCGGGTTTACCACTTCAATCGCGTTACTCTGTTGAGCCGCATACGTCTTCCAAGCTTCCTTCAAGGCTCGGACTCGCCCCACGCCAGCCGCGTCCGTGTCGGCATCCACCACCACGATCTTCTCCATGAAGAAGTCGGCCGGGTTCATAAACGTCGGGCATTCATAGCCGCAGTTCGCAAAGTACTGCACCACGTTCGTCGCCTTGCCCTGGTAAATCGTCGCTCCGTCCGCCAGCAGCTCCAGGCGGTCGAAGAGCGCGAACACCTCGGACGACGGCTGGTGGATCGTGGCCACGACCGTCCTCCCTTCGTGCACCGCCAGCCTCCTCAGCTGCTGCACCACCGACTTGGCCATGAAACTATCCAGCCCCGAAGTCGGTTCATCCGCGAACAGCACCGATGGGTTGGTCAGCAGCTCCGTGGCCAGCGCCAGCCTCTTCCGCTCACCACCTGAGATGCCGCGCTGCATCCAGCCGCCAATGAGCGTGTCCTTACTCTTGGCCAGCCCGAACTCCTCCAACAGCGTGTCCACCCGTCCAAGGTACTGCTCTCTCGAGAACGAGCCGCTCATGCGCAGTCGCGCCTGCAGAGCCAGATGCTCCTTCACAGTCAGCGTCGAGTGGAACAAATCCTCCTGCATGACGTACGCAGCGAAGCGCTTGAGCTGCTTGGTCCACGGGGACCCGTTGACTGTCACTTGTCCATTGATGGCAGTGTTACGTCCGGAGATGCAGTCGAGCAGGGAGCTCTTACCGGCACCCGAAGGCCCCATGACCACCAATAACTCCCCGGGTCGAGCCACGCCGCTCATCGTCTCGAGGATTTTCTTCTGCTCTGGTTCCTTGGTCTGGGCGTTCTGCACTGTCACCTCCAGTTGCAGAGCGTTCCACTCGAGGGTGAGGCGAGGAGCTTCGAGTGCGTGTCCTGGTCCGGGTCTTGGTGGTGGTGTACCATTTTGATTGGTGCTGCGAGGAGTGGAGACGCCCTGGTATGGTTGTTGAGGAGAGGATGGGTCTTCTGGGGTTGATACGGCATTGCTGTTGCCATTGCGAAGACGCAGTGAAGTCATTATTGCTCTGTACTGGAGGCTGGTGGCATGCAGGGCGCCGGACCTTGATTAAGACGGACGCGACGGGCTCTGGAATCTGGGACGGCCTAGATAAGAGAGACCGTGGATTACATATACAAAATAAGAATACGGAGAAGGATTAAGTGGCTGCAGACAGCACGCACTGATGCCGAGCTGCTAGCGAGCGACGGAAGACGAAGGAGCGTCGAGTGCGAGGGCAGTCGGTCGGCCAGCGAAGTCGGCCGTCGTGGCGTTGCGTTGTTGGCGGTGTCGGCACATTTTTTGTGTTGTGAACAGCTTACGTAATCCCTTTCGAAAATGCTATACAATTTGTATCATACAAATTAGATAGTTTCAAATCTATCTGATTTGAATCATTCAATTTTAAACTTCGGCGATAGTCGCGAACCAGACAACGAGCAGACTCGCGATCAAGTTGGGTTTAGTTAGCGTCGAGGATTGAGTCGTCGGTCGCGGCGCTAGTGGAAGTGCTCGCCCCTAACATCTCTTGCACCGACGCGTTTCGGAAGAATGAGCGCAGAGGACATCAGAAAGTTTGCCGCTGTCCCGAACTCGGACATCCCGAAGAAGAGCTTTTCGATCGACCTCGTGGGCTAGTGGCCGCTCGAGATTGCACACTGCAAGGTGGAGCTCCAATTCGGTGGAAGCTCGACAACGAAGGCAACCCCAGTCTGGAATCGGCTCCTATCGTGTTTGAATCGCCAATCGAATTCGTGCGAACTTTCAGTGATGATGGAGCTAGCACGTGGGTGGGCAGGCCTTGGACGGTGCCAGTCCGACGCAACGATTTAAAGTTCCAGACAGTAACCTCGAAACGCGGTGGCTCTCCTGGCGGTATCACGTCGATACAGCTGGGGTATGCGGGGCAAGGCGTATCTGGCGAGAAATCCTTACCACTGCGTCTTAGTGCGATAGGGCCATCGCTGACTTTTCCTTGGTCTTCCCTACCACTTAGGAGGTCTCGAAGGCATCCTTCAAAACTGCCCTAACCTGCAAGAGCTGACATTTAGTGGCGGATGCTCACTGTTTCGATTCAATGCCAGCCAGTTCCATGGGAGCGGCGATGAGTTTCACTATTGCTGGCGCAGATCTGAGTGACAACAGCAGTGCGCGTTCGAGATGCCTGCGTTCTTTACAGCTCCGTTTGCATTGCTTCTGGGTTGGCTACAACGAGAATGGAGTCGAGCTATACGACCCTTACGTCAAAACATGAATCGAGGCGCTTCTTCGGATGCTGAAGGAGAGCCAGAGACTCGAATATCTCGATGTGCTCTTGCCTCAGGCTGCCGATGATGGATACACTTGCTCTCCTAAGCGTCGCCCTGCCCCGAAATCAGTCACTGAAGAAGGATGTGTGCGGTGCGATCTGGACCAGTTTGTGCTGTCCAAGTTCTTCGAGTTCGCGGCACCATCGGCCGCTTGAAAAGTATATGTTCGTCAGTGCTTTGAGGAGGGGTGCGACGACGTTAAAACACTCAACACCATTTAATGGCGCACTCCGGTATATTACAGTGTTGAATGAAAAGCTTTAGCATCTGCCTCACCGCCGGCAGCAGCACAGGAAGTACCTGAAACCTCCTTTCGCTGATGTCGTGCGAGTCGACGGAGATGCCTGAGCTTGATCTGCTTGGGCATAATCCCCTGACGGCTCGATCGCTGCTTCCCATAGCATCGTGTCCTGCGACTCCTTCTTCCCGCCCGCAGCTAACATGGGGAGACTTGGCTGCGTGTTGAGTCGCCTGGTCGATCCTGACTGCTTGAACTGCTCCATAACGGGGACGTGATCGTGCTCGGACATCGTGGGCGAGGTACTGAATGTGTTGCAGCCACAGAGCTATTTGTGCGGTAGGCTGCCGTTTCAGTACTGAGCGAGTGTGCGACGATCATTCCCCCACCTCAATGTTTATAACTCCAATCTGGCCAAAATGATTGTGCACGGTATGATGCAGCAGGTATTAAGCTACGAGACAAATCCACCTCATGACGGCGTCATTGAAAAATGTATGAAAACTATACAAACGAGACATCGACCCGTATATGAAGCATCGTTGTTCTAACTAACTGACTACGGATCGATATCAGGGTTTCTTTACAAAGGCATATTGTACCCATATCGCCTTATACGGGATTTCAATGTCGTTTTTTTTTCAAAAAAAACAATTTAATTTAGAAATTGGCCCACAACTGGGCCTCTTGGTGCCGGCCATTAAAGGGGCACATTATACTGAGATAGCATGTGTACCGTAAAGGTATGCTGCTACGCAGCCGGCACAGGATTAAATCGGTGTCGCATGAAGCCGTGCGTGTATCGCACCTGTTTAAGTATCCATCATATATTGAAATTTTATGAAAGTAAACTTAACAGGTCATCTAAATAATTATCTAGTCGGTCTCTATCGGTGAGGAAGCCAGCATCAATCGCATCATCAGGTTTCATTCGAACCATTTCCCATTCTCACGCCCGACCCGAAGACGCAACACCAGGACGAAGTTACAGCACGAAGGTAAGTGCTTGGCAGGGCGCTGTTGCAGCTAATAGCTTGCTTGCATTTGATTATTAACAGCGCGGAGGTAAGAAAGTAAATTGATATTATCGCAAGTGGGTTATTGCACTAAGACGCTGCTTATCTGGTAGTTGTGGATGTTCATAATATCTGTTCTGTTTTATTTTCGCTATCTCAGCCCCCGCGAAGCCCTAGTTGACTTCGGCTCGCTGGTGAGCAAGGAGGAGCCGTGGAAAGCGCGTTTCGGCTCAAGTTCGTTCAAGTTTGTGACGCGCTCAAGCTCATTGCTCATTGCAGCTGCGGAGCGAATGGAGCCGTGTGCGTCGCGCTACTTCCTGGAGAACTACGCCGGGGTTCAGTTCGGGAAGATTGGAGAATTGCGCTTCGAACAGGATATTCCGGCGGGTTACTTAGTGCTCCTGGACTTGGAACCCGATGAGCTAGGCAACTTTGACCTCGCCAGGCTGTGCGAGGTGGAGCAAGGAGGTTTTGAGGCGGGAATACGAGCTGGCTTTATGCCAAATCGCCGCTCGCAACACGAACCTGAGCCCAGGAAAGCCTGGACTGGACGTTGAAATACCAGTCCAGGTTTTCTTCACCCTGGATGAAGACAAAATTTATCCTCTGGATGCCAACGAACTGCTTGAGCACTTTGAGGAATTCCCCGAGTGCGAAGCCATTATCCAGAGGCTGTATCATCAGCGGAGAGGGGTGGAGGCGGGCGCCATGCGCTGCAGCTTCGTTTTGAGACCCTTGGTTGCGGAATTTACAGAGTTCCAGATCACCCCGCGACTCGTGAGGGCGTTGGAGCATTTGATGAAACGAGGCACCCGTTTCTCGCAGATCCAGGCGTTGGACTTAGATCTGGATGATGCAACGGAGCTCGACGCCCAGTTGGGGCGCTTAACGCTGGCGCAACTCTTTAGAGCTCTGTTCGGCACTGCGGATAACGAGCCACGTCGTGCACGCCACCAAATTACGTCTCTCTCTGTGTACTGCGATTCGACAATGAAAAAAAAAGATTTTGAGGCGCTGTGTTCGGCGCTAGTGGCGAACCAGACTACCAGGGATCTCCATTTACGCTTGAACATGGAGTCGAACAGTCAAGTGCGACCAGCGCACTGGTGGATGTGGCTAGCGTACGGACTGTTCTCGAAGCAAGCGCGCACGCTGTCGAAGTTGGAAACGCTGACAATTAGCGGTCTTCACAGCATGAGTGTGGCAGACATGAACGCCTTTGCCAAAGTTCTAAAGCCTGATCAACGCTTCCGCTCCGGCGACTCGGCAACGATATTGCGGGCCTGAGATCCTTGACTGTTGAATTCTACGAGCACACCAAGACAGTATCGGACGGTCTGCCTCAATTCATCTCTTTGGTCGGAGCTTCATTGGGATCACTTACGATTGAAGGCACCCGCGTGGAGGTGGGCGTCGAGCATATTTTGCAGTGGTGTCCCAACCTCAAGGAGTTGTCCTTTTGCGGTAGCCGTATTGACGTGCAGTTGGAGGTTGCCAGTCTGCGTGCAAGTCACCAGCGCACGTCTACCTTTAGTTGGGCTTGGAACGATGTCAGAGCGCTATCACGAAGTTTAAGCGAAGTCGCGCACCCACTGTGTTCGCCGGCTGCGTGTCCGGCTTTCGGCTGAAGCCGAAGCGATGGCACTTCTGCGAATGCTCGGAGCGAACCAGTTTCTCGAGTTCATCCAAGTGATTCTCCCGTCTCCAGAGTACGCCAGATTCGCCACCAGGTTTCGACAGCACCACCAGAAGCCAATCTGCCGGGCGAGCGAGTTGTCGGCTAAACACAAAGCGGCATTTTTAAGCGTCCTCGACCACCAGCGGCCCGAAGCTACAAAGCGACGAGCAACCAAGTGTGGCATATCGCTGCGCGGGGCAGCGGCAAGTGAGCTGAATCGCCAAGTATTGACTACCATTTTCTTGTACGCAGCGGACCCTGCGTTGAGGAGCGTCTTTGTTTCTGTCAACCAAGGCTGGCCCCTCTGGCGATAGGAAGCAAGGCGACACCAGAGCGTTGACAACGGTCAACGCGCTGGTGCAAATCAAGTCGTAGTCGACAAAGCGTCTTGAGTGCTGTAGTGGCAGGGATTCGAGTTTTGAAGGTCAACATGCCACTACGAGGTGTACAAAAGTGTTCAAAGTGCTCGACCAGGCTGCGTAGCTCTCAACTGAATGAGGCCATTGAACACCAAATTGTGGATCATTTACGGAAAACTACGTCTAGATATTCAGAACCCCATTCACTAAGAAATTTTAGAGTGCTTGCCCTCTAGTTTTGCAGGTTCATGCCGTTCGCAGGCTTCACCGTTCCGGGGGTGTTGACACCCGTCTTTCCGAATCCCCAGCTGTGCGTGTTGGCTCCGCTTGCAGGAGGCGGAGTCTGCGTCGTGTTGCTCGCTCCAGTTCCAGTTTTGTAGGTCTGCGGGGTGTTGCTCGACTTCTTCGTGCTGCTAGCACTCGCTCCTCCCCAGCCAGCCACAATGCCGTCGTACAGAGACTTACGCACCAGAGCCGTGTTGGGTCCGCCGGGCTGGTACCACGGCAGCGGCGCCTTCGTGCTGAGCCACGAGTAGTTGTCGTCGTAGCCCCAGATCGTGACACCGACGCACTTCTCCACCTGCTTGCAAGCCGCAACGGTGTTCTTGTACACATTCGCCTGCTGGGTCTGCTCCTGTGCGGACGGCGAGGACGAACTGGCAGTGACGTCGACCTCAGTGAGTGCCACGTCCAGTCCGAGAGCAGTGAAGCGCTCCAAGTTCGCCACTTGATCCGCGGCGGAGGACGTGTCGGAGTACTTGAAATGCGACTGGAAGCCGACACCGTCAACGGTGATGCCGTCGTCCAGCAGCTTCTTGACCATGTTGAGCACTGCCGTCGACTTGTCGTTGATCGTGTTGGTGTTGTAGTCGTTGTAGTACAGTTTCGTCTTGAGACCAAGGGACTTCTTGACCTTGTTGGCAGTCTTGAAGGCGGTCGTGAGGAAGTCCATGCCCGTCGTCTTGTACCAGAAGGAATCGCGCATCTGCGCGTTGTCGCCCATAACTTCGTTGGCGACGTCCCAGGCGTAGCACGAGTCCCCGAAGTGCGTCATGACCTTGGTGATGTGGTTCTCCAGCGCACTCAGCATCTGCTGTTTGTTCAGACTCTGGAGCCACTGGGGAGTCTGCGAATGCTGCGAGACGAGAAAATAAAACAAGGTCAATTAACTCATTCTTACAGATATTTTACTACGTGTACTTTCAAGACGTACCCAAACCAAGGTGTGGCAACGCACTTGAGCGCCCATTTCCTTAGCGAGAGCGACAAGCGCATCAGCGGAATCAAACTTGAAAGAGCCTTGCGTGTACTCGGTAGCATCCCACTACAGTAGATAAATATAATACACAACAGCGTAAGAAAATCATGAAAATATGTGTATCGATTGATTATGTTGCGTACCTTCATGGAGTTACCGGGGGTGAGCATGCCGAAATCGTTGATGTTTTTGAGCACTTTGAGTGCGGCGGTGTCCTTCATGTCCTGGTCCACCGCAGTGCCCATGTACTTGCCCGCAGCCGTAGCCATGTCGTGGAGCCCGCTGGAGCCCGCGTACGTCGACTTGGTGATGGCGTCACCCGCCACTGCGTTGATAAAGATGCCCACAGCGAGAGCAATCGCGCGCTTCATTGCTGCTTTGAACGATGAAAGTTGTGTGTGGGAAGAAGCGAAATGAAGAGTGCGACCGGGCTTTCGCCTTGGATTCCTGCAATGATCATGGGATCGGATAGACGCCACATGGCAATGCTGCACGAATGGCCACACTTTTACTGTTCGCAATATTCGTCGAGAACTGCTGGCACGAAAGATAGCCCCCCCCCCGACTCAGGAGTGGATGATTAACGCCAGCCAAAATACATATTGCAGTGAGCGCTACGAATTGTTGAGCACGAAGCATGTTATCCTAATGCAACGCTGCACAAACTTCAAATGCTCCGAGTCCTGTAGCAGTGGTGGTGGTGGTTTCCGCATGGATACATCACCATCCCGTTAGTGTTCTCGTCGAGTTGCGGGGTAAGCCCATCGATATGTAAATCAACTGTACAGTACAGTGTATCACTTCAAGCTTTGCTACGGAGGCTGTACCTTCAACAAGCCCGCAGTGTCTGAGAGTTCGCTGCTGCAGTTCTTCAGGCGCCAACGGGAAAATTGAAACACTTCACATCTCGCCAGTCTATCCCTTTCAACTTGCGAGTCTCAAGTATCAAACCGACGCACTCGCAAATAAACCCGAGCCGATGGTTGCAGATTTCTCAGAGCTCAGCATTGGAGAAGAATTCAAGAACACACTCGACGACTTGATGCTCGGTAACGTTTAGTTCTCACTTATACAGGCACTTTGTTTGGAGTTGGAAAGTCGACTTGTTGCTGATGAGGATGAGGCCAAGAAAATGCTTGGTCAGATGTTGACGCGATTATTTTGTACGACACGCCACGAGCTGACAAGCACGAGCTATCGATCCTCTCGACTACAGGAGGCAACATCTTTGCAGATCGGAACGCTGAAACTATACAGTAATGTGATACCTCAACGCAATTTGAGGCTCTGTGCTCAGCAATTGTAGTGAATCAAACGGTTCTAAATCTCTCGTTAGAATTGGATATGCGCTCGAATTTCAAGTTGCTGTGGGGGTGGCTGGCTTACGCGGTGTTTTCGGACCGAGCACGCGAAAACTCGTTGCTGAAATCGCTGGAGCTGAAGAGTATTGATCGCATGAGTGCAGCCGACATTGACAGGTTTTGCGCCATTATTGCATCTGAGCACTCCGAGGAAGAACTGTTCGACTGCCCTTCTGGCTGAATAAACGAACGAGACGCCAAATAGCGCCGGGAACGCCAATTTGCTGGAAACTTGACGACCAAAGCCAGCCTATGGAGAAAGGATTTCTGACGTCGTCAGTTTCTCCCGTGCGAACGTTTAGTGATGATGGCGTGAGCGAATGGGTTGACGTGTTAGTCCCAGGATACGGGCACTGTCGCGTTAGGCGTGTCGATCTGCTGTTCGAGGATAATGAAAAACGTCCCCAACGCTGTGCATTTAACTCCCTCACGCTCAAGTTTAACCGAGATGAAGAACCCGATTCGACTGGCCTCCCTCGGTTCCTAGAAGCCATTGGACCGTCATTAATATTTTTGACTGGATATCGCAACGGTAGATGACTTCCACGAGAACTCGATTCTTCGAAGCTGTCCAAACGTCGAAGAGCTGTCGCTTTGTCACTACTACATGGACGTTCATCTCAACGTCAGCGAGTATCGCACTACAAAACAACCGATCCCCGAGTTGAACTACCATTGGACCGACATGGAAGCGCTGATACGCGAGCTGAGCGACTCGAACTCGCCGACCAGTAAGTGCATTCGCCGCTTACGCCTTCACCTCCATGAAGTCACACGTGTCTATCTTATAGCCCACGGCAGTCACGTTGACTTCAGTCCGACATTGGACGAGCTGTTGGCGATGCTGGAAGTGAATCGAGGGCTGGAGTTCCTCGGCATAGACATTATTCCAGTAGATGCCTCATATCTGGTAGCCTTCCGCAAGTTCCATCACCAACCAATTGGCCGCACAGATACGTCGCTCTCACTGGAATGTAAGCTGGCATTCCTTCGTGTACCCGACGCTGGCAGAAGACTCTCGAAAGGTGGGAAGCCTCGCCTCAAACGTGCATGTCATCGACTTGACCCCCACACGGCGTCCATGATATTTGCATTTGCAGCTTCGCCTGTTCTTCGGCAAGTACTGTATGGAGTGCATTGATAAGGAGGCCAGGATCCTAGATATTACATGTACTTACTCAGGTATTGCCGCTTGCAAATACTTTGCCCTCTAAAATAGACCACGCCTGTCTCTTAATATGAGTGGACACGAGATAGGCGAGGGCTGATTTAGCTTTATGCTTTGCTGGGGGCCGCTTTTAGGCCCAGAAACTCGGTTTGGCCCGTCTAGAATGGCATTTCTGCGTTTCCAAGTCGTAGGAAAGCGCCTTGGTCGAGAAAACAGAGCCCCAAGCTCGGATCTTAGACCGTACTGGCGAGACATATAAATCAGACCTAGGTCTTAATTAAGAGCTGGCTGGATTAAAATCGAGATTATTAACGAGATAATAAGCATGTGTTGGCCAAAATATCTGCAAACGGCAATAAAAACTAATATGTATTACTTTGAGTTAGCTACTTAAAATACCGGTTTACCGGTACTTCAGTTGGGGTTACGTTTCTATTAGAGTCAGATTCCGAAACTGTCCTGATTCTGAGCCGCACTATCCTCCACTGCAGTCGAAGCAATGGCGGCTACTGAACAAGCGTCTGACGAGTCCCTGGCCCAGCGTTGGGGCTTCCTGTTGCCGTGGTGCGAGGCCTTGCGAGGGCGAATCAAATTCGGAGATGGGGAAGACAGGGCTGGTGTCTGGGAGCCTTTCAAATTCAGCCTGCAATTGGCGCTGCCTCAAGCCTAGTCGTTTGATAATCTAGAATCGTTTCAGATTGCGCTCCAGAAGACCCGAGAGGCGCTGGCGCTACTGGCGGCAGTGGAGCGCGTGGGCCACGACGCGTGGAAGTTTATAGCCGAGAAGTGGTGCGGACTGGGCCGGATCATGATGAAGGAAGGCGAGCAGAGGTTCGAGGAGAAGACCCCGATCAAGTTCTTGCTGCTTCTAGATCTGGAAGGGCGACAGATTCCAAATGGCGTCGATTATGATTTGGTACGCTTCTGTGGCGTCCACCAGAGGACAGCGTGCACTCCTGAGTATTTGGACGCTCTCAAGCAGATTGCCAAGCACTATCCTACTTTGAAGCCGGACAAGCCTGGGCTGGACATCCAGATTCCCGTCCGGGTGTATCTCGAAATGGCAAAACACGAGGACTTCTTGAAGCTGATGCAAAACGCGTACAAGGCGCAAGAAGTGGTAAAGGGCGAGTGGAACGCGTACCGGGAGAGATTAGATGAAGACGCAGTGCTGCCAGGTTCACTGAGATGTACTTTTGTGCTGGAACCGGTGGTTGCGAATTGCATCGACATCGCATTCGTGTCCGATGATGCCGAGGAGATGGAGGCGTTGGAGATTGAAGGCAATTGGTTTTCACAGATTCAACGTCTGGAGCTTGGCGGCTTTGCCGAACTCCGAGATGATGATGTCAAGTCGAAAAGGGTTATTGGTCGGCTGATGAGGCTTCTGTTCAGCGGTAGTGACCGCGCAGTTTCTTGCTGCGACTTGCAAATATCTCGAGGCGTCGACTTGTGGATTGACCGGGGGCTGCTGCTCCTTTTCGAGTCACTATGCTCATCACTGTGTAGTGCCCAATCGATCCAGACGCTCATGCTGAGCTTGTTCGCGGAGTGGCCATTGGTGGAAGTGGCTGGCCTACGGTTTGTTCTCGAACAGTGCGCGGTCTCGCTCCTCATTCGAAAACATCACGCTGACTTCTCTTCAAAGAATGAGTGCAGAGGACATGGAGGGCTTTTGTGCAGTGCTAGCGGCAGAACATCCAGAAGAATATCTCTGTGGAACTCCCTGAGGTCAAGTGCAAGAAAGAACGGCGACATTAGCCAGCAATGGTGCTGTGCGCTGGCATAGTGACGGTCGCGGCCGGCCTGTGACTGAACCCCCCATTCTGCGAGTGCCGTGGTCGGTACCCTCTGTGAAGACGTTCAGTGATGATGGAACCAGCGAGTGGGTCAACGCGATTGTTCCCGATTTTGGTCGATGCCAAGTGCGACGCGAGGATCTCGTCTTCACCGATGAGGAGAGCGGTGGAGGAGCATGCACGCCTGGGCTCATCTCGCTCACAATCGAGTTTAATGAAGACGAGATCGCAGTATCGGACGGTCTGCCGAGATTGATCGAGGCTGTGGGCCCTCTTCTCCAGTCCTTGACCATCGCATATGCAACGATAGAGCTAGATGTGAACGAGACTGTTCGGAGTTGCCCGAATCTTCAAACGCTAGTTCTGCGTGAAGAATTGAACGATATGCAAATCGACTTGAGTGGTTATCGTGCGAACAACCTCCCGGTTCCTTCGTTGAACTGCCAAGGTTGGTATAACCCGAGAACACTCATCAGGGAGTTATCCGACATGGATAACGCCCTGGCAAATTGCACCCAAAGACTTCGCGTCCGCTTGAAAAGGATTATTGACGAAGACGAAGGCGGAGAGGCCATGCGGTCCAAAATGATTGCGCTTCAAGAACTGCTGAGAAAGAATGTGCGACTGGAATTCGTCGACGTGGTGGTCAAACGAGGATCCGAGCTCTACATGGACAGCATCCGGAAGTTTCACCTGAAGCCGATAAATCGGTCTCTGAAGGTTCCCTACGAAGTGAAGGCGGCGTTTCTCAGTGCGCTGCTGGCTGAGAAGCCCGCAACAACATCACACAAGAAAGCTAGTCACGAGTCAGTTTCGGCTGCGACCGCGCTGGCTAAGCTCGATCAACTCGTTCTGGTGAACATACTGGAGTTTGCGGCACCCCCGGTGCTCAGGCAAGTCTTCTTCCGCTCAGTTAATCATTGGATATGACTTTGAGAACAACTACGAGGACTTGAAGGCGTTGCTGCAGATGCTGGAGACCAACCAAACGCTCGGGTATCTCGATGCCATCATCTCATGGAAATTTTACACAAAAGACGACTCGCATTAAGTTTCTGTCTCTATTCATCTCAGAAACTCCCGCAAAAACCACTCATAGAACGAAAATAGACCTCCCTGAGAACCGGCGGCGCTGCGAAGGCAAATATGTTCATCAGAACGAGTCGATCCACTTTAGCCAAAGCTGTCTCTGTCAGCAAGGACTCGGGGCAAGTTTTCTTGTTTCCTCGCGTTGGTGATTCTTCAGCCAATACACTGGGAAAGGCAGCCTTCAGCTCAAGGGGAACCTTCATGGGCCGACCCACTGGCTTGAGATGGTATTTTCTAATACCGTCCATAGCCTTCGAAGCAAAATCATGCTCGCTCTATACTCTCTTCACGGCCTTCTCCTCTTGTGACCCAGCCTTCCCACCTTCCAGTCACGCGAACCCTCAGCCGACGCACGCAATTTTGTCCATGTCGTATAATTCCCTGGTGAAAGTATTCAGACTTGGCCAGTAGCAGTTGAATATCGGGACTGGCAGATTGTTCGCGCGATACCCACTCAAGTCGATTTGCATGTCGACTGTCCCTCCACAGAGCGATAGCGTTTGCAATTCCGGGCAGCATTGAATGATCTCGTTCACGTCGAGCTCGATTGTTGCATCTGCGATTGTCAAGGCCTTAAGGAAAGCTCCGACTGCCTCGATAAATTGCGGTAGACCATCCGACACTGAGTCTTCGAATTTGTCAAACTCGATAGTAAGTGAAATCAGGCCTGGCGTGCATGCGTCTCCACCGCCGTCCTCATCGAAGACGAGATCGTCGCGTCGAACTTGACATCGGCCGAATCCGGGAACTATCGCGTTGACCCACTCACTGCTTCCACCATCACTGAATAGTGTTACGCAGGCTGAGGACCATGGCATGCTCAAAGTTTCGATCACAAGCTGACCGTGAGCATTAAAATGCCACCGTACAGCAGCGTTTATGGTTAATATTGCCGTTCTTTCTTGCACTTGACCTCGCGGAGTTCCACAAAGATATTCCTCTGCATGTTCTGCGGTCAACACCGCGCGAAATTCCTCCATGTCCTCTTCACTCATCCGACGAACCATGGAAAGCCTAATATCATCGAGCGAGGAATCGGAGCGGGCCCTAGGCCAGCCATTGCCACCACGGGACACTGACATATGGATTATCCGGTTCCGAGAGCAACTCAATCACAAGTGTCGGTGCCGAGCTGGCACACAGCAATGACGAACATAATGCTTCAAAATGGGGCAGCGGAAGCCCCGAATAAACCCAGAGTTCGACACTGTTGGGGACTTGCAGGCTGCTGGGTGGAGCTATGCGCCCGCTACTAGATCCAAGGCCAAACAAAAGGCCCATTAGCCGGCAAAAAGCCATCTTGGTCGCGCAGTCATCGTCTCTGAGATCGTCTAAGCCTTCAAGCGACAGCGCTAGGATCCTTGAAAACCAATCGTCTCCGAGTTTCACCAATTTTTCGATGGCCTCGGCGTCGCCAGCGTCGAGGGAAAAGTCGAGGAAATTCGCAACCATCGGCTCCAACATAAACGTGCATCGTAGAGCTTCAGACGGCACTGCCGTGTCCTTTAAGCTCGTACGATACGATTCCCACTCCCTTGTGATCACTTCGTGAGCCTTGCTCACGTCTTCCAGGACTTGCCATCGCTTCACAGATCTTACCATGTCGAGATACACTCGAACCGTAATCTGGATGTCCGCCCCAGGCTTGTCTGGCCCAAGTATTCGGCAGTACACGCTGTCCTCTGGTGGATGCCACAGAAACGTACCAAATCATACTTAAAGTAATCTATGCCATCTGGAATCTGTCGACCTTCCACATCCATAATCAGTAAGAACTTAACTTCTCCTCGTGCTCCTGCTCCCCTTCATTCCCCCACGCCACACTTAGTCTCAAGAAGAAACCTCCACGCACTGTAATCCACGCGCTCCACTGCGGACTGTAGCCACTCTCCTGATGTCGTGCAGCTTTGATCTCTCTCCCTGACCAACGTAGCGAGCAGGAACCTCCTATTCCGATACAACAGGACGCGAGCGAAGCAATAATGACTTGCAACGGATTACTCGCAAGATTTCTTATGATCAAAATACCAATATCAGTGTGCCAGGTTACTCATGTGGAATGGAAAAACAGGTGCCGACACGCAAAGCTTTTACTTTCGCTATCGTTAGTGGTTCCTCTCACTGTGGCCCAGAAAAAATTCCAGCAGCAAATTACGTTCCAGCAGTTCTTCAAGCGCAACCATGCTGGACCTCAAGGCGACTCGATCTGCGCCAATAAATCCCGACAGGCGGACGCGAAATCGCCGCACGCACTTCGCCAGAGGATTGCTAATGTCGGATAACGCCCCGATGAACGCGTCTACACTTTGCATACTGTAAATGCTGTACTTCAACAGAGGAACGGGAAGGTTGTTCGCGCGATAACCACTCAAGTCGATTTGCAAATCGACTTGCATATCGAACGATTCTCCACAGAGCGATAACGTTTGTAGATTCGGGCAGTGTTGAATGATATCGTCCACGACTAGCTCAACCGTTGCATTGCGATAGTCAAAGACTGAAGTTGAGGACCAACTGCCTCGATAAACAAAGGCAATCCTTCTGATACAACGTTCTCGAAGTCGTCAAAATCAATATCAAGCGAAAAGAGGCCAGGCGTGCTAATATCTCCGCCGCTGGCCTAATCGAAAACGAGGTCATCACGTCTCACTTGGCACGGACCAAACCCAGGAACGATCGCGTGAACCCACTCGCTGCTTCCATTATCACTGAACGCTCTCACACTGTGCACAGACCACGGCACTGTTAAAGTGGGTGATGCGACCCCAGGGTAGCCATGACCGTCAAAAGACCAGCGCACAGCAGCGTTTCTTGCCAATGTTGCATATCTTTCTTTGACTTGACCTCGGGGAGTTCCACACAAATACTCCTCTGGATGCTCTGCCGCTAGCACCGCGCAAAATCCCTCCATGTCCTCTGCACTCATCCTACGGATGGAAGTCAACCGGATATCGTCGAACGAGGAGCGAGAGCGCGCACCGCTCGAGAATAAACCGTAGGCAAGCCACTTCCACCAGTGGACACTGACTCGCTGCTCGCCGGTATCCGTGGTCAAGCCCATTATAAGGGTTTGGATCGATTGGGCACACTGTAACGACGAGCATAATGCCTCAAAGTGGAGCGTCGACAGCTCCTGATTCATCCGCAATTCGACGCTTCTTGGGGGTTGCAGCTCGCAGGATGAAACTACGCGGTCATTACCGCCGAACAAAAGTCTCATCAGCCCACCCATAACCATTTTCGAGTCCTGTCCATCTTCGCTCAGGGCACCAAGACCACAAAGCGACAAAACTTGAATCTTTAAACACCAATTGTCTCCAAGCTCCAAAGTTTCCATCACCTCAGCATCACGGGGCTCGATAAACTCGCCAAAAAAAATCACGATCATTGGCTCCAGCACGAACGTGCATCTCATAGAACCGGCCGGCAGTGTTACGTCCTTCACACCCGTCAATCTGTCACGATACGCTTATTGTACTGGCGAGATGAAATGCACCACCAAAATTTTCATTTGTCCATAATTCCAAAAGTACTTAACGTATAATGGCAAGAAGACCATCAATGAAAACAGCATAACATGCAGAATGTAGGTGCGCACGTGTTAGTATCCTACTTCTTAATGTTATCGGCATCATCGGGCGATTTCTCCTGCGGGAAAGACGTGCTTGTCTGATCTGCACACGACATTTTTTACCATATTTCCTAAACGAAGATGATAAATCGAGAAAGCTAAACGTCAGGGTGAAACTCGGCTTCTGGTTCATCAAACAAACGTAGTTTCATGAGCGCCAACCGCGTAGGAAGTGTTCCAGGCGCTGCTGATCTCGCCGGTTGTGGTGGCGTCGTCAAGCAATAATGTGCATAAAATGCGATACAGAAAGTGCGCAATAATTTAGTACTAAAGTTTGTGTAAGAGCAATCAAATGGCACCATATGGCTCAGACATAGCCTCGATATTTTTGAGAAACCGGCGGACAGTCAATTTTCATTTACGTATATCTCATTCATTCGCTGCGACTACAAGTCTAAACATAGTTTACTTAAAAGAGGAAGCGCAGAGCTTTCCAACAAAACAAAGCTCACATCATTCTGATTATTTGATGCTGAGATACGCTCCGTCAAAGTTTGGTGGTGCATTTCATCTCGCCGGTACAATAGCAGGCAACTGCTCGGGCAACAAAATTGAGAGAGGGACTACACCATTTCTCACCTTTACTTGCCTAATTACTTGAAATTTGTATGGACAAGTAATTTGCACCAAACCAAGGTGCAAATGACTTGTCCATACAAATTTTAATTTAAGGGTTTTGGCCAGTTTAGTAGAATTGACCAGTTTAGTAGAACCAGTAATATTGCAGAAATAATGAAATACGTGCTTTGGTTGGCTATAAAACTCTTACCACGCGTTTCCATATGGTAGTTCGATACAAAGACCAGTATTATTCCGCTCTACTGAACTGATCGCAGCATACTGTAGGTATGTTTTCTTTTGCGCGCTACAATAGCACTTTCATACGCCGCCAGTCTCCTCGGTCACATCTTCGTAAGTAATCCGCCCTTCTAGCGCCTCGCACCATGGCGAGAGGAAGCCCCAACGTTCCTCCATCGATTCAGAAGCCATCACTGCGTGTGCGAAGGAAGATAAAATCTGCGCAACATTTTCTGATAGTCAATCTTGCGAGTATGTTGCCACTACAGTACACTAGAGTGCACTACAGCTCGCACTACGGATTGAAAGTGCGGAATACTACAAAGACTGCAAGGAGAAGATGAGGTGGCTGCAACAGAGAAAACTACACCCGTACAGTGTAACGAACGTGACATGATACTCGAAACTCTGGTGTGATCACTCAAAAAAACAGCTTGCATACAAAAAATATTATTGGCTTTGAAGAAACAGAGAGACTTCAAAAGAGAACTTGGGTTTAGATATGTTGCTTCAACCATCTTCGCCACCAAACCATTGTTTGCCGAGATAAGTCATACCATGTAAAAGTGCATCAATGTAGCTGAATTTGCTGAGTGTAGGAAGTATCGCGGAAAAACGTGAACTTGCCTCTACGAAGCGTCCGAGATATTTACACTTGCAGCATTGTTTGGCTTCCGGAGCGCATTAATTGGAGCCTGGGACCCTGGACATTGGCGTGAAAGTACGAAGCGACTTCGAAAGACATTGGACAGTTCGCTTTTATTACTTACTTCGAAGTACATTACATTTACTAACATGTTACTACAGTAGTATCAGGTGCTGCACTTGACAGACAGCAGACAGTTCTCATCCCAACGCTTCATATAATACGCAGCAATGCGACGTCCATCGTCTCGAAGCTTCTCCCACTCGGCCTGCTCCTCCGTCGAGAGTCCCGGTAATAAATCTGTCGTCATGTGATAGTCCGTCTCCGTGTTGTGCAGCATCATCATGTTCGTCACTGCATCGTAGCGAAGTCGCTGGTGCCCACGAACAACCGCCATCTTGCGTAGTGGGTCGTTGCTGAACACTGCGCGCTCGCCGACCGAACTTCTCCGCTTCAGGGAGCGACCGACGCCGTTCTGTACGAATCCTCTATGGGGTAACCCTGTGATGTCCGCGAGTGTGTTGAGCATATCGTACTGCTCGGCGGCATCGTCAATCACAAGCCCCACAGCATCCCCCAGTCGCCCTTCAGCGATGATAGCCGCTGGAACACGCGTGACCGATTCTTCGTGGACGTTAGCGTTGCTAATCTCAGGCGCTTGGCCATGATCCCCCACGATAACCACAATGGTGTCGCTGAGGATTCCCTCCTTTTCCATGCGATCCATGAATTTTCCCAGCTCCATGTCGGTAAAGTGCCTTAGGTTCAGGTAATCTTTAATCTTGTCGGCGTGCTGCTCTCCTCGGTACATCTTCGAGAAGTCTGGCTTGGCGGACTCGGCGTACCATCTCGGCGATGAGTCGTATGGTTCATGGCTGGAAATGGTGTAATGCGTCAGGAACAGCGGCTTCCTGGTCCCGTCGCTAGCTGCTAGCTCCTTTTGTTTCTTTACTTTGTCCACGATCAAGTCACCGACGAGCTGGAAGCTTAAGTCGTCATGCACACCCCAGCCAAAGCCTCGGTGCTCATCGCCATGCAACTGTACCCGAGTGATATTCAGATCTCGCTCCGCCAGTCTCGACATTTTCCTGTCGTCCCAAACAACGTCGAAGCCATGTGCAGGAAGGAACACGTTCCAGTCGTCCAGCGTAATGGAAGATCCCGTGGTGAAGTAGGTTTCGTACCCTTTCTCTTTGAAGAGCTGCGGCAAGCCTGAAAGCGCGGTGTGTTTCCTCCCCCCAGTAATTCCACTCTGCACGTTGCTGTTGTACGGAACTTGCCCAAAGAGCACACTCTCCAGTGAACGACTCGTTGGGATACTGGACCAAATGTTCCGAAGAGCAACGCCGCGCTTTGCCCACCGGTCGAAGTTGGGGGTAATCGTCAAATTCGTGCCCTTGAACAGGTTGGAAGGGTCTTCATCTCCGACGAGGTACCGGGAATCTCGAAACCGGAAGGACTCCACTCCGATGACCAGCACGTTCGGTGGGTTGTCGCTGTCGATAGTTACGTTGAAGGCGAGGTCTCCAGTAAATCCTGTGGTCCGTCGATAAAGCGTGTTGTCTCCAAAGCGATGGTGCAACTCGGACTCGTCGACGAACTTCTCCACCCACGGAAGGTTCCCATTCGTGCTTGAAAGCTCGATAGCAATCGGCGCTGGCTGGAAGGCGTGGAGGAAAAACTCGTTCAGCGTCGCGTTCAGAGCTGAGTACGCCACTAGAGGTGAGCAAACACAGCATATTCCAACTGTGATGACGGGCACGACTACAAGTCCGAGCAGAACAACAGCAACTCGCATAGCCTGATAGTACACAGCCTTGTCGGCATTCTCCTGATGCTTTTCATCGTCCTTGTCGCCTTCCTCTAGAGCCACTTCCACGTACTTGGCACCGCCAGAAGTCTTGTTCGTAGATACTTTCGTCCTCTGTTGCAAGCTTGCAGAACTCGGCACAATCTGTGTCGGGTTCCAGCGAGCAAGATCGCCCCAAGGAGCCCACGTACGCACACTGGCGAATAACGCTGAGACGGTTACCAGCCCAACTGCAACGCTGTAGCCACTGTGGATTTCCTCTCCTGAAATCGGCGCAGCCTTCAGGTGATCTCTCTCCCTGACCAACGTAGCCAGCAGAGCGAACGAGAATCTCATATCGCGATACACCACGAGCATCATGTCCGCGATGAAAGGCGCCACCATAGTGAAGAACAGCAGCCAGGAAACTGCAAACTTGGCTGCTACAGCGACGACTTCCACCGAAAACCCACCAATTATCGTAAATTTCTCGGTAGCTGCACGTAGCAAGGTGTCGAAAATCCACAACGCGCAGACGAAGTACGTGGTGCAGATAAAATCCTCGAGAAATCCAAGACTCAGTGCGGCGGATTTTACGCCTACAGTGTAGTCCTCCGCAGTCCCATACATGTCGACGAGCGAGCGCAGCGCGAGGCTCCGAGTCACGGAGAAGCAGAACTGCACGAACGCGTAGACGAAGAGCCAGCCGAACCATGGCAGCGAGCTGAGCTCAGCCAGCCACCCCCAAGCTTTGGACCAGCTCCACCGACGCGAGGCTTTGACGTCGAGCTCGGTCGTCATCACCAGGTGCTTGGCATTGAGAGTGCGGACTTCGGGGAAGCGGAAACGAGGCGAGTGGTGGTCCGGGTAGAGGGATCCGGCGCGCGAGTCCATCGTGACGCCGCGTCAGACTCGATCAGGGACGCGGACGACGGCGCAAATTCCCAACTGAGCGCGCGTGCTCCATGGAGGGGAGGGTAGAGTTCTTGGAAGGCAGCGTGCGTCCTACTGCCTACAGATGGCCTGCTTACACGCATACATTGCAGTGCTTGTCGGCACGATGGGACGATTTTTTCTGTTAGAACGGGGCATCGCGTCAGCTGCAATGTCGGTGGAGCTCATTGTGGGTACACAACAGACACACACGCATGAGTTGATGGGATGGCGCGTAAGCCATCCCGTCAGCTCAATGGCATCTGATCATGGTGACCACGTTAGCCCAAATATCCAGCTCAACCGACATTTTAGACATTAAGCTCTCGTAGTAAAAACTATGTTTTTTTAGCAGCTAAAAATATGTACACCCGGACGGCATCCTGGGCAATGGAGCAGCGTTGGGGGTTCCTCGGGCCTTGGTGCACCGCCTTGAAGCCGCATGTATCGTATTATAGCGCGCGGGGGGATCATGGAGGACGCGGTAGGAGCCATCGCTATTTTGTGGTGACGATCCCGCCTCGCGACGAGTTCAACGGCGACGACCGTCTCTTCCAGGCAAAAGTGCAGCAAATACGTGAAGGTCTCGCGTTGCTCGTGGCCATGAAGCACGTGGATCCTGCTGCGTGGAGGTTCACACTGGTAAAATACTGGAACATTGACGTCGGAAGCGAAGGCGAGCGGCTGTTTGAAGAGGAGATCCGAGCTCGCTTCGACTTGACGTTGAATCTCGAAGGCAGGGAGCAGGACGATGCAGTAACGGACTTCGACTTGGTCCGGTTCTGTGGGACTCATCAGCGCGAACATGGTAGTGACGAGTATATTGACATGTTGGGGAGGATTGCAAGCCTGGACGCAGACTTGCAGCGAGGGAATGCTGGACTGGACATTAACATTCCGTTTCGTTGTGTGCTACTATACTTTCCGCGCGAGATATGTTGGACAAGCTGTGAAGGCTCTAGAGGGGATCCACCGAGCAGAGATAATTATCTGTAACCAGTGGGATAATTATCACCGGTCCTTGCTGGAGAAGGAGGTGCCGCGTGGATCGCTTCGATGCACTTTCGTGATGGAGCCGATGAGCGCGGACTTTAGCGACTTCATGCTTACTTCGGAGATGGCAGGAGTCGCGGAGAAACTGGTGCGACACAACGTGTGGTTCTCGAAGATCCTTACACTGAGCACTGAGATGGATGAGAACCTGGCAGCAGATGCGCGAGAGGCGAAGAAAGCGGTCGGCCGACTTTTGACCGGTGTTTTCGATAGTACGCGACGCTGTTCTGAGCAGGCACGCACGAAGTATTATCCTGAGCTTGATACGTTCAAGGCGGAACCCAGCCCGCTGCAGCTCGGCACACTTAATATGGATTGCAACTTTGCCGTAAGAGATGGCGATGTCTTAGCGATGTGCGCGGCTATTGCAGTGAGTCAAACGACAAAGACACTCAGGATGCAGGTGTCACTGGAGCATTCAGATGAGGATTACAACATAACATACCGCGGGCATTTGTGGAAGTATTTGGCGTATGGATTGTTTTCGTCTAGATCCCGGGCATTTTCGGCTCTGGAATCGATTGAACTTCATGATATCGACAGCATGGAAATGGCTGACATCGAGACATTTTACGCCATCTTGGCGTCCAAGCATCCCGAAGAAGACATGGTGGGTTGCTCTCAGGGCCATCGAAATGAACGAGATGCGACATTGATGAAGGACTCCCCCATTCGATGGCAGTTCGACAGCGATGGCCAACCTGCCATGGATTCCCGTCCAATAATCCTCGACTCACCTATGCACTTTGTTCGATCATTTAACGATGATGGCGAGACGGATTGGGTGGACGTATTACTTCCGGACTATGGGCGTTGTCAGGTCCAGCGTAAAGACCTGGAATTTGATCAAGGTGAAGGTGATCGGCCCGGTCGTGCCGTATTGACTTCACTGACTCTGAGGTTTGATAAGGTCCAGCCGTCCGTGTCGACAGGCCTTCCCCTTTTCTTGTCGTCAGTCGGCTCTTCGTTGACGACTCTAACTCTCGATGGACCAAGGGTGGATCTCGACAATAGTTTTCTGTCTCAAAGCTGCCCCAATCTTGTCGAACTGACACTTTGTGGGAGCAAAGTGCTAGTGCATCTCAACTTCAGTGCGTATCATTCCATGAAGCAGCCCCTTCCAGATCTTGAGTGCGACTGGAGCAACATTTCGGCACTAGCGGCGGCTTTAACTGACATCAGCAGCCCATTTGCTCGATGCGCTCGCCGAGTGAAAGTGCGTCCGAGCGACCGCTCGGGCGGATGGTATCACCTTGACGCGGGCTACAATCCGAATAACTTCGAGAGAGACGCACAAGCGCTTCTCTGCACGCTGGATGTTAACCGCAGTCTTGAGTGCTTCGAAATAGAGGTGCGGTTCGAGAACCGTGGATACATTAACGCCTTTAGGAAGCACCATCTCGAGCCGATCGATCGGTCATCAAAGCTCGACACAAAAAGTAAACTCGCGTTCCTGAGCGCGACTCTGTCGGGGGAGACACCGCGCAATGGGGATCTGTATCGATCTGCGGTCAACCAACTCGATCAGCACCTGATCACGAACATTTTCACCTTCGCAGCTCCCCCCGTTCTTCGGAAAGTGTTCTTCCGCTCATATGCTGACGACTCGGACAATTATGAAGACCTTTCCGACAGCGACGAGTACGATTCCGACGAAGATGACTGGGGCAGCGAGGAGAGCGAGTTTAGTTGGGCTGGCTACGACGAAGCAATGTGGCATGGATAGAGGAGGGTAGAGAATATAATTTTCGAGTTGTCTCCTTTTTCCGTCAAATAGCGACGATACCCGTATGCACATGAGTTCATGCCAGATCTGTAGACGAATATGTTCCTATTCCCGTATACATGTACACAAAGTTTGAACCATTAAAGAGGTACAATGTATTTAAGACAATAATTGTCCAACAAATTGCAAGTAAGCGAGCATGGAGCAGCGCTGGGACTTCTTGTCTCCGTGGTGCTCCGTCCTGCGGGGCCGAGTGTCGTACACAGTGTTCCTGCAGCCCAAGGAGTCCTGGAACGAGCTGGCGCGCAATCTCTTCGTGTGACTTCCCAGCCGCTACGACTCTGCGCCCCCAAACAAGGGGGAGCACAACCCCCAGGGCCCTCCGTACTACAACGACGCCGAGTTCCAGGGCCATTTCCAGCGGATCCGCGACGCTCTGGCACTCTTAGCTGCAGTCGCGTCTTTTGACAAAAGTGGGTGGAGGTTCCTGCTCGAGACAAAATGCGGAGTGAAGTTCGGGGAATCAGGTAAAGAAATGTTCGAACAAGACGTGGAAGTGCGATTTTTGCTGGGGATGGCTGAGGACAGGAAGAGATATTCGGAATATTTGGAGCAGGATATTGTCAGGTTCTGTGGACTGCAGCAACGTACCGACCCAAGTCCGGAGTATTTGAAGGCGCTGGGGAAAATTGCAGCTTTAAGGGGCGAGTTGACCCGTAAATATCGTGGGCTGGATGTGAAAATTCCGGTGCACGTGGTTTTTACGACCTCTATTTACAAGAGAGAGAAGCTGAAGGACGGGTGTTTGGACCCACTCAAGAGCATTCAAGCAGCTAAGAAGGTGGTGAGAGAGCAGTGGCAAGATTATGAGGAGAGTGAAGACCCAGTCGTGGAGCGCGGGGAGATTCGATGCACTTTCGTCCTAGAGCCGATGGTCGCGGATATTTCCCCCGCGTTTGTGACTTCCAGGATGGCGGATACGATTGAGAGCTTGGTGTGTGACAGCGTGAGGTTGCGAGATTGTCCGCGAGGGTGATGGTGATGCATGATGGGCGTGAGTATCGCGATAGGAGAAAGATGCTTGGCAAGTTTTACTCACGCGTCTTCGAAAGTTCTCGTCGAGCGAGCACTTTGGGTCTCCAGCTGGTGAATAATCCGAGTAGCCCCCTCCAGATCGACACGCTGTACCTGAACTTCTCAGACTCTATGATGGCGTACGACTTCGAGTCGATGCTGTCTGCTATGGTTGTTTGCCAGACAGTACGTAAGCTCCACTTTAACTTGTGGGCACATCCGCACCACCCCAGAATCAGCGGCCACCGGTGGGAGTGGCTCGCGTACGGCTTGTTCTCGAAATGAGCGCGTGCGCACTTATCACTGGAGTCGCTTACACTTGTCGGGATTGGATGCATGAGCGCTGAAGACATGAGAGGATTCACGAATATCCTGGAGTCGGATCACCCGGAGAACGAAGTCTGCTTCGGAGATCTACCTGCTGTAATTGAAGACAGAGACGCAACCCTGAAGGCAGGCTCGCCATTTCACTGGAAGTTCGAGACGAATGGGCAGCCTATATTGGACGTCGATGATATTGTTCTGGAGTCTCCGATCCCGTCCGTTCGAGTCTTTAGTGACGACGGAAAAAGCGAGTGGGTGAACGTGCTTATCCCTGGGTTCGGTCGGTGCCATGTCGAGCGTAAGAACTTAGAGTTTACCCCGTCCAGCACGGTACCATCGACCTCGTGTGGCTTAACGTCGCTGGAAATTCGGTTTGTTTCAGTGCACCGAAGGATAATATCCGATCCGGATGAGCCAGCGTCTATCACGAGTGGCCTACCTCGGTTTCTGAGGATGGTCGGGGCCTCGTTGAAGTCGTTGACGCTAGCTGGACCAAGAATGACGGTGGACGTGAACGAGATTCTTCAAAGTTGTCCCGTTCTGGAAGAGCTGTCCCTTTGTGGCGTCTCCGTAGACGTTCGCTTCAACTTCAGCGAGTATCGTGCCAAGCATGAAGCGATACCAGTGCTGAACTGCGATTGGGAAAACTGTCTGGAGGTCGCCCGGTATCTGAGCGACGTAGCCAACCCGCTCGTGAAGTGTGTGCGTCGAGTACGCGTCCATCTTTTCAATAGACGGGATGACCCAAATGGCGCAAGACGAATCGCTGACACTTTTAAGGGGATTGCTGAGGATGTTATTCTTGAACTGTCATCTCGAGTATCTCGATGTGCGCGTACCATCGCTGGATGTCCGTACATCTACTCGTGCAAGGAATGCCATCTCGCTCCGATCAATCGCCCGCTGAAGCTACCGACGCCAATCAAGCTCGCGTTTCTGAGTGTTTTGTTGGCGAAGTGCCCGTCAGCACTAGCGAGCAAAGCCAAGAGACACACGGCGTCGAGACCCCACTCTGTCATCTGTGAACTGGATAATAATGTTATCTCCAAGGTGTTCGCGTTCACAGCACCTCCCGCTCTCCGCGAAGTATACTTGCAGAAGGAGTAGTAGTAGTGGGTAACAGTTCATCACCGAGGCGTCAGAATTAAGCAACACGAAGTGATATCCATACGAAATTGCCGTTGTTCGTAGCAACTTGGTGGAAGTGAGCTACATGTACACTGCTTACCGTAATTAGTCTAACCCCGTTTTTTGTAGAAAAGGTACAAAATTCGCACTTTGACAAGTAGTCCACGATCGAAGTTTTGGCCTATGAAAACAACAGACCCCGAAATCAAATCAGCTGATTCGTCTGAATTCGCTAATAAATCATGCATTTTGTCAAATAGGCTGCAACATCGATACCCTAACCCTCCCATCATGTGAGACTAATTACGGTAGGTAGTGTACATGTACCTCTGGTCAGGTGCGTGACCAAACACCTGTACAGAAATCTGCCTCAATACCGAACGGGTATACAATATATAACCTCATATAAATAATACTACAACAGGACGAACGGAGATGGGCAAAGGTACTGATGTAAAAATCCAGGATACCTTTGTTTGGCTAAAAGTACTAAGCTGTGCAGTTTGAAAATTGGCGCCCTTTTGATTGTCTGTGCGATCTTCTCTGTATTTACGATTCCACTTTCACATTTGCGCACTACCCGCTAAGCCCTCTACGAGTAGTACAAAGTTGAGCTACTAACCGCACTGGTGTGGTGCGAACACGCTTGGTCGAAGGTCAGCGCTGAAACAACTCAGCACTGCGCTTCACTTTGGAACACCACAGCAAGGTCTGCTTTACTCGGGTTTGATTAACTAAGCAAGCGTTAAATCCCGTCTAAGATTAACTAATTCAGTACAGCCTTTTCTCTGGTAACGCTGAGATCACTTTATAAACCTAGAGCCCTTATATATATCAGGCGTTCGGTATTCAGGCAGAGTTCTGTACCATACAGCACATCACCTATCATGATCTGTCGATCTTTGCATCGCCAGAATGTCCGGAGCAGGCAACTGCTCGGGCAACAAAATTGAGAGAGGGACTATTGTGCCTTTCACGTATTTTGGCGGGTGAGCTGTTAATTCAGGCGGAATTAGAGTCATAAAAGGGCGATCAACGCCTATTTAGTGCTAATTCTGCCTAAGATTGTGAGCGCTTCCCCTAACTTCCGCGATCAGCTTTTGCGAGCCAATCGACAGAGATACGAGCAGAATGGCATGGATTGGCGGGTAGGAAACCGCCAATCGCTCTGTTTCCGCCTAACGCAGACTGGATTAGCTTATTCCGCCTTAACTCGGCCTCACCATCGCCGCTCCTAATTCGGCCACGAATGGGCGACCCGGAATTAACATGGAAATTAGCTAACTCGGGGCATAATTAAGGTCGATAAGGGATTAGAGTTATGCCAGAATTATCATGGCAGAATAAGTGAAAGGCACAATACAGGTAGAGAGAACTCGCGCTATTGGCCTGGCTACTTCTTATATCTTACTCTTGTGAGAGGGAGAAACCTAATGTTTTGAATTTATGCCCCATTTTACCTCTATGTTGTCGTGCAAACATCTATTATTATAAAAGTTTTCTTATAGTGAGCATGTATTTTTTAGGAGCAGCAGAGTGAAGTATGGTCTCATAGCTCGAAGAGCTTCACTTCGTGGCTTCCGGCGCGTCGGTGAAGAATCTCGTAGTGCTGAGATGCACGCGGCAAATTGAGGAATGGACGAGGGACTGTAGCCATCGGATCTGTATACGGACGCTGGTGCGCCTGCTCGGCATCATTGCGCGCTCAGATGTTCCTGCGGGAGGAACGCTGCATGAGTTCTTGCAGTTCCTGCGTAAACTTAGGATGTGCTGAATGACGTTCCGATCAGCTTCATCTTTTCGCCTTTGTATGGGATTGATCGGCTTACTGGAGCTCACAGCATGGACTTGATCAAATTTTTTTTCTACGGAAACAGGTGTTGCACGAACACCATGAATTGTACATGCCTTGTCATTACGGTAGGTA